CCCCAACCCCAACCCCAACCCCAACCCCAACCCCAACCCCAACCCCAACCCCAACCCCAACCCCAACCCCAACCCCAACCCCAACCCCAACCCCAACCCCAACCCCAACCCCAACCCCAACCCCAACCCCAACCCCAACCCCAACCCCAACCCCAACCCCAACCCCAACCCCAACCCCAACCCCAACCCCAACCCCAACCCCAACCCCAACCCCAACCCCAACCCCAACCCCAACCCCAACCCCAACCCCAACCCCAGTAAGTAATTATTCAATTACAACAATCTTTTTTTTGAATTTTTTTTTTGATATTTTAATTCGTAAATATCTTTTAATCAATTTCAATTAATGAAATGAAAATTAAATTAACTTATTTATTTATTTTAGCAAAGAAAATTATTATAAATTAAATTAAATATAGAATAGTTATTGTGTTGATTGATATAAAATTTAAAGGCAGATTTAATACAAAATCTAATAAAATATAAATTAAAAACATAATTTTTTATAAAAGTATAATATTTATTTATTATATTTCTTCAAATACAAAAACAAACGTATTGTTTGCTTGATTGCTTAGTCTCATTATATTTTCTTTACTTCCTTAATAGTTTTAATTTTATCTTCAAGTTCATCAAGCTTCTTAAGATAGAATGTATATCCATATATGCAAAGATTGACTGTAAGGACATAGAAGGTAAGATAGAAGTACTTAACATTTTTATTGAAATTAACTCTTGTTTATTATTCAATATTGTGGATATCCTAATGGTCGCTATTCTATTCTTGAATCAAAAAGTTTTAGAATTCATTGATTTAAGTCATTGAGTGTAGGCAGATAACAAAGACAGATACTAAGAAGCCGAATGAAATCTTTTTGAATGTATCGCTAAACTTATTGTGGAATAAAATAGAAAGTACTATTTTTCTAATTGTAACGTTGAAAGGAACAAGCAAAAGCAAGAAGAAATAAAAAGTTTGAGCGATACCTATTAAGTATACTAACTTAGTCAATATCATTTTTTATACCTTTAATTTATTTTCTTAATAACTTTTTAATTAATTTTTGATCGTATATTTTATCTTTTAAAAAAGTGATGTTACTAACTTAGTATTTAATGTATCTTTCTTCTTCTATTTTATTTACAACTATAATAATCATTATTCATCTGCAAGCGAGTCAATTCCCTAATAATCAATGCCTGCTGATGTATAAATAAATATTTTATGTTTTTCAATAGACAGTAAAAATTGATTTCAACATGATCATTTCTTTTTTTTCTAACAAATAATCAAGCAAAATAATTAAATAAACAAACTCTATATCTATCTATGTATCTATCTATTTATCTGTAAATCTATTTATTTATTTACACGTAGATCTTATCATCCAATTAATAAATTAAATTATTTATTTCTTAAAAAATCATTCACTCGTTTAGCTTTATTTTAGAATATTTAAATTCTTTTAGTTGAAAAATAATAAATAAATCTCATAAATTTTAATAAATCCTGTTAAAAGTTTTGTAATTGAAAATAATTTATTTATTTATTTATTTTGTTAATGATAATTAAAATTAAAATGATAAGTAAATTAGAATAATACGATAGATAGATAGATAGATATACATTAACTTTATTTTATGTAATAATTATCTCAAAATATTGAAAATAGAAAGGCTTTCTTTTAATCATTAATGATAATAGTTAAATAAATGATAGGTTTTTTTTAACTTGGCAGCTAAATTAATAAAGTTAGGTATTATTTTGTTTAAAATATATCTATTTATTTTTTATAAATTAGCTTATTCAAATGAAGAATTAATTTTTTATTTTTTATGTGCTAAAAATTTAAATTATATAATTATTCTATTGAAAAGTAAGATCATATTTTATTTATTAATATTAAAAGATTTTTCTAAAGAAGAAATTTCTCAATTTTTTTGGCAAATCTTTGATTCTTTCTGAGATAAATTATTATATTGACTGAAATTTAGATAAGTTAGTTTTAACAAAAGATTAATTTAAGGTTTAAGGAATGTAAGTTTGGGGAAGATTTTTGGCAAAAAGATTCAAAGTAAGCGGTTTTTCAGGCAGGTACGCTTTTTCTAGCCAACCTAAAGATGGGTTTGAGCAAGTGGATAGAAAGAATTAAGACTAAGCTAATGAACATAATGAATAAACATGTTAAAACCCTGATCATATCCATAATGTTGATAAAGCAAAAAGATAAAAATAATTTGAAGATAAGATGACTCCTGAGGAGTTTGAAGAATTAAAAAAGGAACATGAAAAGTATTATTAATAGCAAGAGGAAATGAGACAATAGCAAAAAGATTTAGCTGAAAAGCTTGAAAAATATCGTCCTAAATACGATGGATCTATTTATGAATTAAAGAATGCAGAAAAATATGTAGAAGATTAGATTCGTAAATTCGACTGGAATACTTATGTGATTTCAAAGTACTATCCTTCAGCAGTACGTACTGCTTTCTTCAGCTTAAACTATTACAATATCGAATTAATGCGTATTCCAGAAATGACAAAGGAAACAAATTTGATTATGGGTAAATTGGATTTCTGGTAAGAATCCATCAATTAGATTTTTTAGGACTAACCAATGAAAGAGCCAGTCAGTGTTTGCTTGCATGATGCTTGTAAAAAAAATCCTATTTCTAAAAATCTAATGACCAAATTAATCAACGCTCGTCGCTATGAAGCAGATCACCCTCGTCTTAATAGCATTTCAGAACTTGCTTATTTGGCTGAGTAAATTAGATCAAATATGATTTATTTGAACTTGCAATTACTTAGAATTGACTATAAAGATAACTTAGCTGTGCACCAAGCTGCTTCAAGTGTAGGCAGATGTTTGGGAATTATTGATTACATTAGAAGAATTCCATACAATTTACGTAAATACAGATTATACATGCCAGAAGATATAAATAGAAAATACAATGTTTCTGTCAGAAATCTTTGGGACAGAGTTGAAGGTAAACCAAAAGATTAGCTTTTTGATGTTGTTTTAGAAGTAGCTTCTTATGCCAAGAAATCTTTAGATGAATCTAAATAGTATTAAAAAGATTTACCTCCTTAGGCTTTCCGTGCATTTTTGCATGCTGTAGAAGCAGAATAATATCTAATTGATTTAGAAAAAGCCAACTTTAATGTATTTGATAGATCTCTTAATGCAAATAGTTATATTTAATTACCTCTGCAAGTATTTTAAGCAGCTAAAAATAAATAATTCCTTTATCACAATAAATGAAATGTCTATCTTTGTTTATAATTCCTTTATCATATTTTATTGGTTATGTATCTATCTATGTATGTATTTTTCAATTATAATTTCTCTTAGCAATAACAAATAAAAGATTACTTCAATTAAATAAATCCTTGTCAATTCTAAAATTAAATATTTTTTTAAAATGTAGCAAAATTTCATCAAAAATTGTGTAATGAAATTTATTTGATTTATATTAAGAGCAATAATTTTAACAAATAAATGCTAATCAATTCAGTATAGATTGAAACATATTTTTCATGGTTAAAATTGATATTTGAAGCAGAAAATTTAAATAATACGAATATAATTTAATAAATTTATTAGACTCAATATTTAAATATTTTTTATCAAAAACATTCATTCATCTATGAATATTTTATAATCAAAAAATTATAAAAGGCAATAAAATAATGAAGATTGAATATCTAGCTAGATACTAACTATTTTTATTAATTATTAAAAGAAGAAAATAACATGAATTGTAAAAACTAATTTATTTATTTCAATTCATCAAGCTTGTGTTTTTTTTTAAATTAGCTGATTAAAAATTAATTAAATTGCCAAAAATAAATAAATTAAAAAAAGTTGTAATTTTCTTTAATATCAAATTAGTATTACATATAAATTAACCTAAGAGAGAGAATTAAAATTTTTAAAAAATCCACAAAAAATTATAGAATACATTTTGATCTTCCTTTTCAATTTAAAATTCTTAAAATTATATATTTTGAATTTAAGGCAATATTTTTTTTGTTTTGACTCCTTTCTTATGATTTACCGTCTTGATTCTAATTAAGGTGCAAATTTGAATTAAGGTGCATAAATTTTCAAAAAAATTATACCTTTATAATTTCAAAATTTTTTAGAAAACAGGAGGACTGTAATTAGAATAATTACAGTATATTTTTTCATTTGTTTAATAATTTGTTAATTTTGATTTTTTTTGTAACTATGAATTTTAAATTAATAGCTTAATTTTTTTCTATCATGCCTTACCAAGATTATTTTAATTAAATAAAAAATATTTAGTTAAAAGAGATTCGATTAATTCTTTTTGAATGTAAAATTTCATCGTTTATTTAATAACATAAGCTTATTTCAAAAATATTTTTGTTTAAATTTTTAGGAATTTAATATTTTTAAAAAAATAAAATATTAATCTGAAAAATAAATAATATTTATTTTTTTAGATATACTTTAAAGAATTACTCTTTTTATATTAAAAAAAGATAAATTATTATAATTTTACACTCTCTTTAATATCAAAGATGATTAACAATAAAAAAAATAGAGTTGATTAAGGGATAGCAAGGTAAAAATATTAGAAAATAAATTATTTCAGGTAAATTTAATAATTTTTTCTTTTTCAATTTAAATTCAAGCTATTTATGATTCCTTTTTTACTTCTCAATTTAAAACCATAAATGTATAAATAATTTATATCATAAATTAACTTATTATTTGATTAAAAAGTCATAATTTAGTTAATATTTAAATTATTTCTATGATTAAATCTCTTAAAAATCTGGAAATAGTAATAGATAAATAGATAGATAGATAGATTGACTCATTAATCAAATTAACTATTTTTTAGTTGTTAGAAAAAATAGAAAAGAAATTTAAGTTTTATTATCAAACAAAGAATTTAGATAGATAGTAAATTAGATTTTTATATAATAAAAATGTAAAATTAAAGAAATAGTTTTTATGTTTTTTATTTTCCCACACAAATTTATTTTTAAAGATTATCATTCACATTTTATTTGCATTTTTTTATTGGTAATTCAATCTCATAAAATTATAAGATTTTGATATAAATTTATTTCGTTTTAACTTTAATAAATAATTAATAATTATTTGATTAAAAAGTGATTATTATGTTAATGCTTGAATTGTAATTTTAATAAAATTTCTGGCAAATAGTATTAGATTTACTGAATAATTAATTAATTAATTCAATTGACTATTTTTTAAATTTGTTTAAAAAAAAATGGATAAGAAAAAAAAGTTAAATGACCAAAAATTGAGAAAGATAAAAAATGAATTAGATTTTTTTAGGTAAAGTTATAAAATTTGAGCAATAGTTTGAATGTATATATATCTTTTCAATCATATTTATTTATCAAATTTAAAGTTTTATTGCTTATAATTTTTATTTGGCCTGAATTGTTGGCTAACTCAAACCCACTAAAGGAGATTTTAAGCTGGCTCATTTTTATGAAAATTATTAATTAATCATCAAATTTGTAAATAATCAAAAAAGATTATTGTAAGATAAATTAGCTATCTTATCATACACAAAATATCCTTGAAATAGTAATTTGATTTCTTGTTTATAGAATAGTAAATTGCTATATTGCAAAGCAATCAAAGATATATAATAAATAAATAAAATAATCTTTTTACGATACTTATTTGTATGAAGAATTTATTTATCAACTACAATTTTGATTTGAGTACAAATAATTTTAAGTTTATTGCTTCACATCACTTTTACCCATTAAAAAAGCTTCTATAACTTCTCAATATTAATTTTTAATATTTAAGTTAGGGTCGTAATATAAAACCTGTTACTTACTGAACAATTTTTCCTATTAATTTATTTATTATTTTCCACTTAGAAAAAATATGAAAAAACGCTATTTAATTAAAATGAAATAGAATGAAAACTGAATTTATGTTGTTATATTGAAAGGATGACAGGTTAGTTATTATAAATTTAACAAATTAACTTAAAGAAATAATGAGTTAAATTCATAAAACAAAAACTAATCATCAAAAAAACAAAAAATGTGGAATAAATAAAAAAGTGTAGTTATTATTTTTATTTTGATATTGCTTGTTACAGGGCAATAGAATGATAACTAAAATAACTTTAATAAAAAACATTAACACCACAAAAAGTTTAAAGTCTTCAAAAACACTTATTCTAAGGTTTATGAAAGCAAAGAAGTTGAGTAATTCAGATTTGCTACTTTTGTTGAAAATCTTAAAGAAATTGATAGGCTAAATGCAGAAGTAACCACTGCTTAATTTGACATTTCTTTTTTTAGTGATTTCACCAAAGAAGAGTTCTTGAATTTGTTCACTGGAGCACATAAACCTGCTATGTCTGACTAAGATTAATTATAAAACAATAATAACTCAAATAATTAAAATGATTAATCAAATAATTAAAAATCATCAGACAAATCAAACTAAAATGAATAAAAATAAATAGAAGAATCTATTCCTAGTTCTTGGGATATAAGAACAGATGGTCCTGGATTATTATAACCAGTCGAAAATCAAGGCCAATGTGGAAGTTGTTGGGCATTTTCTACTTCTGGTGCAGTAGAGAGCTATTATTCAGCTAAAAAAAATATTACATTGAATCTCTCAAAATAGCAGTTAGTAGATTGTGTTTATGATCATGGTGGATGTGATGGCGGGTGGTTTAATGATGCTTTTAAATATATACAAAGCGTTGGTATTGTTTTAAATGCTACTTATTATCCTTACATAAATAAAGATTAAACTGAACCGTGCTAATTATCTAAATTACCTAAGGGAACATCTTTTTATCAAATATAAGGTTATAAAAAATTAGAAAATGATACATCTGTAATAAAATAAGCTATAATGCAGAACGGTGCTCTTTCGATAGCAGTTGATGCTACTTATTGGGCAAACTATAAATCTGGTATTTTTACTTAAAAAGAAAAACCTTAAATAAATCATGCTGTTACTCTTATAGGATGGGGAAGCGATTACTGGCTGCTTAGAAATAGCTGGGGTTCTTCATGGGGTGAATAAGGTTACATCAAAGTTACTAACACTGGCTATAGTGGAATATTTCCTTAATATACATATTCACCAATTAAATGAGAATTAATATTCTTTGAATAATGAATGAAATCTTAAAAATTAAAAAAATAAATAAACTTAAATAATTAGATAGCAAGCAAGCAAACTAACAATCTAGTTATTACCTTATTATTCATATTTTAAATTAAGTTCGAAAATTAATATTTACTCAAAATATAAAATAATTTTTAAATCTATGTAGTTTTACTTGTAAGGAAGGCTAAATAAAAAATAAATAGATTTATTTATCATTTAAGATTTTTAAAATAAATTATTGAAGAAAATTTAATCAGTATTGTGAGTGAAACAAATATTATTTTTTATTCTTTAAATTATAGTAGCCAACCTCATAAACAAACACTATTAACTTTTTAGAGTTTATTAAATAAAATAAATATTTTAAAATTGTGTTCAAATATTATTACTTTTTTTTTTCGAAGCATATCAAAATTAGCTCTTTATTTCTTCTAAATAACACAGCACCTTTTTTAGCCTTTTTGTATTTAACTTGTTTTTTTTTAATATCACTATACCTAAATCAGTGATGAGAATATTTTTTTAAATTAGACATTAAAAAGTAGTTAAAAGAAAAATCAAAAATTCATTTTAAATATTTTATAAAATTTTATTCATAATTTTTTTGGAAAAAAAAGAAATTTTCAAAAAAATATTAAAACTTGCTTCTATTATTAAAATTTTTATAGTAAGTAAGGTTTAAATTTTTAGAAAGTATATAGATTATTTCCATCCAGTGTGGCAAGTAAATTTTCTTTTTCAAATTGTAATTAAAGCTATTCATCCCCCTTTTTATACTGGTCAATTCTAAAATTTAAATTAATCAATAATTAATAATCCTAAATTCAATTATTATTTTATTAAAAATTGATTATATAATTAATATTTAAATTTTTCCTTTGATGAAAGCTCTTGTAAATTTGAAAGTAGTAATAGATAGATAGATTCACTAAATAATTAAATTGACAATTTTTTAAGTTATTTGAAAAAAAAGTAAAGAAAAGTTAAATGACCAATTAATTCAGAATAAATTAGATTTTTTTCAAATAAAAAGACAAATTTAATGTCATATTTATCATAGTATTTTCATTTTTCATTAAAATTTAGTAATAAATTTTTTAAAATTGTTTGCTTGGTATTTTATTTTGACTTTATTTGTTGGTTATTCAAACTTGTTAAAGTAGATTTTTATACTAATAGTTAAAGTAGATTTTTATGTTATTTGTTAAAGTAGATTTTTATACAAATTTTATGTTAAATTAATAAATAATTAATGATCTTCCTTCCATTAAGATGCTATTTGAATAAAAGGTGATTATTGCGTTAATGTTTGAATGATTTTTTTTTTGATAAAATCTTTGGCAAAATAGTATTTATTATTAGATTAACTGAAGGAAGAATCAAATTTGACTATTTTTAAGTTTTTCAAAAATATAGATTAGAAAATAAAGTTAAATGACAAAAAATTCAGTCAGATAAAAAATATGAAGATTTTTTTTAATAAAACTATAAAATTTTAAGCAATATTTAGCAATATGTACATTTTTTCAATCATATTTATTTATCAAATTTTAAAGATTTATTAACTTAGCATTTTATTTTGGCTTTTTTTTGTTACTTAAATCGAACATGCTAAAGTAGATTTTTATACTGGATTCATTTTTATGAAAATTGTTGTTGATTAATCTTCAATTTTTTTAAATAATCTAAAAAAGATCAGAGTCAGTTAAGTTAAGCTGGCTTATCATACACAAAATATCTTTAAATTAATAATTTGATTGATTTATTTATTTTCAAATAGTTAATAGCAATATTGCAAAGCAATCAAAGATGTATACAAAATAAAGTTGTCTTTTTAGCGATGCTTATTTTTATGAAGAATTTCTTTATCAACTTCAATTTTGATTTGAGCGCAAATATTTTTAAGTTATCGAACTCTCTTTTATTCATTATAAAACATTTCTCAATATTAATTTTTATTGTGTAAGATAGAGTCGCAACATAAAACTTCTTACTGAACAATTTCCCCCAATTTAATAATTATTTTTGGTTGAGTAAAAGTAAGAAAAACAATCAAACACTCCTTAATTAATTAAAATCAAATAGAATGTAAACTGAATTTATGTTGTTACATTGAAAAGACAATTTAGTTGTTTTAAATATAACGCTAAGAACGAACTGAAGTAAATAATAATAAATTAAATACATAAAACAAAACAAAAAAATCAGTAAATAAACAAAAAAAATGTGCTGTTCATAATAAAGTGTTATTATTATTTTTATTTTAATATTGATTGTTAATGGACAATCAAATTTTGACAAAAATACATTTAGTTAAAAACATTAGCATCACTAAAAATTTGAACAATTCAAAAAAAGTTTTTCTAAGGCTTATGAAAGTGAAGAAGTTCAGTAATTCAGATTTGCTACTTTTGTTGAAAATCTTAATGAAATTGACAGGCTAAATGCAGAAGTAACCACTGCTTAATTTGACATTTCTTTTTTTAGTGATTATACAAAAGAAGAATTCTTGAATTTGTTCACTGGAGCACATAAACTTGCTATCTCTGATTAAGATTAATCATAAAATAATGATAACTAAAACAATTAAAATACTTAATCAAATAATTAAACATCATAAGACAATTAAAACGTAAATTAATAAAAATAAACAAAGGCTTCTAATCCTACTACTTGGGATATTAGAGTAAATGGTCCTGGTAAATTATAAGAAATCAAAAATTAAGGCGGATGTGGAAGTTGTTGGGCATTTTCTACTTCTGTTGCAGTAGAGAGTTATTATTCAGCTAAAAAAAATATTACAGTGAGTCTCTCTGAATAACAGCAAGTAGATTGCGTTTATGATCGCGATGGATGTTAGGGCGGATGGTTTACTGACTCTTTTGATTATGCTAAACTCACTGGACTTATGACAGAATCTGCTTATCCTTATTAAGGAGCATATGGATCTTCATGCTAATTCTCTAATAAAACATCTATATATAAAATAAAAAGTTATTAAAATCTCCAAAAGAACAATTCTGTAATACAAAAAGCTGTAATGTAGAATGGTGCTGTTTCGGTAGCAGTAGACGGTACTTATTGGGCCCACTATAAATCTGGTATTTTTACTTAAAAATAAAAACCTTAATTAAACCATGCTGTTGCTATTGTAGGATGGGGAAGTGGCTATTGGTTGCTTAGAAACAGCTGGGGTACTTCATGGGGAGATTAAGGTTACATAAAAGTATCTAGCACAGGTAATGGTGGAATATTTACTTAATATGCATATTAACCAAATTGAATTACTTAAACAATTTAAATAATGAGTAAATTCTTTAAATAATAAATCTAATTTTAAAAAATAAATAATAAACAAACTTCAATAGCTAGCAAACTAGCAACTTGTTATTCTTATTTTATATTAAGTTACAAAATTAAAATTTATTTGCTCTAACAAATATAAAACAATTTTTAAATTTATCTAGTTTTGCCATCAAGGCTAAATAAATAAATAAATAAAAAACATAACGATTTTATATTTAAAAATAATTGATCAAGTAGATATTTTTTATTATGAAAAATAATTTGCCTATAAATTTATCATAAAATTATAAATACTAATCATTTTAGTTAATTAATTAATTGATTATTCTTTATTTTGATTTTAAATAGTGTGTTCATTTTTAAAAATTTATAAAATTTACAAAAACTACAAAATATAATTGAAACCATATGAAGGTTTAAGTTCATATTTCATTCAAATATAAAGAAACAAAAAAACCTTCTTTTTTTTGAAAAAGTTCTAAACAAACAAACAAACATATTTATTTCCTGTTTAAATTTGAAAAAAAGCTTTTTTACTGTATTTTTTTAAATTTTTTAATTAAAATGGACAGACTTACTTCCTCATAATTTGGCTTTGCATTCTTTTTTGAGGAATGTAAGTTAATATTTAAAATTTAATTTGGTTTTATTTGATTATTTTAAATTTAAAGTAATTTGAAGATAAAATTTTATTTACTTTTAAATATTTTAGATTAGTTATTTATTTTATTTAAAATTATAATTTTGCTTTATGTAAGCTTAAATGAATATTTTACTACCGATAAAATTTTTAGAAGATATCAAATAAAACTTATATTTCATGAAAGATATATATGGTAAAATCGATCACAGAGCATTAAGATTGTGAAATATAAATTATAGTAAAAAGAGAAATAATATTGAATGGCTCAGAAGCAATAAATTTGAAACCATATCTTACTAAGTTTCAACTCATAAAAAATTTTTAGTTTTCTTATTTTTTGCGTCAAAATAATTCAAAATAATTAAATGTCTTCCTTCTTTCTAGTAAAGAGAAAAATCATCATCAAAGTTAATAAATTTTTTTATAAATTAAGTTTGATTTATTTTTCAATAACTTTAATTATCAAAACAAAACAATAAACAATAAAAAAATAAAGGCAAATGTAATTGAAGTATTTTTTATTGATTTAAATATATTCATTAGTTATTATTACTAGCAAAATTATTTAAAATTGTAAGAGGTATTATATTCAAAATACTTCAAACGATGACAATCAACCATCTGTTTTATGTGATTTATGTGAAGAAGGATACGTGTTAAATGAAGATTCATAATAATGCTAAGCTTAATCTTTGATTTTTAAGAGAAATCTTTAATCTCCTATTTAATGTTTGGACGGATCCTCAGCAACCATGGAAATGTTTTGCAATTACTGTTCACCTACTAATATTGGATTGAATTAAAAATATTGCCTTCCTTGTAATGCAATATGTTAAAATACAGTATGTGCAACAACTGATTTATATTCTATCACATTAGGACAATGCTTGTATTATTGCGGGAAAGGGTTACTTGCTTATTCTGAAGAGAGCTGTGCTACTTCATAAATATGCTAAAATGGATTAGTATGGAGTTAATCCTACCAAACTTGCGTTTACGCAGGGTGTACTTTGAACATTATATTAAAAAAAGATTAAACGGTATGTACTCAATCATAATACTGTTTAGATGGATATTATTGGTCAGGATCACAAGGATGCTTACCATGTAGTTAACAATAAGATTAGTAATAATAAAATTAGTGTTCCTTATATCAATAGAAATTATAATAGTAATAATTATGGTATTAGTAGTAATAAAATCAATAGCAACAATAATAGTAGCAGTAAGAGTAGTAATAGCAATAACAATAACAATCTTAGAAGTAATAATAAGTTAATAACTCTGACAATTCAAATGAAAGCAATGATAATTTATTTTTAGAGCTAGCAATTGCTTCTTTTGCCTTATTATTAATTATACTCATTGTACTTTTATATTTTGTAAGAAAGTTCTACAAAAATATGAAGTAAATTGAATAGGAAAACAACTGTGAAGAAGAAGAAGTATTAGAAGGTAATGGAAACATAGATTTTTATGAAAAAAAGGAATCAAAAGAGTTAGGAAAATTAATTTTAATAGAAAATTGTAGCGCTTAAAATATGATTGCAAAAGAAATAAAGCCTCATATTGAAGCGAGAAGTGTTCAAGATATTTTTGCTAGAAGATAAAGTACATAGAATAATATTTTTGATCAAAAATTACAAACTAATAACTTAATCAAGCTCGAATCCTTACAAATTGAAAGTAATAAATATAAATTTTAATCACGATATTTACTTTTTTAATATTTTAATTTTATTTAAAAGAATTCAACAACGGAAGTTAAGATGATGATGAAAAAAAAAATGGCGAAACAAAAAATTATGATGCTACTCCTAATAATATTAACCTTGAGATCAATTATGATTGAAAATTTATTTATATTTATATAATGCTTACAATTTAAAACTTTTGTGTTATTAAGCCAATTTAAAAACTTGCAAAAACTTCATCTATTAAATTTTCGTCTCTTAATAAATAACTCAAGTCATGTTAAATAAATTTAAAAAAAGCAGCATCTTTTTTAATTAAATTCAGCCCAAAGATAATTCCAAAATAAATTCATAAAAACAACTTCAAAATTTAATTACTTATTAGAAGCTAATTTATGTTTTCATGAAACGAATCTTTTTAATAAACTCTTCATAATGTAGTAATTTTTTTAATTAGAATAGTTAAAATTTTTAAATTTATGTAACTCTTGAAGAAATTAATTAGAGGTTAAAATGATAACAACTAATTGTAAACTTAGCTATTTAGTTTTTAATTTATATCGTTTTTAAAGCTATTTTCTTTTTTAAAAAATAAATATACTTTCTGCATTATTCAATTTAGAAAAAGAATTTACTTTTCAACTAAATTATTGGATTTTTTGAAATTTAATTTAGGCTAATTAAATATTTATCAAAGAATTAACATATGTCATGTCATAGGTTAAGGACTTTGAGATTAAAATGATAAAAACTATTAACTTCTTAAAAAATAATTTTTAGAAACTAAATATAAAGGTTTAACTCCTTATTAATAAGAAAACAAAAGCTATTTTCTTTCAAAAATATTATATATTCATTAAATTAATAAAAAAATTTGCTTTCTATAAAATTTTGTTTTATTAGAATTGAATTCATATTAAATATTTATAAAAGAATTTAATTATTAAGTAAGTACTTGTTGTAATAAATTATTTATTTCAATTAATAAATATTACACATATTATTTTAAGATATTTTCTGATTTTATTGATAAAAGCAAGTATAAATTCAGGCTATTTTTAAAAATAAATTTTAGTTTGATTTACTTGAAAAAAACTTTTCAATTTATTTTTTGAAACAAAATACAAAAAAATATTTTTTGAGAGTAAATTTATTATAAAATATTTATTAGTAAATTTTTTTAATCGATTTATGAAAGAAAAAACATCAAATTAATCCTTTCTTTACATTTTTAATGTTTTTTGATTAAATCTTCATAATTTAAAAAAATTTATACTTTTAACGGATAGCTAATTGATTAATTAGATTAGATTATTTAATTTAAATCTTTGAAAAAAATTTGAAATTTATTTGAAAAAAAACATTTCGATTTAATATGTGAGTAGAAATTTGTGAATAGATTATTTAATTTTTTTAATTTAAATTTAGAAAGAGAATTGAAAAAAAAATAAATCTGAAAAGTAAATGAACATAAATTGCTTATCTCAAGTAAAACAAAATATTTATGTAGCTAAATTTAAATAATTATTTTATTATCTTAAAAGCTTAAACAACTTGAAAATCAAAACAATATAACTTAACTTAAGGTTAATTTAAGGTTTTATTTAATCATTAATAATCAATCTATTATTCAAATTTTTAAAAAGTAAAAAGAAATTAGGAGTTCAAAGCTGCAGTCTCTTTGCTGATTTTTTAGCTAATTTTAAAAGTTTAAAGGAGCTAGTTTTAGACTTTAAGTAGAATGTTAATAATTTGTTTATGCTATTAAATAAGAATTATTTTAAAATAGGTCAAATAATTTGGATGAAGAAGGAGTGGAAATATTAGGATAAGCAATATCACAATGTAAAAATATAACAAGTTTGAATATCGATTTGCAGTATATTATAAATATCTTTTATTTCAAATAAATTAAATAGTTTTTATATAATATAGATCAAATAACTTAGATAATGCTGATTCTTAAAAAATTATATAATTTATTTCTAACTGCTATAATCTTTAAATTTTAATAGCTAATTTATCGTAATTTTTTGAAAGTTTTTTTTAATTTATTTAAAAAAACCATCTAAAAATAAAATTAGATAAAACTTTATTTCTAGTATTGGATCACATTTAAAGAATTGCTTGGACATAAAAACAATAAATCTCAATTTATCGTACGTAAATGCTTATTCAATGATAAATTAATTGAAATTTTTTAGACTTAATAACATAGGAGATATGGAATCATCTAACTTAGGATTAGAAATATCTAGCATCAAATAATTGACAAATTTAATTCTCAACTTATCGTAAAAATAAAATATTAATAATATATCATGAAAGCTCTATTTTTAAAAAAATATAACAGAGGAAATAAAATAGGACACTAAGGCATTTCTTAAATGACCACAGAATTATCAAAATGTTCATTACTTAATACTCTTTACTTGCAATTGCTGTAAATTATATTATAAGTTTTAAATAAACTTAATTATTTATTATGTATGTATTTATTTATTTATGAATGGATTAATAAGATCAAACAAAATTGGTGATTAAGGAGTGATTAAATTGGCTAAGAATTTAGCAAAATTTCCGTGTCTTTCTTCAATTTATTTAGATTTGAGGTAACATTAAATTTTATTTAAAATTAAATTATTTTAATTATTTTGTCAATCAAAAATAACTAAATAAATAAATATTAAATTTATTCAAAAGTTAATTATTAATTTATTAAACAAATTGAAATAATATTTTATATCAAAAAATACGATTATTATTGATTGAATAAAAAAATCTAACTTTAAAAATTTAAATATTGACAAAATAATTAATAAAAAATACTTCAATAATCTATTTTAAATTAATTAATTGATTGAATTGAAAATTGATAATTAAAAAAAATAGAATTAAAATTTTTATTTAATCATAAAACATTTGAGTTTTTTAGATTAACTGTAAGTTTTTATTTATTTTTTTAATTTATTTTTAAGATGGAATAATATAACTGATTAAGGATCGGTTGCTCTTGGATAAGATTTAGCTAATTGCAAGAATCTTTAGATTATAAATTTAGAGTTAAGGTAAAATGCAATTAAATACATATATATATATATATTATTTATTAAAAAAAGATGGAATGACATCGGAGATAAAGGTTTTTCCATGCTTGGATAGGGTTGTGTCAAATGTTAATTTTTAATCAATTTAAGTCTTGACTTATCGTAAAATTAATTAATGAGAAGGTTTAAAAATAATAAATGTTAGACTTAAAAATTATTAAAAAGTTCCAATAAAATTGGTTATTTAAGTAACTCAAGCATAACATTCGATTTAGCTGAATGCTAAAATCTAAAGCAATTAAACCTTAATTTATCGTATTAATTTTTTTTTACATTGATAATTATTAATACCTGCTAATTAATTTTTAGAGTAAACAAAATTGGAGATTAAGCGATATCAGTCTTATGTAAAGGCATTGCTTAATGCATTGGTCTGCAAAAACTAATCCTTGATCTATCGTAAAACATGTTTTTATAATTGAGATATTTTTAGATTCAATTATAATTAAATCAAAGGACAAATAATATTGAAAATTTGGGGGCTCAATATTTAGGATAGGAGCTTCTTAATTGTCAGAGCCTCAACTTTTTAACAATTTATTTGCAGTAAAATATTTAATTAAATTGAACTTTTAGTTTAAAGTTAAATTTATAGGTGGAACAACATTATTGATGCAGGGGCATATGTTTTAATTGAAAAAATATTGCAAAACCAGAAGATTAAACATTTAGCTTTGGATTTGAAGTAGCCAAATAAATAAATATTTCTTAAATTAATTATGAATTAAATATTTCTTAATTCATTTTAATATTTGTGAAATTTTAATTATTTTATAGATAAAATACAATAGAGGACTAAGTATTTCAAAAAATTAGTTTAATGCTAAGAAAAAATACTGTATTAAATACTCTAGCTTTATACATGTAATAAATAATCCTTCTTCATAAAATAATAATAAAAATATTCTTTAATAGAAGTAATTAAAATATTACATCTCAAGTCAGGTCAAGACTGATCAAAATGAAAAAATTAATCAACTTGCTTTTGTGAATCGTTTGTTACTCCAAATAAAATCTAAATAATTTACTTAATTACTTACTTTATAATAAATAGAATATGAAATTAATTACTACATTTTCAAAAATAAATTAACAGCAGAAAATTTATTATTTAATTTTCAACTAAAATAAAAAATTATTTTTATAAATATTAAAAATTTTATAATTTAGAAAATAAAATGAAAATTTGTTATTACAGTTTATGTTCAAAATTGTTTATATAAATAAATTCATATTTATTTTTTTTAGTTAAAAATTAATACTTGAAATTAGTTTGTTTATTTGTTTTGTTAAATTCAAATTTAAAAATGTCTTTAAAAATTAAAATATTTTTTGTGAATATTTAAAAAATTCTTACTAATGTAATTTATATATTTTAAATTAGTTTAAATTTATCTCAAGATTAAAATAAAAGATAAAATTTTTTTTTAAGTTTAACTTTGTTATTTATTTTCAATTTATTGATTAAATTTTAATTGAAAAGTTATTTTGATAGATAAAAAGATGATGCAATAAAAAAGCAATTTTTAAACATTAGATGAAGTAAAATATTTTAAACATATTTCTCATTTCTCAGAGCTAAATCTTATTTAACTTAAAGTTCCTTTAGTCTAGCTTTTAGGACCATTTCAACTTACATTTAGATTTTTCGTAAAATTCTTCGAATATTAGAAAAGAAAAATTTTCAATGAATTAAATAAATAAATAAATATATTTTAGTTTGTTTATTATTATTAGATTAATTGATTGATTCACTAATTTACAGAATATATTTTATTTTATTTAATAAAAAAAAGTTAGAATAAAATTGGTTAACAATAAAGCTTTTCAAGTTTAACAACAGCACTAATTAAATGTATAAATATTTAATCTTTCAATATAAATTTGGAGTAATTAATTTTCTTTTTTTTTTCTTTCTATAAATTGTCTTTTAAAATTATTTAAACTTAATTATTTAAAATACCTTTTATTAATATTGTTGGTTGGGAATATATTTTTTTAAAATAAATAGCTTTAATTGTATTGGTAGCGAAAATTTAGTAGCTTTATGCTCTGTGGTTTAAAAAATGAATAACTTATCATCTTTATCTTTGCATTTAAAGTAAAAAAGTTTTATTTAATTTTAACAAAAAATAATTTTAAAGTTTTAAATATTTAGCTTGCTTACTTTATTTAACGCTTTTAAAAAAGTTAATATTTTTTATTCATGTAATGATAAATTAAAAAAAAGTTAAAAAGAAATTTATACTAAAAATAAATTATCATTTTTATTAACTAATCTTTAAATGCAGATTTTTTGGCTAATAAATTTTGCCATAAATGAGAGGTTATTAAATTAATTTTGTTGAATAATATATTTATTTATTTATTGTCAAGCACTAGTGAAATTTTCAAACTGTTACTAAAATTAATTTTAAACATTTATTATTTCAAAAAAAAATTTGTTTTTAATTTAATATTATTCAAAAGGAATACTAATATTAACAGTTAGGATTGCTCAAGATTATCAAATACTTTTTTAGCCTTAAAAAATATAGTTTATTTGTTTCTGGATCTATCGTAATTAATTAATTAATTATGTATTTGTCATTAATTAGTTAAATAATTACTTTTAGCTTGAAAAAAAAATTTAAAATTAAAGTTGATTATATTAAATTTTTAATAAATTAAATTAAAGCTATAATAACATAAACGATGAAGGTATGTCTATTCTTTCAGATGGTTTATCAGGATGTAAAAATCTCGTTACATTAAAGCTTGTGTTAGAGTATTTTAAATTATATTATAAACATTTAAGAAAAATTAATATTTTTTAAATTAAAATTAATAAAAAACTTAAATATATAATGAATTTTGTTTTTATTTATTTTAAAATAAAAAAGAAACTGCTGTTTTACTTAAGAAGGAGCTTTTAGCTTAGGTTATTCCTTAGGTCTAAATAACAATTTAACAACTCTAGAGCTATTTTTGGAGTAATAAAATGTTTTATTCATTTTTAATTTAAATCAAATTAAATATCTTTTATTTTTAACATTAACTATATTTTACTAATAAAGAGGAAATTTCTTAGATTTAAAAGGAGCATCAAATTTAATTAATGGTTTATCTAAATGTTCATCTCTTTCAATTTTAAATATAGTTCTTAAGTAAAATATTATTTTTATATGAATGATATTCTTAATATTATTTTAAAATGAAATTCTTAATACTTTTTATTTACAATTTAAGTTATTATTTTTATTATTATTGAAACAAATTTTTATTTTTGTTTACAAAAGAAAATGCCTAATTGGAGTTCAAGGCTCAAGCCTTTTAGGAGATTCTCTTCAAAATCTAAGAAATATTACAAGTCTAAGTTTAAATCTAGGGTAATTAATTAATTAATTTTTAATTATTTTACAAATATTTTTAATGAGTTTTTTAGACAAAAATATATTTACAAGGTAATTTATAGCTTTTTATCTTAATTTTTATGTCTTTTTTCTTAAATTTAAAAGAATTGTTTGAGAAATTCATAAAAAAATAAATAAATTTAGTTAAAAAATATAATCCCAAACTATAAAAAAAAATTTATTTTAGAAATTCTAAAACTATTTTCTCCTTTTTAATTTTGTAAAATTTAATATTTTTTTTGTTTTAAATAAAAATAAGGATTAATAATATAGGAAGTGAAGGAGTATTAAAAATAGTTATTGGTTTAACAAAGTGCCAAAATTTAACTAGTTTAAATCTACTTGTTGAGTAATTAATTAATACTTATAATATTTTATATGTTTTAATAAAAATAAAATATGTTTTTAATATATATTTCTAAACTCAAAGCTAAAATAACATAGACGATGATGGAATTACTAATTTAGGTCTTTAAATAGCTAAAATTGAAAGTATTAAAATTCTAGAAATCAGCATCTAGTATTAAATTTAATTAATTTATAAAATAAATTTTAATAGTTAATAAATATTTTGTTTTTTTAAAGAGTTAAACTAATATGAAATAAACATTTTCTATATAAAAAGCTTTAACTAAGTAGGTCAAAAAGGAGTTTCAACATTTGTAAAAGCACTTTCAAGTTGTAAAAATCTTTAAAATATTACACTTGATTTAGGGTAATCTCAATTTATCATTATTTCAGTAGTCTCCAAGAGACTTAATTTATATTTTTTTAAATATTTATTTAAAGTGAAAATAATATTGATGAAAAGGCTATTTAGAGCGTTGTATCTGTCCTCTCCAAATCTATAAATCTTAAAACCTTAAAACTCTAACTAAAGTAAAAAAATTAAAATTATTTCTTTTGTAAATAAGAGTTAAAGAATTATTATAATGAAACATTAAATTAAATAAATACAGTAAGAATATTTTTAAAATGAATGAGTATAGTAGAATTTTTTTTGATATTTTAAGTTTTTCATTTGTTTTTTGAATGGAGTATTTTAAGAAAAACATTCAGATAACACCTATTTAAATAATAGCTTTAATAATTTTTTATTATAAATATAATTTAAAAATTTAATGGTTAATTTATTTATTATAAATAAATAGTGACAGAATTCAGAAGGTTTATATAGATAAAACTTAAAAATAAATGAAGTGATTAAAATTAAATTTTAATATAATTAATTCAATATAAAATAATGTTTCTTAATGTTGCAGTGAATTTATTTTTAAAATATTTTATAATTAATTAATTAATGAATGAATAAATATTATTTTTACAAAGTTAAAAAATTTCAATTAAAAATATTGATTTTCTTTTTAAATGTCTTGTTAAAGATTTAGCTGTGTTTGAAGGTAAAATAATGATAATGATTGAAAATAAAGATTGGAATACTTGATTATTTTTACAATAATCTAAGTATCTTAAGAGCTTGTTTGTTTTAATTTTTAACTTAATAATTTTGAAGGAATTATAACAGAATATTTTTTTGAAGTGTTTTTATTAACGATCAAAATATGTTATAAGTGAAATTTAAATTAAGAATACTGTAACAAACATATATTGATTATTAAATAGAAATAACCACAAAAAATAAAATTTTAAAGGTATCTATTTGCGAAAAATTTAATTTGGTGACTGACAAAAGTATATTTTAGCCATCAGATTAATTTGTATAATATGACAAAAACTTATTTAGCTTTGTTATTTAGATATTTACTTATTGTGTTTGTTTTTGTCATAAAATTAAAAAAATTGATTTATTGTTAATTTTTTGACAACAAATAAAACTTAATAAATACATTGATTGATTAATTTTCATTAGCAGTAACAAAAGTAGCATTAAGTATAAGCATTCAAATAGGATGAGGACACATATGAACTTTAAGGCAGTAATAGTTTTGCAAGTAATAGATCAACTAATTTTTATTTTTATAAATAAAATTAGAATCCAATTAGCGCTTGCTCCAATAACTAGACTTAAGTATCTGGAAGCTATCAACAGAATTATTAAAAAAAAGTATCCATGTTGAAAAGGCCATAAAATACGAGTAAAATAAAGTCTATTAAATTAAGAAAATCCTAAATGATATTAATTTTAGTCATAATTATGCTGAAATTTATTTTTATAATAGAATAGTCTTTTTAGTAGTTCAAAGAAGGAAGAGTAAAGACATTCATTATTTATATTTATTTGAGATTATTGACAGATAGATGACAAAAATGATAACAAAAAGATTAATTAATGCATTTATATCAACTCTAATATTAAAAAAAATAACATTACAGGATATGACTGAATATGTCAAGGAAAAAATTAGAGAAAACTATGAAATGTTTGAAAAGGGATAAATTGATTCTGAATTGTTAAAGAGAAACATAAAGCATAAACTTTATCTTCCAATCAATGAAAAGGAGATTGATTTGGCAATTTCTTAAGATAGATTAGATTTCAAAACACTTCTTAGAGTAGATAGATAATATTTTATAATTTAAAAATAAATGACTCTTTTATATAAAAATACAATTAGAATGTAGATAATTAAAAATTATGCTCATAATCACCTGTTCGTTTAGGCCAACAGAGAAATAAAATTTAGTCATACAACTTAGCAGACAATACAGTAAATAAATAAAAAAATTAATAACTAACTAACTAACAAACAAACAAACAAACAAACTAATTTATTTTATTACATCTAATACTATTCCAATTAATCGTTAAAATTTTATAATGTAAACAAATATTCAATATTTTTTAAGGATATACAATAATCTATGACATTGAAGAATTATAGATCTTTTAATGGAGGAGATACAAATTAAGTTCAAAAAGTCAGCAATAAATGTAAAGTTTCTATTTGTTTTTACTAATTTAATTTTAAAAATATAATAAAAGAGTAATCTCTCATTGTGGTTAAAGAATTTATAGATGGTCAATTAGACAAACCTAATTTCTTAAGGAATCTTAAAAAACTTGATGTCGACACCCAATAAGTATTATTTTAAAACAATTTGTTTGTCTACAATAAATTTAAATGAAGTTTTATTATTATCGAAATTCCTTCAAATAATTTTTGAATTAGGTGATAGAAAACAAACAAATAAACAAATAAATAAATTAATTTTTTTAATTTTAAAAATGTGAAATTAAAATAACTTAAAAATGTAATAATAAATAAATAAATTTGAATTATTTGAAAAATAAATTAGAGATACTGAATATGATCAGTTAATCTCTCTCTTTTAATAATCAATTAGACTTATTAGCAATATTTTTAAATTTCTACATAAATTAACAATTAATTATTTATACTTAGACTATTTGTTACCTTTTCAAAAAAAATAATTATTTTTATTTATTTATTTATTTATTTCGAATTTGGTTGATTTTAATGTAATGTTTTTGTAATAACTGTAAGATTTTTGAAAGTACAGATGTAAACAACGATAGATATGAACCTAATTCATTTTAAAAGCTAGGCTAGAAAGTTTTAAATTAATTTAGGTAAAATTCATTTTATTTTAAATCTTTAAATTAACGAATATTTTATTTAATGTAGGACTAACGATAACAGAACCAAAGAGAGTTAACTTCTTAGTTAATAATAAATTATTGAAAAATGTGTAAATGGAAACAATAAAAACTATTTATAACTTTTTAATTAGACTGAAAGTAAATTTAATTTTGAATATTTAGTTAGATTTTTTTATTAACAATTTTTAATATTTAATATAGATATTCCTACTTAAAGTTATGAGAATTTGGAAAATTAGTTTGTAAAAGAGGAAATTATGTACGATTTCGCAAATGGGCAGATCAGATTAAAGTAGAAGAAAGTTCAGGAGAGGTGTCCTAGTGCATGCAAGTCAAATGGTGACATAATTACATGGAAAGGATAGGAAAGAAGTATTGAAAGGGAGAAAGCGATTCAAGATAGATTGCTTAAGATAAAGAAATTCAAATAACAGAAATAGCTTTCGAGCGACCAGCTTAAATTACACTTGACAGAAGAAAATCAAAATTATTTTTATACTCCAACATGCACAAATTCTTTTTACAGCGCTAACAAAAGCAGCAAGAATAAGCAAAAGCAGAACCAATCCGCTTATTTGTCTTACAACAACTTTAGCAACAAGAGCTACAATGCAGAAAAAAAGTTCTTTAGAAATGAAAGCGAAACTACTTCAACGACATACTAGGAAAGTTCTAACTCTAACTTTTCAAGAAACATGAAAGAAGAAAAAATAAATAGAAAACTGAATGTGAGAAATTTGTAAGGAATTTTGAATTTTAATTTGATATTTAAACAACTTTTTGATCGTAAATTAATATACAGTATGATTGATGAATATTTTAATAATTCCTTCTAAATTTTAGCCATAATTTTTGCACTGTAAAATATAACCAAAGAATGAATTAAGCAAATTTAATTAAGGAATTTCTTGTAAAGGAAGAGCGAACAAGAAAGAATAAAATTAATAAAAAGACTAAAAAATTAATTGTTATTTTAATTCAAAGAATTTGTCTAAATTGATTAGTTTGTTTGCAACATTAATTAACTAATCAAATCCTACCCCTTTCTTTTTAATACATTCCATAAGACAAAAAATCCAGCTCTCATAACAATCAATTTTTTTATTTTAAAACATAGAAATTCGTCAGTAGGTGAACTAATGATAGACAGAATCTGAAATAACGAATAATTTATTCTCTTAAAATTTCTTATTTGACGAGTTAGACAAGTTAAATTACTCTTAGGATATAAAAATAAGTCAAGAGTGCTATTTAGATGAAGGCTTTTATTCATATTTATCAAATATTTAAATCTCATAATAAAAATAAAAATAACAATTGGTTGCTGTCAAAAAAATATAAAACTTAATTAATAAAAGAAAGATGACAGACAACAAACAATATTAAATTCTATTATCTTAAAAATAATTTATTTTCAATTCATGCATTTGTTAATGTATTTATATATAAAACTTTCATTGTCAAACAACAGTGCTTTTTAATGTATCTTGAACAAAAAATATTACAATCTAATTTATTTAATAACGCGCGCATGCATTATTTTAATTAATTAGTATTGAGTAACCAAATTTAAAAATAACAATTTTCGCAAGTATGAATAAAATATTTGCTCATTAATTCATTCATCAATTAATTAATTAATTTATTTATTTATTTACCCAATTCTTTATTTAGTATTTTGCTTTTTATCTTTCCATTTAAAAGCAAACATAAATTTTTTCATATTTATATTTGATGATGAAGAAAAGAAGAAAGACTTGATTGATGCTTTTAAAATAGATATTTGTTATGGTAATTAAGTTTATTTCAGCCAATAATACTGAATGCAATAACATTATGAAGAATAAAATTAAAAAAATACTAAGAGATGATCGAATAATTAGAAATTGCGGTCTAGTAGGATTTTTAATTTTGATTGATTAGAAAGACTGAACAGATTTTGCATTAATAAATGCGAGCACTTAAATAAATAAATAAATAAACAAACAAATAATTTGTACTTTTGTTAGCCAAAAAACAAATATAACTATAAAAACTGTACTTTGAAATTAAGTTGCTCAAATAAATACAAATGAGAAACATAGATTTTCTTGATTTCAAATTTTATAAAAAACACTCAAGCTTTTATTTTCTTACATTCAAAGCAGTAGATTTTTGTTTTTTTTTGTTTATTTGATCCCTTTAAGTAAATTATTTATAGAGACAAAGAAATATTCGTTAATATTTAATATGTGTTATTATTTTGCAAAAAATGTTACTCATTTATTTCACTTATCAATTACTTTTGAATTTGTGATAAATCCTGCCAGCAATATTTGGAATTATTTATATATTTTTATATGTCTAATCAATGAATGATGGTTATTTATATATTTTTCTTTTATTTATTTGTTTATAATTTCTTAATTTGCATCTTTTGAGTTACAGTCTTCAAATAATTCTTACTTTCAGATCTTAATTTCTAATTGATAATTTCTATTCAATGTTATCATCCTTTCTTATCTCCACTACTATCAAAATAATGCTTTCATCAAAAACAAACACATTCTTAATTCATAAATTTCTCAATCAATGATTGAAAGAAAGAATGAATGAATAAATGAGTGCTAGCATTTCTCAAAATAAAGACATTAACATAATTAATGTTTTTATATTTGCATTTCACAAAAACATTAGATAATTTTTTTCAAATGATCATAAAATACTTCAACATTAACTGTAATTCAATTGAATATATTCTTTTATAAACTGAAAGGAAGGAGGAAAAATTATCTAAAAAATATTTACTTACAATTTTTATATAAGGAAAACCTTAATGAAACATTTTACAGTCAAAATTATGTGTAAAATTTTATTTTTAGGTTACTTTAGGACATAAAACTTAAAGCTTTATTGGTATTTGTAATTAATTTAGAAGCCAATTTTATCTATCTTCGTGCTTAAATATGGTCTTAGATATAATTAAAGTAAATTTTTTGTAAATTAATTGAAATCAAAGATTTAGCTGCAATTTAGTAAAACATTTTCAGTATTTTTTATATTTGAAATATTTTAGCAAATTTAAAAATAGATATTTTTAGAAATTTAACACTTTTATACAGTAAAATCATTCAAATAAAACAAATAATTACATATAAGAAAATTGATTGAGAAAATAGTTGGTTATTTATCTACTGTAAATAGCTCTTTGTGATATATATTTTTTTAAAAAGGTAAAGACCAAATCATATTTCTGTAAAGAAAAAGGAAAGTTTGAGAATGTTAGAATTTTAGGATTATTTCATAAAATTCGAATACCTGTAAGTGTTTAAATATTTGGATAGAAAGAAAGTAAATATTTTTTAGGAACATTTAAACGTTACGGACAGTTCAGAGTATTTAAATGTAATCTGCCTGAAATAAAATAAATAATTTGATTCGCGTGCTTGTAGAAAACAATGGATTAAAAAATCAAATCATACACTCAATTTGAATTGTTATAACAAGTGAGCAAGTTAAGAAAATATTAATTACAGTTAATTTCGCTTGTTTTTTAAAATATAATAAATTTTTTTAGTTTATTTTAATATTTTAGATAGCTTACAATAGGCGATAATCAAATAAATCTTTCCTAGAACTTGTTAAAATTTTAAATATTGGATAGCTAGATTAATAGTTGAAAATATCTAATTCAACCTTTTTTTGTTATCATACTTTTTGCGTTCTGTTCAAATAAAAATAAAATGTAGATTTTTAATTTTGTACTTTGATTTTGAAAATACTTTGAAGTTCTTTTATTTATTTATTTATTATTCAAATTGAAGAAAATATTTTCTTTTGTTTTTTCAACAAAATACTAAAAAATAACTTGTTTTGAAAATGGATGTGCATGCGGTGTTAATTAATTTGATTACAAGAATTCAATTTTAAAGAGAAAATTTTGCATTATGCAAGTCACTTTAAAATAGTATTTATTAAATTGCTTTCGATATAGTTTACTTCGATTTTTTGAAAAATATTCGAAAAAAAAAAATACTACGATGTGAAAAATGTAATTTATGTCAGAATAAATTGGGTCAATTTAGTAGTTTTTGAGTGGATGCTCATGGGCCTAATCAAGCAAAATACACTAAATAAATCAATAGATCCTTGTTTGAAAAAATGTAATCTTTGTTAGATTTAATTGGTCGAAAGGCGACCTTGCGTTTGTTTTTTGTTCTATTTTATTAAAAATTAAGGGTAAGGTATGTTTTTAATTATCTTAACTATTCAATTCTTTTGGACTTACTGTGACTAAAATAATAATTAAAAATAAAATAGCAAATTTAAGTTTTAATGAAGTTACTTCATAACGAAAGATTAAGCTTACGGCTTTGGATAAAATTAGTAAAAGTAAAATATTTTCATATAAATTTATTTATTTTTTCAATTTGATTAAATTTGATTAAATATTTTAAAAGTTGTACTTCGAATTTAAATAATGTAAAAATTAGTTACTTTATAAATTGTTAGCAAATTTCCTTGTAATACTGCGAAATCATAAAATTAGTTGAACTACTTGGATTCGTAGGATGTATAAATTTGTATGTGTAAAAATGAGGCTTTAAACTTTGAGGATAAAATCATAAAACAATAACCAATTCTGATAAGTTGATAGGAAAATGATTAGTAATAGCTTGATTAGTAAGAAATATACTAGAACGAAAATATAAATATTTCGTTGTTTAATTTTGCCTAGTGAAAAATATCCTCAAAAATATACATAAATAAATTATTTGTTTGTATTTTGTTTGTTTAGGAATAGCAAGCACCACTCAAATTAATACATAATTAATTAATTTATTTATTGGGTACTAGATCCAAGTTAAAGTAAAAACCATAATGACCAAATATTATATAATAAAATACTTATCAGATCAAGTTTTACACAAAATTATATAATTTTTCACCTCAATTAAATCATTATTATAAAAATTTTACTTTATCACATAGTTTTTAATACTTCATGCTATTTTAAGATAAAACGATTAAAGCATTCCTTGAAAGGTAAATAAGTAGCATTAATATACTAAGTATAATTATGCCAATCGAAATACGATAATACAAAAAAATTAGAGCTAAAGGATAAAAAGCTTTTTTCTTAAATGAAACAAATTATTTGAATCGATGAGTAATTATGAAAAATGAGATTAAGATATTTTATACAGAGACATAAAGTTATATGTAATGAGATACTTAAAAGATTGATTAATTAATGTATTTATTATTATACTTTAGTACTTTTAATAATATATTTATTTCTTTATTTATCTGCTCAGTAAATGAAGTTAAAAATTATTCAAGGTTATTTATTGATTTATTTTCTATTTAAGAATTAATCATCCGCTTTTCTTACATTCATATTATTTACATAGTTTTAAAGTAAATTTTAAAAGTCAAAGTTTGTTTCTACGCGCTTTTATTTTTCCTTCATTTTACTTTTGCTAGCATTGAGTAATTATTTATTTATTTATTATTTAGATATAGGTAGATTTATAATTTTGTTTTTTGATTGATTAATAACTTTTTTTATAATTATGTTGGTGATATTAATTAAGTTTTTGTTATATGTTTGATAGTAGTATGTATAGTATTATATTATTAGTTTTGATTAAATTGAGAATTTAAAACAACAGCGACCTGCCAATCATTCAAATTATTAGTCAAATTGCCTTATATTTACAAACCTTTTTAACGTCGTATCCAAGAGACTCCTCCTTGAAAAAGTGAGTAGCGAGATAATCTATTTCAGTTTTAGAGAGATACCTTTTCTAGTTGATTGGCTATTTATTTTAATATAATTAAACTTTAAAAACTAACTTGATTGAAGATGTTAAATTACCTTAATTGACATTTTTAATTTATCTTCTTGCTATTCTTCTAGTCTTGCAAATTTAAAGAAAAGTGATCCGTTTTCGCACATTTATACTTCGCATTGTTGTGCAATTGCCTATTTTTTAATAATTGCATATTTATTAATTTATTCTAACGCAAACTCAAATTTTTTTATTAAGAAAATTATTTGAAAAATTTTAAAAATACTTATTTGTAAATAAACAGCTTTAAATATGTAAAATATTTCAGTGTTTTGTAAATTAGAGAGATATTTGCTGCGGTTTGGCAATTTTAGTTGTTGATTTTGAGGTAAATTTGAGAAACTTAATAGGATTTGTGAAGTATTTGGATGTATTTTGTTATAAACAATAAATTCGGCAAATCAAAGTAAATTGTTTAGTAATTAGAAGTTAACAAGCTATATATTTATTTGATAAATTTTTGATTTTGTAAGTAATATTTTCTTATAAGTTTTATTCGGTATTTCTTATATTGACAGAAATTATTAGAATTAATTAATAATCACCAGCGCATCTGTAATTCGCAAGTATAACTCTCTATAACCTCTTTTACCAAATCACAGTATTTACAAAAAAAATAAGTAAATAAATAACAATTTTTCACAATTGTTTATCTTTCACTCTAAATACTTTAAAATATTCTCGTCTTTCTCTCTCTCTCTCTCTTTCTTTCAAATTATCTAATTTGTAAAAATGTTATTTTTTTACCTCTCCTTTGCAACTGATTAAGCTCATTTCTGCATTGAAAGTTTCTTTATCTGAGTTGAAATTACTGGTATCATTTGTATCCACTGATTTCTCGCACAATGAAGATTGTTCTGTATTTTCTGTTAAAAGTGACATCAATGAGTGAATAAGGCTCTCATAATTCTTGGTGCAAGCAATTCTTTTTTAAAATAGCATTTTAATAAAATAATTGTAAAATAAAATTGTTAAATTTTTTACTCTGGAAGACCAGAAAAGGAAACTTGATCGACAAATTCTTAGATATCCCAACCTAACTACTTGAGCAAGCAGTGACTTATGTGAATATGAATTTATTTGTTTTCAGAGTTGTCGTCTTAAGACTGGTATTTTATGTTTTCGACGATAATGAAGCTGTTTTATTTGTTATTCTCTGCCAATTGCAAAATTGACTGTGATTAGGAGTATTTAGACTAAACCTTGTTTTTCTTCCTTGAATTTATTGAAGCCTTCTATTAAATATTTGCTTATTTATCACTGCTACTTGCTTCCTTCAAGCAGCTGGATTAATCCTTCTAAGAAAATATTTAAGAGTTTTTCATTTAAATTGAATTGGAAAAATCCTTAAATCCTATTATTTTTTTCAAGACTTGAGGGCTGGTTTATGATGTGAAGTAGTTGGGACAACTTTTGATTTTAATTAGGATAATAAATTATTATAAAATCTGTAAATTATTTAAAAAGCTAATTTTTATTACTTTTATAGATAGTCAAAAGACAGGTTTTAGCGCAAAGCCAGTGTCACAATTTATTGATTTTTATTAGATGTTGCGTAGAGAGGAGAGTGAGTCTCATTTAAGGAAGAGAAAATTGATATTAAATTGTTTTCTTAAATGGGATTTGTTGCTTGCTTTTGTAAGTAAGAACAATTTACTGGTAAATTAATCTATTGATTAAAATGTAAAGTTTTTTTAAATATATATATATATGTTAAGTTATTTAATTTATGAAATAGGAAAAATAAATAAATAAATTTAAATTAAGAATAGTAAAAAATAATAATGGGGAAACAAATTCTCAACAAGGTTGAGAATAAAAACGGGAAGATAAATTGTTAGAAAAATAGTTCTATTATAAATTTAAGAGCATTTAAGCATAATAAATAATATTTTACCTAGGGCAAGCTGAAAAATTTAGAGTGTTCTAATAGTTCTTATGCAGCGGAATTTCTTTCAAGGTGTTTCATAAGACATTTTTAGAGAGAAGCCACTGATTTATCTTAGATCTTCATGGATTTCTTGCTTTTTTTACTTTCAGTTGTATTATTATTATTATTATTGATGGATGCCATACTAGGATTAGATATATCCTCAGATGGGAAGCTTGTGCTCTGGCAGCTTGTCCTCTAATCTTCTTAAAGACTTCTAGCTTGGTAATTTCTTCTGCTTTAGTGAGAATTAAGACAGCTCTGTAGTTTCGAGTTACTCATAGAAGATTTGCTTCTATTTTTTAATTTAAATTCTTCGCTGTCCTATGAATTCTTTAATGATTCAGCTTCATCATCAAAATAAGAATCAACTTAAAAGCAGAGTTTTGAGTTGGATTTTCTCAAGTTGTAAATACGGTCCATTCTTTCTTTAAGGGAATATTAGTTTGGAAGGGCAGAAAAAAGTGCTTTGAAGGGAGTGCTAAAGAGGTAGTTTGGGTATTTAGGTGTGGCAGATAGCTCAAAAACAAACAATAAGTATGTGTTTTTAATTTCTTGTTTTTTATTTTTTTAATTTACCTTTTTTTAAATTAATTGGGTTCTACTTATTTATTATAATTTATTTGAGTATTATATTAATAATAAAAAAAATCAATATCTACAAATTTAATTAGTTGGAGAAAGCTCCTACCTACATACATACCTACTTACCTACTTATCTATCAGACTATTTGCTTGTTTGTCAAAAATTTAATTAATTGATATTATTATTGATATCATTGTAATTAGATTGATTTATTAATAGATAGATAGATCGGCCAATTATTTGCTTATATATTTATTAATTTATGATAAGCCTTTGAAAAGAAAGAATTCAAAACTGTATGTGTGTATATATATGTATGTATGAATGTATGTATGTATATCTATGTATGTTCTATCTATTTTTCAATCAATCTAACTTTATATCAAAACTTTATTTACTTTTTCAATCAGATCATTGATTTAATACTTCGTACATTCAGATTTGCTTAAATTTATAATTCTAATCAATTCCAACAAATTTATCAATTGCACCTCACCCCTAAGTTTTTGCAAATATTATCAAGTAACCTTTAAAATTAGTATAACTTTAAAACAATTTATGTAACACATTTTATGAAAAAAGTTCGCAGTAAATACATAATTCATTCATCAAATGTAAGCATCTTAAGACTAATGAAATGCAAGCAAACATATTTGAAAATAAGCTGCAATATGTTAAAATACCTATTCCATATTCCAAAATAAAACAAATATAGCTAAATATTTCATAAAATTTTTCTGATTTTGAAGTTCGTTTAAATTTTCACAAAAATTTACCTATTTACATACATGCATTATATATATTTTGTATTATCGTCCTAATAAGCAAGTAAATACTTTTCTTTACTGATAGTTATTGTAACACGACTTATTATTTGTATTAACAGAGATATCAATATTTCTAAAATAATAATCTATTACAGCTTTTGTATGCGTTTTTTATTGAGTTTGTTTGTTTGTTTGCTTGTTTGATATAAAAAAAATCAGATAAATATTTTCTTTTAATTGAGTGAAAAAAATTGTAGAATAATTTGCATAGATAACTAACTAACTAACTAGAAATAAGTATCTAATCAAGAATTTATCAATTATTTGATGAAACAAATAAGCATAATTAGGCAAAATTAATTTTTGTTTGTTTATTTGTTTAGGTGAACTAGAAAATATTGAAAAGATAAAATTTGTTAATTAAAAATTCTGATTATTTGTTTGTTTCTTTTTATTTGATTTCTGTAATTTTAAGCCTCAATGCCGAATGTGCTAGGACGATTTACATTCTTTAATTTTTTATAATAAATGCATAAATAAATAAATCCTTCATTTAAATTTAATGTTAACAAATTAAATATAATTAAATTTGCTCTTAAGACAATAGCAAGCAAGCAAGCAAACAAACAAAAAAAGAAAGAAAGAAAAAAAAGAATATATAATAAATAAATAATACTTATCTGCATTTTTTATTCATAAAATTAAAAAATACTGAATAATTTTTTCACTTAGGTTTTAGTCTCGAATTATGCAATTCTTTTCTTTTCACAATAACTTCGCTTTAAAAAATAATAATTTTTACTTCGCTATGATAATTTTGATATTGCTTTTCATCTTTAATTACATATTTTTTGAATGTATGTAACTTTATTTTTGAATGCAAAATCTATGGTTGGTTGTTTAGTTTTAAAATTATTTAAAATACAAAAATAAATACTATAATTAGACAGATGGTCTATAACTATTTTTCATTTTTCAAATTAACTTTGATGTAAACTAAAACTTTTATTTATATTCAAAGTAATGAAGAAAAAAAGTAAAATACTTTACATTTTATAGCATCAATATGTATGTATATTAATTCAGAAAATTCAGCTCAATTCTCAACTTAAAATTTTATTTTTAAGCAAATTTAATTGACTAAATTTAACAAGACAAGCAAATTTGTAAATTGAGTTGATCAAAGCACATTTGAATAATCAAGAAATTAAGATTTTGTTAAACCTAACACATTGAAACATATTGAGTTTTTAGGAAAGAATGAGAAATTTAATTTATAATTAAATTAGGTAATACTTGAAAAATACTCAATAAAAATACAAATCAAAACCTGTATTTTAATAATAATTATTATTCTAATTGTTAGCAAACAGGATCAGATTAATTAATTATATCAATTTTTAACTGAGTCCGTGCTAAATTGGTAATTTAATTTGTTTTCAATTTACTTTCTTCTTCTTAATAATTATAATATTATTTTTTTATTTTTAATTTTAATGTAGAAAAAAATAAGAATTGTATTTTTTTATAACTTCTAATCAATCTTTAAAAATAAAGAATATATATATATATCGCTTTGCAATATAAGTGTAATTGATTGTGCTTTTTACAATTTACTTAATCAGAAATTTCAATTATAATTGTTTTGTTTTTTTACTATTAAATAAATGCATATTGAAGAGATTTTCTTTTGTTAAAAAGAATGAGTTGATTAATATTTCTAGTAAAGAAATTAAACTAAATATAATATTATATTTCTTTTTAGATACCAAATAAGTGAAATTTATTTAAAAAAAAACTAAATTTTTTTTACTTAATTCACTGATCTATGTATCTATCTATAACAATTTCCAATGAGGCATTTTTTTAATTCAAAGCAATATTTATGTATATACGTACATATATAGTATTTCTTTTTAATAGAAATGCAAGCTAATAAAGAAATCAAATGAGAAAGATTCTATATCAAAAAGCTTTTGAGCTCAATCAAATCAAAAGTACAAATTAAAAAGAAATAAAATGATTTCGATTTTAATAATTCTAAAAATTTTATTTTCAGATTGCTGAATTACTTTTTTTGATTGACATCTAGTTAAAAAAAAATTTTTTGCTTACATACTTTAAAATTTCTTTCAAAATGAAAGTGCACTTTTGATGAATCTGTATTGAAAAACCTCAAGCAAAAAGCTTTTTCTGCAAGAATAGAATATAAATATCAGTGTTAATTGAAAGTAAATATATTGTCTTCATCGAATGTAAATTAATCTAAAATGTGTATCCTTATAATCTCTTCTGAAGCATAAATATATAAAATATATAAATAAGCAAATACACACTTTCATACGCATTAGTCATATATTAAAGACTAACAACTTTACATGATTATTATTCCTTATTATAAAAAATTTTTTTATTCCTTTATTGCATTAATTAAAAGTCATATTTCTATCAGATATAAGGTAAAATCATTTTCTTCAATGCTTTTTTTAGGCATTCTGTCTTCGATAGAGCCATTTCAAGGGATTTTATTATAGACAAGTCCCTTTATGACGCACTTGAAAGTTATATTTAAAAATTTATTATAATTACAGAGAGACGATTATTTTACTCAAAGAATATTAAATTGGTTATTCGCAAACCGATGGTATTTAAAGAATAACTTTGATTACAATATGTAAAATTGAAATCTTTGGAAATGTTTTTGAATATTTGATTCATTGATTCAAAAAGATTACATTTTCCATGTTCTTTGATTGACTAAGCTTTCCTAATAAATTTCGTAACAAGCAATCACATTTAATCAGAATTCATTTACTTACTTTCATAGAAAAAAATAAAGACATTTTTTGACAATTTAATTACACTTTTTTTAATGATTAAATATAGCCAAATAAATACTATTAATGCAAGTATTTAAACAAACACAGACAGACTTCAATAAAAGCAAGCAAATATTTAATTATTCATTATCTTCAAACATTCATATATCCAATCATTCATTCATTCATTGTTTCTTTCTTTCATTTTATTAATTATTCAAGTCATTCAATATTTATTATATTCATTATTAAAAGAAAGAATTTAATTATTTTAATTTAATAAAGCGATTGGCTTTACTTTAAGAGAGGAAAAATCAAAATCAAAATCAAAATTAAATTTAGATACAAGAAATTCAAAGAATTTTAAAAACTCAAATAAATTAACAAACTAAACAATTAAAAGAGAAAGGATAATTTGAGTTCTGGAGAACATTTTCAAGATGAATAACTAACTTTGCAAACAGATAAAAAAATATTTTAATCTTTAGTTTTGTTTCATCAATAGATGAAATGGGGTTCCATTCCACTAAGTTTTTAAACAAATCAAAATGAAGTCTGCAAAGTTTCCTCATCAAAATCATGTTACTCTTTAATCACCAAGTTATTTCCAATTCTCTACATTTTTTTCGCAAAATATTAATTTCCTTAAGCATTTAACCCAAAAATTATCATGATTTCAAGATATGACAATTATATTTTAAATCCCCGAATCGGTGAACATCCAATCCATTAGTTTTTTAAAATAGAAATTAAGATAACAAATAAATACTTAAGTTGAGATTAATATCGAAAAAAACTTATTTCCAAAAGTTAAAAAGAAATGAATATATAGAAATATTTTTTAAAAATACTAGATATAGATAAAGACAGCAAGCAAGCAATTAATAACAGCGCTAAAAGCACATTAAACATAAAACAAGAAGAAGCAAGAATAAAAAATTAAACAAAGAAAAAACAAAAAAATAAAAATATTAAATAAACACAAAAGAAATAAAAAATAAAATTTACAAATAAACAAATAAAATAAATTAAACAAGCAAGCAATCAAATACAAATACAAAACAAATTAAAAAAATAAATAAATATTAAAATAAATTAAATAAAAATACATCAAATAAAATTAATCAAATTTAATTACAAATAATATTTTCATAATTAATTCGATATTTTTATTTTTCATAAACATCAAAGTATTTTAATTCAAAGAATATTAAGATATTTATTTATTTCATTTTAAAATATAAATAAATACAAACTTTTTAATTATTTCTAACTTTGATTTTTGCTTAGATTATTTGATAACAAAATAATTTATTCATCTATCATTAACTTTAGTTTAATAGAAAAATGGTTAGGACATGGATTCTTAATTTTTACATCGACATTTTGAAAATTTTTATATATATAATATTTTGATTTGTAAATTAGATAAAGTTTATAATATATTTTTTATAATAGATCTTATTTTCTATTATATCAATATTGATTGTGTTGAGTAATAAATAAATAAACAAATTAATTATCTTTTAAATAGGTAATTATGTATAAAAAGATGATTATTTGTGTTTGAATTTTATGTGTTAATAGAAGTATTTTTAGATGCTTAAAAATAATTAAGAGTAAATGATTGCTATCATAAATGGCCAACTTGATTTTGAAAAAAATAATTGGATATTTGACATATTTAAATGAAATTATTATTTAACTATTGCGTCGATTATAGGAAGGATTTCTACAATATCTAATAATTATAATTTATAAAATATCAAATTAAAAGTATAAAGTTAATATTTTTAAATATTTTTTTATTTGAGAAAGAGAATTTGATGAAAATAGATTTATTTTTTGTTTATAAAACAAATCTTTTAGAATCTAATAATATTTAACACTACTAAAAAATTTAAATTTTTTATATTGTAAAATTATGAAATCCTGTTTGCTTTTTTTGATTTTTAATTTTTTTTTGACTAAATAAATATATTCTTCTCTAATTTATATTGAATGCTAAATATATTTAATACAAATATTTTATTCATTATAAAAAATATTTAGTGTAGAAAAATATAAAATAAATAGATAGAGAGATAATAAATTAATAATATTGATTGATTAATAAATAGATCTACCACAAAATTATTCAACTATTTATATTATTTTGGAGTGTGTATTAAAAATTAATATAATTAATTTTTATTTTTTATTTTTTATTTGGTTTTTCAGCAAAAGTAAAACAAGATTTTTAGAATTCTATAAAATAGCAAACTAGATAGATAAATATTTAATATGGATGTTAAATATAGTGAATAAATGCTTAAATGTCCAAAGCATCTTGGATTTAAGCTAGAATTTATTCAAGTAAATAATTTACCTCAAAATTATGAGAAAGATATTTTATATTGCTGCTGTTGTTAAGATGAAGATGAGAGCTACTAGCAAAAAAATTTTATACTTATTCACAAGTTAATTGATGAAGGAAACCAAAAAATATTGTCTAAGTGGCCTCCTTTGAACAATGATAAAATTCTGCAAAGCTTGATAAATGAATCGAAAGATTAAGATATTTAATCATCTCTTATTTAACAAATCAACAGCTTTTTTGATCAATTAATTTAAGACTTTCTTTTTTAAGTTGATCAGTGCAAAAAGAGAATGATAAACTACTCTCTAAAGTAATATAAAGACAGTTATATATTAGAAAAATACTAAGAAATTTCAAAGATTTTAGATCTGAGAAATACTCTTTTAGAAGATAAAACTGATGTCCATCAAAAATAAGCTAAATGCAAATAAATAATTAAATAAATGATAGAAGCAAAAGACCAAAATACTAAAGTTATTTCTTAACTTTTGAATTAACACATTGATGCTAAAAATTAAATCAATTATGATTATCCTAGCATCATTAAAAAATCAATACTAAATTTAGTTGATTAAATTAATTTTTTTTGTCAATAAGATTGCAAATAATCTAAAAATCATGATTATTCAGACACAAAGATTTAAATAGAGTAATAAAATATTTTTGTTGATTAAATCGTCAGCCTCATTTCTACAAAATCTAATTTCTGTTCTGACAAGTTCACTTAAAAGTTTAAAATTATTTTGAATTAAATACATCCGTTGTTGGATTAACTTAATAATATAGAGCTCTTTCAACCAAACAAAAAACCCATAGATTTTTAACTATTGAGAGACTATGATTTAGATATTATCAGAAATTAAGTATTTGATCTTGAAAAAAAATAATTGAATTAATAACCAATTACCTTTAATTAGACTAACTTTAATAACGATAAATAAATTATTTCCATAACTAAAAATTAAAGTATTTCCATCAAAGCTACAACTGATTCAAATTATCCAGGTTAATGCGTATCTAACATCATTTTAGATAAAGAATAAAAATATATATTTAGATTTAAAATTTTATGTAATGTTGATAGAACTTATTTTGATATTGGCATGGTCAGAGATACTGAGAAAGATAGAGATGGTTTTATAGATTGCTTAACTTACAGTTTACTCTACTCTAATGGATAAGTCTCAAAGAGTCCATTTAGTTCTCTTTCTAAACCAGTCAAGGGTAAAGATTTAATAGTAAAAACAGACTCTTAACAGATAGAAGTAAGAGTCTCACTCCAAGATAAAATATTTGAAATCGTAAATTACCCAAATTACGATTGTAAACTTTAAATTGATGATTATTATAAAAAGAATTTAAATTATCACAATTTAAGGCTATTCATACAAACAAAATCTAAGTCTTTAGAAATTATCCTAGCAGATGTATTTAATATAGATTCTTTCCAAGAATGAATGAATGAATGACACATATTAAACAATAAAATCTAATTTTCTTACTTAATTAGTTAATTAATTACTTAACCCTTTCTAAGGGGGCCGAATTTCCTCAAAAAGTAATCAGAACTCTTTGAGGAAAAAAATTTAAAATTATTAAGAATTTTAAAACAAATATAAAAAAAAAAATTAAACCTAGAACAAAAAATGTTGATGAATAATATAATAATCTTTTGAATTATCATAAATCATGATATCATTAAAGGTTGATGATTGTGATATTTCAAATGCAGGAACAGCGATATACTTAATTAGCTATTTCAAATAAATTACTGATAGATTTTTTAATTAATTGTACTTTTTTTACACAAACCTTATAAGACTAATTTTATATAAAATATTAATATTTGAAGTATTTAAAATATTTGTTTAAAAATAATGTAAATAAGGTTTGTTTATAAAATTTAAATTATATTATTAAAAATAGCTTTTCAATAAAAAAATAATTATTAATGTTTAAAACAAACAAAATAACATTTAAAGAAAATTAAATCTTTAATCTAAAAGAAAAAAAGTGTATTTATTTTATTTATTTAATGATTTTAATTATATCCTAAATAAAATAATTATTCATTGAATAAAAAAATGGTTTATGAAAAGAAATAGAGAAAAGAGGTAAAATAAATTGAGGTATAAATAAATTACTTGAATTTGGATATGAATATAGTAAGTTTTGTTATAAAGGAATTAAGTGTAAACAATAATTAGTACGACTTTGTAGATTTAGAAATCAATGGATGGCTATTTGTTATCAAAAAGCATTTTATATCAAAAATTAAATAAGTTTCTTTTATAAATTAAACAAAATTTTCTAAAGTATTTGATTGTAATTAGAAGAATTGTGGACAAAAATATCTTTTCTTTATATTTAAGGATTGCGTAGATAGCTGAAGAAGTTATTATTAAAAAATAGATGTAAAAATAAATATAAATGAGATGGTTGTAAGTAGCTGTTTGTTAGCCCTTAGGATTAATAATTTAATAACAAACCACTCATATTCTTTATAAAGCTGATTATTTATCAAACAATTTTTATAAATTAAAATGTAGTTATTCAATACTTAATGATTAATATCAATCGTATTTAATTCTAAATTCAATCAAAAATTTCTATCTAAGGGTTCTCTGTTTTTTTAATTATAAATGCTTTGTTTTTTTTTCTTTTTAATTAAGTTAAAAAATTAAGAAAATAAGCAAAATTAAGATATTTATTTTAATTGCAAATAAATAGAATCAATAAATTCTAAGTAAGCACATTCATTATCTTTTCCTTAATGAGTTTTTAGGCAAAGCTAAATCTTTAGCTAAATTAGAATTCCACTGGAGTGAAGAGTTTAAATTCAACAGCTTCTAATTTTCGTTCTAGTTCTCACCAACCATCTTCCCTGTAGCTTTAGCATGATTTAATTACCTAAATATATTCAAATTAGCAAGTAAATTAAATAAAATCTACATTAGCGAAAGTAGATACTATAAAAAACATGAACACACATAATAATAGCAGTTTAATAGCTGGTTAACACATGTTTTCAAGTATTGGAAATAGTAAAATTTAGAATATTTCATAAAACACTGTAAGTAAGGACACAGAATAAACTATTTCTTAATAGCAGTAAGGAGAGCTAGAATAAAAGCATGCACAATAAATACCAATACCATAAATTACACTAAACAATGGTTTACAGCTAACTCAAAACAATCGCAAGTCAATTCAAAATAAATTAAGTAATGAGTCTCTAATGTAGGACTTTAAAAATTAAAAAAGGATCTCTTATTCTCATAAGGCTCTTAATTTTTCTCCTTCTAATTAGAATAAACAGGCAAAAAATATCCACCTTAATATAGGAGCTAATTTCTAATAATCTTAAAGAAATAGCTTCGCAAACAATAACTTAAGCCATAATAATCAGCAACAAAATTCTATTTAATCTACACTTCTGCAATAAATATAACAATAAAGCGGAAGTGGCGCATAATGGAGTAGCTCTTAAAGCCCTTTATAAAACAGCAGCATTTCTTAGGCGAATTCTTAAATTTAATAAATTAACTTTTAGCATGTAAAAGGTGTTTTTTCACCAATGAAATCCCTTTTTAAAAACCAAAATACAACTGATTTCACATAGTCTCATGCTTAATTTAATAAGACGTTTTAAATATAACCGCACTCTGCTACTGGCAACCCTTCTGCACTTTAGTAGCTGTATCTACAACAAATTCCTTAGCAACCGAATTAACAAGTTCAATCAGCTAAAAACAAAGATTTAAAGGGACCTTTCTTCTTTCCATCCAGTAAAAAATAATAAATAATACCAAGCAATACAGCTGTAAATGGCAGCAACTTTTCCAATACAAACAAATCTATAAGAAATGCTTCCATTTAAGAACTTTAAAGCTATTAAGCTCCTTATCACACTCAAAATCAATTATAAACTCACAATAGCCTTGTTAGTGAAACTGTTTTCACAAAAGGCTCTGCTAATAACTTAGATCTGAATCTATTAAAGCTTGAAAGAGAGTAATTAAAAGAAAGGATAGATAAATTAGATTCAGAAAAATTTGATTTAAATAAATTGCTTACAATTTCTAATTAGATAAAAGATTTAGCCATTTTATAATTAAAAAGACTCATTGAACAAAAAGCTCCGATTAACCTTTTTGAAAATGATTGCTTTAAAAATATATTGTAAATGGAGTAGCAATATGTGTAAGAAAGTCTGTCTTAAGCTGATTCTTTGACTAATTTGGTAAAACAGTCTCCTAACTCTAAAGCCTTAGCTGAATTTAGGAAAGCATCCTTGATTAAATAGAATCAACAACCTATTGAAGATATCTAATCTTATAAATCTACAAGTTAGCAACCAAGATCATCTTTACCAACTTCTCCTAAGAGAAAAATTCATTTCGATAAAGTAAAGGATAAGGTTATTTAAATAAGCTCATTCGATAAAACAGGCAAAAATAAAACTAAGTTTTCAAATAACGATTCTAATAATATGAATAAAACAACCAACGTGAGCTAAAACACTGGAAATAATTTAAGCAATAATTTGACTCATCAAAATAGCTTAGCAAACTAAGTAAGTGGCCACTCTTCATCAAATATAACTCTTTACAACCATAAATTCAGCTCTGAAGATAATACTAAAAACACTTCTCAAATTATAGGTATGATTCAACCTGCTATTATGATTTAAGAAGAGTTACAAAAAATAAAACTAAGAATGATTGAAGTGCTAAAGTTAAAAAGTCAGTGTCCAATGTGCTCTAAAAAAAGTATATCATTAAAACCTCATGAAGAAGTAGCATAAAATGCAATATAAAAAAACTAAATCAATAGTCCGAGCATACAATAAAAAGGTTTTAAATTCACTATTTAAAGAAAAAGTGAGTGCATCAATTTAAATGACATCTAAAAGATTAATTATGGAACTGATAGCGAAAAAGATAAAATAAAAAGTTATCGCTGATGGTATTGAAAAAATATCAAAAATAAAACTAATTAATTAAGTTTCATCAAATTGAACTCATTATTATAATATAAAATAAATCATATTTATAATTAACTCTCTAAAATATAAATAAAAATGCATAAAAAAATTACATATATGCAACTAATTCATGAATATAAAGCACTAATCAACTCATATTTATTTATTTTACGAAAATTAATCAACTGACATTAAATAGATTAAAATTTACCAATCTTTTTTTATCTAATTAAAAATATAAAATTCAAAATATAATAAAAATGGTTCTAATAAGATTGCTCACATAAAGCAATTTTGATTTGAATTAAATATAAATTAAAATAATTTACTTAAAATAAGATAAAATTAATTATTTGTTCTTGTTTATTCATATATTAAAAAATATTTATTTTTAAATGCACATTCACTTCTTATAGTCAATCTGACAGACGGATAACCAGATAAACTTACTGACTCATTAAATTTTTTATTATTTTTAAAATAAATTCCAAAAATTTTCTTGACCATATTGAATTTTATTGAAATTTCCTGAATATTCAATTGATAGTATTTAAATGGTGAAATAAATTAATTGCAATAATATAGTTTAATCTATTTATTTTTTGAATAAAAAATTAGCTCATTAGTTTTAAAGAATTTACATCAAAAATTAACTATAAAAAGAATACATTTTAAATAGAAAAATTGTTGAATTAAATTCAATTCTGTTGAATGTTGCTTTAACACTTTAGTAAATTTTCAAGTGCTGATTAGTATTAGGATTTATATTGGTCGATTTACTATACATTTTATTTAAATTTTTATTCAAATAAAGCTAGCTCTTCACCTCTTATGGTTGCTAGTTTTTAAGAGGCTTCAAGCGATATGTTTACTATTGATAGCTAGGATTTTAGTGAATCAACATCACTTTGCAATAAGTTATTTTTCTAAGTAATCTCTGTATTTTCTTAACTTAATTATCTCAACTAAGTTCTGAGCTCTTCTAGTCTAGAAGATGATTTTTCATTTGAATATTTTTTACTTTTAGATAGAGAATTAGAGTTCTCTAATTCATTTTTTAAACATTCCAATTATAGGTTTAAATTGTGAGCATTTTATTCTGCTCTCATTTTCTCATTAAGAATTTTTGTAAAATTCTCAATTTATTCAATTTGTTTATTCTCTAATTATGAAATCTAATTTTGTAAATCGTTGATTTAAGCTTTCAATTGTAAAACTTCATCCTTTTTAATTTTAAATTAAATTTTATTATTTAAATATTAAATTAAATGTTATCTTTAAATATCAAATTAAATTTAATAATTTAAATATTAAATTTAATTTTCTCATATAAATAATAAAGTTAATATTCATTATAAATAAATTTTAAGAAGCTACTTAATCCTGAGTTGAAGCTGTTTCATACTTATTTGCAATGTTTAATTATAATTATTGAATTTCATATTTTAGCTAAGCATTTTCTTCATTGAGCTACTCTATGAAGATTTGCTTTAAGTTGAGTTCTTCCTTAAATTTATTGATCTCTTGCTCAAATAAATTACTTGTTAGATAAACGCTGTTTGTGGCTGAAATCAAGGTGTTATTTTTGTCATTTATTTCTTCTTATTGCTTTTAGTTTTCCGAATTTTAAGTATTTTAAAAAAACACATTCATTGGCGTTTATTCTTAAGTTGCTTAGCTCTCTAATTAATTAGTATTGTTAAAGTTTTATGTGTTTTAACTCAACAGTTGATGTTAGTCAAGTTGTGCTTGCAAATTTTGTATATTTTCTTGATACTCGCTTTATTAAGACACAAGTTCATTTATGCGCTATTCCAAACCCTAGACCTAATTTTTTAAGGCATCATTTTATTCTTACAACTCATTTTGTAATTTAATAAGCTCTGAGCTTTCCAAATAAAGCTGAGGGTTATTTTCTTTATAAATGTTGTTTTGCAATTCTAATTCTTCTATTTTCTAAAGAGCCTTCTAAAGTTCTTCTTGCTTTGCTTGAATCTCAGACTCTTTTTAGTCTTTTAGGATATTTAAATTTTCATTCTCGCTAATGACTTAGCTAATATGAGTTTCAATCTAAGTGAAATTAGCTTAATAACCCATACATTTAATTCTTTCCTATTCTATAATTTATTCTTAAGCATTTATTTTTGCTTAAAGCTGCTCTATTATTTAATTTTTTTATATCTATTCTTCAACCATGTCTTAATTTCTTTTATCTTGTTGCTGAATAAATTGCTCCATTTAATCTACTTTTGTCATTATTTCTTTGTATTAATTCCTATACGAGTTCTTCAAATCATCTAACTCTTGGTCTTTTTGTTCTATAATTATACTTAGATTATTGTTTTCTATTATCAAATTTTTAAATTTATCCTCAGTTAGCTTGTTGTTAGAATCCTCTCCACCTAAACTAGATTGTTTGCTCACACTTCTGCTTGAATGAGTGCTTCCTTATTGTCCTTATGTGTTTTTGTTTTAATCATAAGTCTTCTTTACGGAATGGGATGACTAAGAACTCTTACTTGATCCTTATCTGGATAGATTAATAGGAGGCATCCCATCTTTTTGGTTGTTTCCTTTGACTTAAGTTTACTTAAGCGTTTAATTTGTGCTTCCAATTTTATACATATATGAACGAGTATTATAATTAAATAAAATTAATCAATAAAGAAATTGCAATTATTATTGTTTATTTAATTTGAAGAAATTAATTAATTAATTGATTGTAATAGTTAGAAATTTTGTTTCTTCGAATATCTTGAATGATCTAAATAAAGATTTTAAATATTTTTTTGTTAATTTAAAGGAGTTGATCTATTTATTAAAAATCCATGATAGTCGTTACCAACAAATTAATAGAAAGATTCTTCATATCACTTTTATTTCAAATCTTCCAGTGAAATTTTAAATAATAAAAAACCTTCTTAAAAATTATATTTATAAATATAATTTAGCCATTATTGAAATTAATTTGTTTAAAAAAAATTGCCATATTAAAAATGTTTTTCTTCAATTTTAAAACAAAATTGTAAAAAAGCTATCACAAAATTTATACGGTTGGTTATAATATATATCACTTGTCAAATCTGAGGTTACCAAATTAATAAATTTTTACTGTTTTTACAAAATATAAAATAAGCTTTTTAGTAAGGCTAATAGATAAGTAATTAAAAAAAACTATACCTCCCCTCCCTATTCAATAAACTTCCTATTAAGAAAAAAATAGTTTTTATTTAATAAAAAGGAGCTGTAGATAATATTTAAGTGATTTTAGATTTTTAACAAGTTTGTAAATAATAAAATTTAGTAAATACAAAATTATGTAACTAACTAATAACAAATAAATAAATAATTATGGAATTTATTTAAAGAATAAATTTTTTTATTTAAGATTTTTACAAATAAATTTGAAAAAGCTTGAAAGTAATGATTTAATAAATTAATTTTATTTATAATATAAACAAAATATTTTAGTTTTTTTTATAAATTAATTGTGAGTGGATTGGTTGTTTGTTTGTTTTTAATATTTGGATTTTTTATTATTTTTTGAAAAAAATTGTTTAAATATATTTTTTTTAATTTATTTTTGTATTAAGAACTTAATGTGAAAGGTTAGTTGTATTGATAAAATAAAGCATAATGAGCTGATATCAATCAATCAATCAGTATATCTTTTTCATCTTTATCAATAATTTCCAATTATAAAATACAGAATTAACTAAATCATAGTTGTATTTTTTATGCCGTAAAATGGACACTATCATACCTTTAAATTTCTAAAAGCTTCTCCATAACAAGATATCTTCTTGTTTATTTTAAAAGTTAATTATTCTTGTTTCAATTAATTTTTTTCTTTGTTAAATATTTTTATTCTTTTCTAATTGTTGGAAACATCTTAACTTAATTTTAAATTTGTAGTAATTGTCTGCATCTACTTGTTTAAGCAGATAGTCATTAACAATATTTCCAAGCCAATTATATAAAGAAGTTCTCATCATCCTCTTTTGATAATATTAAACAGCCATTTTTAGTTTAGCCCTTCTGTATTCTACAAACCTTTTTTATTTTTGCAAATTAAAAGCTTTTTTAAATTATTCAATCAATTAATTAATTGCATACTTTTTTAAGAAAAAGAAAGATTTTTCAATCAGATCTTTTTTTCTGTTAAAAATTTTCAAGACAATTAATCTTTTTCTCTCAATAGAAACTTATCTAAACTCCCTCCACCTCTAAAGTGACTTCTTTTGCAGTTTATTTTTTCTGTGTCTTTCTGCTTTATTAATCTTAACATTCAATTTTAACCTTTAAAATGTTTACAAAGCCAATCTCTCCTTCTCTTTACTCTCATAATAAGAATTCACTTTTTAATGAATAATATTTAAAAAATGTCAAAAATAATAATAATTCTATCAAAAATTGCTTCCTAAAGCCTCATAAAGCTTTAATTTTCGACAAAATTATTTGGAAGGAATATAAAAGTAGATAATAAAAAAAATAATCTATATATTTACCTGCCTCATCTTTAAACCTTTCTTCTTGGCTTATTGAGACGGCTTTCTTGAAAAGCTAGAATATCCTCTTCTTTAGAAAAAATGAGTGCTAATTTTTAAAGTAATGGAGAGCCTTTCTCTTTTTATATTATTTAAACTTATTTTTCCTAACCACTATGCAGAAAGCATGAAAAATTTAGAAAAGATGAAACTTTTTTGCCATAGAATTGAGCTTTTCAAATTCAACTATTTTTTTAAGTCTGATAAAATTCCACTTTAAGAGAGAATGAACTCTAAAAAGAGTTATTTTTTTCATGTTTAAATCATTATTCCTATCTAAACCATTTCTCCAATTTAAGAAACAATTTCTTAAACGGAGATATTTATGAATGTCTTCATCTGCTTTAGAGCATCCATAATTCCAATATTTAAAGCACTTTAAAAGAGTATTTTACTAAAAGTAATCTCTGACACTCTTTAAAGTATCTCTTTTGAATTTTTGAATTTTAAGATATTCTTTTAAACTTGCAAATCCTACTGCTTATCTTCTGTATATTTGGTTCTTTATTAATCTCTTCAAACCTTAGCTAAATATTATATTTTTTCTTAAGTTATTAAAGGCTTTTTCAATAATTTAGGCTTCTTTATATTCTTAAATAGTTTATAATAGTTCTCTCTAGTTTTTCTTCTTCAGGAAATAAGTCTTCCATGATTAATACTATCTTAAAAAATACTATTTATTGCAAAAATTCTAAAAATTAAATCATTTATTTACTTACTTTTATAAACCTACTTTCTCTTTATTAATTATAAATTTGACTATTTTCATCCTTTTTTCATGAATATTTCTCAAAAATCTCCTAAAATATGGCAGAACATAGTCTATTTTTTAACTTAACTGAGTGGCCTTATAAAATTTTTGAAACATTTATTTATATCTAAACAAACTAGAGAGCATTAATTGGTTTCTTTTTTTAATCCTATTTGATAATTCAAAATTATTACAATTGAATTTAAGCATTTTAAAAGTTTTACCTTCTTTCAGCATATAATTGCAATACAGCAAAGCAATCTGCTAATGTCTCTTAGTTATTCATCAAATTATATGTATTGCTTTGTCCCCTAAATCCTTAATTTGCAATTAAATCCTACTAGATATATTTATTAAATTATAAAAAGAACTACTAACTTTTGAATTTCGCATAAATTTAAAAATTTTAAATGTTAATAAAACTCAAATCAATTCTGAAGCTATAAATTTTTTTTGATTGATTGATTGCAAGTATATCTAATAATAAATATTTCTAGAGGATTATTTTATCGAATATTTCAAATTTTAAAAACTAGAATGATTTATATGATTTAGCTTATTTTAAAAATATTTCTGATTTTATTAATTTAAAATAAATTATTTTTATTTTTTCTTGTCGTAAAAAAGAAATTATTTTTTGTATTAAAAATATAAAAAATTGTTTGCATAAATATTTTTTTAATTAATTTATTTCATTATTTTAAAGGAATGAATATTGTAAGAATATAATTTAAACAAATAACTTTAATAAAATTTTGTTCTTTTTTTATCTATTTTTATTTAGCTATTCAATTTTTTTATAAATTTAAAAATTTTATAGTACAAATATTTTATTATTATAAAAAAATATTTAGTTTATTTTTATTTTCACAAAAAAATTAATATTTTTCAAGAAAAGTTTAATCATTTAAATTTGGTTGTTTGGTTTTTCTTTTTATTTCTAATTAATGTTATCCACTTTCCTGTCTATGTTTGTGTCAAGCGATAAAGGAAAATCCAGATAATTTAATAATTACTGAGCTTTTTAACCACTATTTAATGATTGCTTCTTAGATTATTAATTTTTTCGTTTGTAAAATGAAAAATAAAAAATTCAGATCAAAATTAATTAATATTGTAAGTGAATACCATTAAAGTATTAGATAAATTATTGCAGTTTCTAATCACTAAAAGTATCAAATCTGGAACAGTATCGAAATAGTGATAATTAAAATCAATAGATAAATTAATTATTGAAATAAATATTAGCTTGAATTTGTTAAAAAATCAAATCAGCAAATAAAATTAAATGCATTTCACTGATTAGTGAAAAATACCATTTATTTCATACTATTTTTTCTTGTAAATATAAGTTAAGAAACAACCAGCCAAGCACTTTATAAAAAAATAGAAACATCTAAAAAGTTAAAGGATAATAACATAATAAAATATTGATGATAAAACAGTTGAGATTTCATTCATTAAGCATAAACAGATAAATATTGCATTTTCTTTTCAAATATCCAGAATCTTTTATTTGTTTCTTTTATTTAGAAGTAGTTTATTTTCATTTTATATTTAATGTAAAGTGGCATAAATCTTGTAAAATATATTAAAAATAGTTCCAAATAAAGCTTATTTTTATCCATCTATTTTGTAATGAGTAGAGGTAGTAAAATAAATATTATAAATATTCTAATTGTATCAGAGATTTATATTATATATATTTTTTTTTGGTTTGAAAGATTTCTAGCTAGATAAATAATCTTATAGAATTTAAAATTTATTTTATCATTTCACAAATTTTAGATACTTAAAATTTATTTAGTAAATGATAATAAAGTTAAAAAATTATTGAAGTATACTTAAATTTTAACATTATTAAGCATTATAAAATAAATATTATCTAATATCTTTGAAAATTTAATCTAACATTTTTGTTAACTGATAAATGCTAATGTTGCTTCAAGAATTGTATTTGTGTGTAAAGAATTTGATACAAACATGAATTCGTTAATGATAAGCCAATCAATTAAATTTTGAATGAATTAGAAAAAATAAATAATTGGAACTAACTCTATAAAAAGTTTAAAAATTAACAAAAAGAAAGAAAGAAAGAAATTAGGTGAGATATGATTAAGATATATAATATAGAATGTAAGTAAATCACTATCAAAATAGAGATTAATTTAATTAATTTCTTGTTTTTTTTCTTCTCCTTTTACAAATAACAAATTTTTTTTGCAATAATTTAAAAAAGGTTTGTTTATGTTTATTTTTTATTTAAATGTAGCTAGTTGATTGATTATCTTTTGCTTTAATCTAAAAATTTTCTTGCTACAATTCTTTGATATTACATTCATGTATTATTAACATATATTTTTTTTTAGTTCTATATTACTTTCTTAAAATTAAATTTTCGATTTCTTTCAAAATTTTGTATTTTAATTCATTTTTTATTGATCAACTAAAAATCATAATAAGGATTTTATTAACCTTTTAGGCTATTAAAAAAATATTACTTAGCTATTCTGTTATTTTTAATATTTTGGATATAAATAAAAAATTCAAGTTTTTCTTCTACATTTTTCCTGCTGCTTCAATCAAGCAAACCATTCTAAAAATTTATCGAATTTATAATTTATACCTTAATATTTTAAAGAGATTTCTTACTCATGCTATAAAAAATAAATTTTTATAATATTTATTGCAATAGTATTTAATTTTGAGTCAAGGTTTTTTGATTTCTTAAGGAATTTTTTTTAGAAATCTTAGTGTAATCTGAGGTTGCTTTCTCTCCTATTATTTTTCTTTATCCTACTGAACTCAAAATAAGCAAAAAAAAAAATTCATTCATATAAAATAGCTTTATGATAATCTTTGTTTACAAGAATATGTAAAGCGCTTGATTATTTTGCTATAATATTGATTTTTAGAATTGATTCATTATTTCAGGATAAAAACAAAGTAACTTTACCATTCTTGCTATTCTCATAAATTATAAGTAAGAAGCAATTATAATCGTTGATTATTTTGGTTATTTGAAAGATGAAGATGACTAATTAAATTTTAATGTATTACAAGAATAATGATTGATATTAATTATTTTTTGAAAGAATTTAATTTGTTAATTTAGATGAATTAAAAAAGAGTGGAAAGACTTTGTTAACTATTTTCAAGTAAGTTAAATTTAATGCAAGCTATTTTTTGAATGAAAATGCAATTATTTAAAAACTTAGTAACGATTCTTCTATTGAGAGTTAAGGCTGATTGCAATGATCCAACTTTTATTCAGCAGACTGGCTACAAAAGTACAATAATTTTGTTATTTTTGTTTCTTTTATTTAACTACTTTTTCATACTTAAAGATTACGACTGTTTAGTCTAGACAGGGTAATATTTCACTGAAGCTTAAGCAGTAGCTTATGGATTAGATGCAGAAACAGCTTTTGGTCTTCCTATGGTTAAAGTCAATTATAATTGCAATCCTGATTTAGTTTCAGTAGGACATACAGTATCTTTAGGTTCCTTATTTGGAAACAAAATACACCTATATATGAAAAGCAAGTAAACTTACTTGTTTAACAATTTTATTATTTATCAAGTCAAAATTTTTTTTTGGTTAAATTGATTGATTTATATATAGACAACAAATTTAAGACCTCACGATTTCATATGATTTTTTTTACTCTGATCTACCATGGCTTATATATTACAATGAGCTTACTTTGACTTATGGCACCAAATATATCACAAAATATCCTCCTAAAGATGTTTACACCTAATTAGCTGGATGCTTAGTTTATAAATTCAGTATTAATTATGAATTTAAAGGATTATCTGATGAAAAATTTGAATACTTTGATTTTTAAATGTTTAGCAGCAGCTAATAAATATTCTGTTTTTAAGGCGTTAATAACGTAGTAGTCTATGTGAATTATTAAGTAAACTAGTTTTTTCAAATACTAAAAATATTTCTTTTTCTTTGATTTTAGGCTATACATTTTATATTTTAACTTTTTTAAAAAATTCATTAAATTTAATTTATAAAAGTGCCCATTAAATTGCTCTTCATGTGATAGCAACTAAAATTGCTTAACTTGCCTTGACAATTACTATATCGCTACAAACCCAAATACGAATCTTGCATATTGCAAATTAACTTGTGCGCCATAATAATATGCCACTTTACCAGATTCAATTACTTAATCTTAAACTTGTTAAAATTGCATTGATTATTGCTAATCTTGCAGCACAGACAAATAATGTGATACTTGTAATACTAATTATGAGTTTATTTCATAAATTGCATCGTGTCTTCCTGTTTGTAATTCAAATTAGTATAGAGATTCAAATTACTAATGTTAAAATTGTATAGCAAATTGCCTGAAATGTACTGGCCCTCTTAATTGTACAAATTGTTAAAACCCATTTTAATTTGATAATTCGTTACTGTAATGTATTTGTCCATCATAGGGATACTATCTAGACTCAAATGGAAACTGTAATTCATGTGATTCTACTTGTTAAACATGCTCAGGAAGTCTAAATAGTAACTGTACAAGTTGTCCCCCTAACTGGTTTAGTTTGGGAGGCTACTGCTATCAATGGTGTCCTAATAATTACCAATAACAACTATCGAATTTTGAGTGTGTTCAATGTTAACAATTTATCCTACCTAACTGTCAGACTTGTTATCCAACTTGTAAAAATTGTCTCTTTTAACAAAAAAATAAATGCATAGATTGTTATGAAACGAGATAAATATAAAATGGAAAATGTGTTTGCAGAGATTCTAACGATTAAAGAGATATCCACTTCTAATGCAGTTACAAAAACATTGCTGTATTATAAGCAACATTAGATGCTAGCTAGCCACTATTAATCATTGATTTCGGAGTTAATTTGAATCAAATCGACAATCTCAGTTGCAGTTAAATTTTCTAAAATCCTACTTTAACAAGTATAGGCCAATCCGCTACCTGCGCAATTAATTCTACTTAAATTTAAGTTTAATTAAGTAATACAAAATTTTTTTTATTTATTAATAATTTATTTGCTTAAAATAATATTAGGCTAAGATTCTATAATTATTGAAAATGATTAGTTATCTTTAGTATCTGGAGTTTTATCTTACTAAGCTAGTCCAAGTATTTTTATTGACACTTTTTATCTCCTCAATGTTGTTTAATTAAGAAATTTACCTCCTCAAATAAATGTTTTATATGACAAAATTTAAAATACTTGCAATGACATAACTTATAGCTTGACACTAAAAAATGATGCAAGCAGAGGATTTTTATCTCTCTAATGGAGTGTTTAAATAATACCCAGCTTAGATACTAAAACGTAATCTTAAGTTGATTCTATAATTCAAGCAGCTAATACTTAGATGAGCTAAACTTTAACAATAAATAAATATATTATACCACCTAATTCTTAAATCAACCTTCAGTTAAACTACTAACTTAAAATAAATTCAAATGGCTTGTTACAATATTCTACTCAATATTTAAAAGTGAAATAAATTGTGATATCAGTCATTTAAAGCTAATACCCACCTATTTACAGGTATGATTAAATTAAGTAAAGAATGTTTTTATTCAAAAAATTTAAAAAAAAGATACTACGACCTTACTATTGACTACTCAATTTATGTTTAAACCTGCGATTAAAATGGACCTTTTATATTCATGGAGCCTTTAAGTGTTTAAATTTAATCATCAGTAATGCCTTCTCTAAATTACAATAATCCTACCTTTACAGATGCATAGATTGAAATTAATGTGAAACCTTTTACTATTCCAATTGGAAGTATCTTAGATTTAAATGTATAATTTTTTTTGTATGAAATTTATTATAAAATTAAATATTTTTTAAATAAGATCGTAGCAACTTTAGTAAGCAATTAGGATATATCTTAGACCAATGCTATATAAATAAACCCTAAATTAACTAATTTGTTTATATTGATTGAAGGAGGATCGAATTAACTTGTGAATTACAAATAACCTCTCGTGCTTTCAGGTATTGCAAGAGACTATGAAGTAGAAGATGAAAATTCTCCATAAGGAATATCATTAACCTGGTCATGTGAATCAATTGTTTAAAATAATGGAGATTATTAGTGCTATAATTATTTAAATAAAGTTCAAACAATTCAGTAAACAGGAATTAGCACTACTATTCCAGGGAAAACATTTTAACCCTACCAAACTCTTAAATTCACTTTCCAAGGTATAAAAGACAGCAGAAATAGTGCATCAAGTGTACTTGTTATTTTTGCAGAAATAGACTTACCTCCTTTGACAGTTATTTTTTATAAGGTGCCATAGATAGAAATAGTTAATTTAAATGAAGATATTAATGTTTAATTGATATATAGCTCCAATGTATCCTCTGATATTCTCACCTACGCTGGAGCTATTTTATACGATGACGATGTGTAAGGTGTAATAAAATTTGATTTTTACTAAGTCAAGCTAAGAATATGGGATTATTTTTCTAAAGTACTGCCTTCTAATCCAGTGGTTTAATTAAGATTTACTGTTTATAATCCTGCTTACCTTATGCCAAGTATGACTATAATTAACTTCAATATCAACTTACCACCATAGAACTGCGTTTTATAAATTACTCCAGCTAATGGATAAGCTATTTAGACTAACTTTTAAATATAAATGGTTGGTTGCAGCTCAAATAATTTACCTATAACTTATTAAATTTTTTATTACCTCAACTAAGACGATATGAAATCTGAAATTCAAAATCCAAAAATTATTCTTAGAAGATAAATCTAGGATCAAGTAGTACTCAACTAAAAATTTACTATATTGCCAGAAGGAAATTTAATAATAATGGCTCAAGCTATGGACTCTAAGCTAGCTGTAAACAATTCAACAATATAAGTATAGGTTTCTCCACTAAATTGTGATGAATAAACTCTATTAGGCATATTAGATAATGCTCTAAATCCTACCAGTAATCTACTACCTTCCTAGAATGTTTTAAATTTGTCAATTATAGGTGAACAAATATCTAAAAGTAATCCTCTTTATAATCTAACCTCTGTGAATTAAAAGAAATTGTAGATAATATAGCAGTTGATCACTCAATCTAGTTAGCTTCCAAAGTCATCATTCTTGTACACATATTCAAACAAAATAATAGCTTAGTTGCAGTCTTCATTACCTATTTAGTCAGATGCATAAGTCACAACAATTTTGGAATAATTAAACTAATTATTGCAGAAATAATAATAAATGCCTTCAAATAACTAGTTGATAAATAACAACAATATCCTTCTTTAAAACTTAATAGATTCTTACAAAATCTTGAATGCTACTACTCAAACAGTGTCCTACGATATGCTACCTACCCAGATAAATATTTCAAATTCAATTTGTAACTAGCTAAACAACTAAACACTCCCAAACCAAGGAGGGATTTAGCTTCAAGGAAATTTAATAAATTTAGATTGCCAGTAAATCACAGATAAAAACCTTCAGTAATACATGCAGATATTCAGCACTCCTCCTACAAACGAAACAAATATTTATAATGCAGCAAATTTAGTATTTTCTTAGAATCCTTACAAAGAAACAGCCTCATTTCAAAATTACACCTAAGCTTTAACAAAAGCAGATCCAAATCTAACAATATCTTACAATTAAGTAATCTAACCTAATATATCTAATAGAAATAAAAGCTCAGATTATCAGCCGAATTCAAAAGTTGTATTAAAATTCTAAAATTCTCATTAATCAAGCAACAACAGTAATATGACATGCATATAACAAAAATAAACAACTTGGTCTAAAAATGGATGTCAAATTTTGAAAGAAAATAGTATTTTTGGGTATTTTTGCTATTGTGAGCAATAGCATCCTACTACTCTAATAGATGATTTAGAATCAATATTAAACAATAAAAATCTTGAGACTGCATTCTCCTCTTAAGGATTCGATAACATTAGTCATTTTTCAGATTTTTATAAATTTGTTGTATTTTGGTTCCTAAGCTCTTTAACTCTTGTTTAATTTGGACTCTATTTCTATGGAAATTTTCTAGACAAAAAATATTAAGGAGGTATAAATTTTTATCATGCCTCATCAAGAGTTTTTCCAATAATTTAGGTAAATCAAACTGAATAAGTATAAAGCTAGTAATATCACTCCATAGCTTAGTAAACTCCTTAACTACAGCCATTAACATAATAAGAAGCACCTTAATAGGAGTAATAAATTAATAAACAAGATGAAAAACCGTAAAGAAAGGATTCAAAATCAATCTATTCTAGAAGGTCAATATCTTTTACAGCCTTTGAATATCAAAAAGATGGATTAAAATTAGCTTCTAATTAAGATTTCATATTTAAAAAAACATCTCAATTTTCTCATAAAGTTATAGAAAATAATGAACTAAAAATTGATAATTAAATTGTTGAGGATTGCAAATTACAAAACTTAGAAATTTAAAAAGATGTTGAAGAGTTAAACTTAGATTAATAGTAAATTAACTAGATGTAGAGTGAGAGAAAGTGTGTTTCTTTATCTAATTTTGGCTAAAATAATATATCAAATAAAGAAAACCCAACGAAATTAACAGCAAACATATCAAATGAGAGAATTGTAAGCCATCAAGATGAAAATAAATAAGAAAATTAGAACAGCATTTTCGATAATGATTAGGAGCAACAAAAAATCAAACACCAAAAGGAATTAGAATTAAAAAAAGAATAAGAAAACAATCTTATTATTGAAAAATATATGAGCTACCCAGCTTTGATAAGAGTTCTTGTCTTTCATGATTTTTTCAGTATTTTCTTTTTATATGACAAAGTGTTATCGAGATCGATAAGATTCACTATATATTACATAAGAATTATACACTGTTTAAGCATATCAACAATATTTGGGTAACAATATAATGAGGCTGAAATGATTATGGTGTCTATAATAAATTCAATAGTTTTATAAGTTAGTGTTGGAATCATAACCCTCACTCATAAAATAAAAAGAATCGGAAAATATTTATCCACCTTTTGTATGATAGTGCTTTGCTTATTTTACTATTATTTAATATTAGCTGTAGTCAGTGGATAGAGTGCTCCCTCATCAAATTCTAAAATTGTTTCCTTTTTTATTATGATAGGAATTGATTTTGTTGTCGTGTCTTTTATTGTTTCTGCGCTTAAAATGAAAATTATTTCTCATATGCTAAATAAAGCAAAACGAATAAAAATAATTGTAAAACTATTCTATTTACTTAATTTTGTTGATATAATTTAAAACTTATCTGTCTGATAGATGGATATATATATATATAAACGGATAGATAGATAGATGATATTAAGCTCAAAATTTTATTTTGTAATATGTTTTTTTCCATTCATCTATTTACGTATTTGTATCTATTTCAGCATTTAAAGTTTTATTAAAATTTCTTTTATCAAATTAAATTTTAAGAGTAGCTATTTATTACTCTTTTATTTATTTATTTACTTTTGATCAACTTTTTTATACAATTTAATAGTAATTGGTTAAATTAAATAAATAAATAAATAGACTTGCTAGACTATTCAAAAGTTTTGAGATCAGTTTAATCATTCTGTTTATCTTGTTAAAATTTATTTAATTTAATTTAAACTAAAATGAATCATTTTAATAGTTTTTTTTGGAAAAAATGTAAAATAATTTAGTCAATTATTTAAAGCCTTAGTTTTGGCAATAATTTTCCTTGATTAATTGACTTTAAAAATGAATTTAATATTTAAAAAATATCAAAACAATTAAATTTACTATAATACTTTTAGTCATACTAAAAATTATTTTAAAATAATCAACTTAAAAAAAAAATATTCTTTTCTAAATGTGGATTAATAATTTGGCTTTAATAAGTTAGAATATTTTATTGGCAAGTTTCTTTTACCTTTTTTTTATACTATATTTTTCTTTGAACCAAGCTTTTATTGTTATAAAATTTAAAATTATATTTATTTGGGTAACTTTAATTTTAATAACATATAAAAAATATATATTTAGTACAAATTACTAACTATTTGATTATATTTCAATATGAATAATTTTAAAAAAAATATTTTTTAAATCAATATAGTAACACCGATTTAATTAATAGCCTTCTTAGCTTACAAATTTTAGTTTTCAATTCAAATTTTTGACTATCACTAATATTATTGTTGCTTTTAATTATAAAATATTTGAAAAAAAACATTAAAATTTTTTAATTTAGCTTGATATATTTTCTATCAAAGATAGAGATAGTCTTTCATAACAACAAAAAAATTTTTACTAAAGAAAAAGGTCCAAAGATAAAAGCTTTGTGCAGTTCTTTATTGTATGCATTAATTATTATGCGCCATAATCACTAATATTATTTTTTCTTTATAAAATTAAAATTAATAAATTTGTAATAATAAAATTTAATAAGAAAAAAAATGTAATTTATTTTCTAAAATTTATAATAAAATTTATTATTTTATAGAAAATAAATATTTGAAAAATAATAAATCAAGTTTTCTTTACTGAACCCAGAGTCGTAAATTAGAGAGCTTTGTATATTAGCTTAAAACAGAGCATATTTTTGATAAACCTTCATCACCAATTGAATTTTTGCTTTAATTATTATCAAAATTATTTAATAATATTTTTTAAAAAGTATAAATTAAGCAAGCTTTTTGTTATTAATGCTAAAATTAGCTGAAATTAATTTATTTTTTATGAATTAAAATTTAAAAGCTAAAATATCTAATTTTACTATAATTCAAGCTCAAAAGTAGATATATTTGTGCATTTTTTAAGAGCTATAGCTAATTCTGAGACACCTATTTCAGTAATTTCATTCCAGCTTTAAAAATATTAGAAATTAATTTGTAAATAAAGTTAAAATATCTAGATAATATTAAATTGTGTTAAAGTAGTTATCTTCACTAAATAAATATAATGATAAACATTAATTAGCACAAAATACATCTGTACTTTACTCTCTTTTTTTATTTTTGTAGTGATAAAAGATGAAAGGCGAATGGATGAACAACAAAGATAATAATCTTGGTTTAATGATTCAATATATACAATATTTTAAAAAATAACAAATAAACCAAGTAAATTAGGTACCTAAGTCCAAGTTTTAAAGTTGAAAGATTCAAGCAATTTGTAAAGGCTAAACTTAAATCTTATAAACCTTCATCATATATAGAGCAAAACCTATTAATTTATTATTATTTGTAATAATACAAAAAAATAAAAAAATAAATTGTTAATCCTCATAAATAAATAAGGGTCAAAATATTATTTTTTTTAGGTTGTAATAATTATATTTTTTTTGGTTTAGCAAACCTCCCTGTATTTTTTTTAAATTATTAAAAAAAGAAATCATAGTATACAAAAAGTAGGTTGCACACTATTGAATATTTCTTACATAGATTTTTAATTATTAAATATAATTTAAAATAAACATATTTACGAAAAATTATGATAACCCAAAATAAAATTTGAGAAAATTAAATTGAATTTATCAATTTTTCTTTTATTTCTATTATATTACTTAAATTAATTTTGTTTATTTTTTTTATTAATATGAAATAAATAAATTAACAAAAAAATTTAAGTTTACGTTAGAAAGAGACTCAAAGCTTACAAGTTAGAGCTTTTTGATAAAGCTGAACCTAAAATTGAAGCACCTTTATCATTTATTCTATTTTAACTTTAGTTATAGGAAAAAAATGAAATTTATTCAAGTTTAATAAAACCAATTAGAAAAAAAGGAAATTCAATATATAAGATTTCTGTGAAAATATAAATTTTAAATGTTAAAGCTTTTTTCATTAAATAAAAAATTAAATCTTTTTACTCAAGTTGTAGATTTAAGCTTTATAGATTAGTACAATTAACCAAAAATTAGCATAGACTTTATATCCCTTTTTCAGTGATTTAATTCCAACTTTAACAAATTTTAAAAAATATGAAAATAAATTAATATTTTAATTTTTAAATAAATAATTAATTTTTTGATTTTCTAAAAAAATACAAAAAATGTTATGAAATAAATACTCTAAACTAAGTCTCAAGTTTTAGATTTAAGTGAATTTTACTAAAGCTGAACCTAAGCAAGAAGCAGCTTCATCATTTATTCTATTGTGTCTTTTTATTTTAATGGGAAAGAAGTAAGTTTATTTGAAATGAAAAGACAAGTTAATTTAAAAAAAGTAGTTAAAATTAAATGAACATCTTTTAATTTAATTCTAAAATAGGAAACAATAATGAATTCAAAAAAGTAAATAAATTTTACCCCAATATAAGGCTCAGAGTTTATAGCTTTGAGCAGTTAGCTAAGGCTGTAACTAAATTGTCTACACCCTTATGTCCAATTAAGTTTCCCCTTTTAAAGAATATAAATAGTAATTTATTTTTTGTATAAAAGATAAATAATTTAAAAAAATTATAATCTTCATTATTATTAAACTAGAGCAACAAAAATACAAAATAAGCTAATTAAAAAATAATTAAACTATTTACCTAAGGTCTAGTTTCAAATTGGAGAGATTTTGACAATTTGCTAAATTATTACCTAATAACAATGCACCTTCATCGCCAATTTTGTTTGTACACACCCTTTATTAATTTTATAGTAAATTTGTAAATGAATCAAATAAAATTTTCTTATCTCTAATTATAAATCATATTATATTTAAATAAATTAATTAATATATTACGAGAGGTTTAGATTCAAAGTTTATAGGTTAGCCAATTTTGCAAGGGCACAAGCTAAACTTTATGCACCTTATGGTTCAACTTTATTGCCTCTATTATAAATTAGTTAAAATATATTAAGAAATTTATTTAAATGCTTTTAAAAATAAATAGTAAAAATTTGAAATAAAGTTTATTATCAAAAAATGTTAATTAAACATAATTGTCAAAAAATTTTGTTTTATACGAAGTTAAATATAGCAAAAATAATAAATAAAATGTTTGTTTACCCAAGGTCAAGCGACATTGATTTAAGATTATTGCATTAAATGAGTGCTTTTGCTAAATTTGATGCTCCTTATTATTGGATATCATTTTTTCTTTATTTAAATTTATATATTAGTAAAACATACTTTGATTATTAATGATTTTTAAATAATTTTGATAAATGTTTTAATTAAACGACTTCATTTTTATTTCAAATGCAAAAAATTGCAAAAAATTAAAAATATTTTTTTGTTTGTTTTGATAATATCTATCTATTTTTAATTTTTAAAGAAATAAATTTATAATTAATTTAAAAATAACTATGTTAAAAAATATATCATTTTGGTTAAATCCCCTAATAGATAGCATTATATCAAGATATATTATAATAAACAGTGATATTAATCGATATATATTGATTAAGAATCAAAATTTTTTTAACAATAATTAATAATCATAAATTCAGAGGATTTAAATATCAATAATCAAAAAAAACAAAGGATTGAAGTATCGATAATCTAAAAATATAGGATCTAAAAAATAATTATTAAAAACTCATAATATATTTAAAAAATTACCTAATACCTTATGATATTTTGTTCAATAATCATTAATTAAAAAAATATATTAATAAATATCTATAATTGTTAATAAAATCTATAGTTTATGCAAATTGATATTTTGATATACAAAAATAATAAGTAATACTAATAAAATTTTATCATTTTGCATCATATATTTTATTAATAAATACTGATGTCTCAAATAAAGAAACTCTTGAATTTTTTTTTTATGTATTTTTATTTATCATATTAAATTTAAATATCGATAATCGAAAATTTCGGTTTTAGATATTTTGATATCTGTTAGGATTTTTGATAATAAATATTAATTTTTAAGATATTTTATATAAAATAATATCATTAATATCAAACAATATTTATTTAAAAATTAATTTTTTAACCCCAAATACTAACTAATTCTCCATCGAATTGGGATAGCTATAATTTTTTAATATTTTATCTTTAGTAATTAATTTCATATTATAAATTAAAAAAATTATAAAATAAAAAGTAGACAGACCTAATTAATTTTGAAATTAAAAAAAATAGGAAGAAGAGGACATAACTTTCAATTTTTAAATTTAAGCATATTGATATTCCACTGAAACATGAATTAGTTTATTCATTTTTCAATTTAAAAATCCTGCTTATTTTTTTTGCTATTTTTTAGTTATGAGATTTTGCAACTTTTTGCATTTGCGACGTTTTTGCTTTGCAATTTTTAAAATTATATCAATTAAAATATTTAAGCCAACAATTTTTTATTAATTAAAAAGTTAAAATATAATTTTATTTACTCAAGATTAATAGTCAAATTAGTAAGATAAGTACAATTATTTAAAGAAGAGAATATACTTAAAGCAGCCTTATCATCAATTTAATTATTGCTATACATTTTTTTTTAAATAATTAATATTAAACAAAAAGAAAATAAAAATAATTTAAAATTGAAAATAAGAAAATTTAATTTTAATATATTATAAAAAGTAAAAAAATATAAATAAAAAGCTTATCAAAAAAACAAACTAATAAAATAAGCTAATATTATTTTTTAAGTCATAAACAGCTAATATATAAATAATAAAAACTAATATAATGAATAAGAAAAATAATATAAGATGTAACTTTACCTTAGGTTTATTATCAAACATTAGAGATTAATAGAGTTATTCAATGCCTAGGTTAATTATTATGAACCTTATTACCCAATTTTATTTTAACTTATAAGGAAAAAAGAGTAGGTTAAATACATACAAGTAAAAGTTAATGAAAGTATTTAATTATATTTTTTAAAAAATGTAAAAAAATACTAAATTAGTGACTAAAAATTGAAAAATATTTAAATAGTTTTATTTGCTATTTTATTATTATTACCTGAAATCTAATTCAAGATGAGAATATAACTGCTAAGAAGAGCTTACATACTTTTTATAATATAGAAATTTGAGATAAATAGTAAATCAACTAATTACTAAGTTACATCATCTAGATTAAAAAATTTATATTTCTATTATATCATTTTTTTATTTTTTACAAGTATTTAAATAGCAAATAAGTGTAAATTTAAAAATGATAAGAAAATTAAATGAATTTATTTAATTAATCCTATTTTTAATAAAAAAGTTAAATTTATTCCATTCAGTTTTTAATTTCTAATCATCAAAAATATTTACAAGTGTTTATCAAAATAAACTTTTCTTCTGATCAGAGAATTTTATCTGCTTATTTTTTTTAAATTTTAATTAACAGCCTAGATCTATCTTTGTAAATTTATAGCAGTACAAATAAATAGCTGAGTATTTTATAACAAAATCTTCAAAACTGCTAATTAAATTTAATTTTGACATGTTAAAATTCTTAGATTATATTCCTATTAAAAAATTGATTAAATATTTTTTGATTATAAGAGATTAAGTTTCAGAGTTTGGATATTTTTGCATTTTACTAAACCAAAAGCTGTTCCTGAGGCTCCTTGGTCAGAAATTCTTCTCTCCCTTTAAATATTTTTGTTTATTTAAATAATTGTTTAATAATAACAACTAGATATAATATAAAAAGTAAATTCGAAATGAATTGATAATTATATCAATAATTAGCTATCATTTTTAATCAAAAATAAAAATCAATTTTAATAACTCAACACCAAAAGAGTCAGAATATGGCTGCTTCAATTAAAATTTTGAGCACAAAAAAAAATTTTTTTTCATTTATGTGTGTAAAAGCAAAATAAAATTATCCATTTTTTGTCTTATTTATGTAAGTAATTAATCGAATAGCTTATTACTCAAAATTATTTTTTTAATATTAAATTAAAGTTATTATACTTATTGTTTATAATTATAATTTATATAAAGAGAAAAATTTTGATGGGATTAAAAGAAAAATATATTTATTGTTGGTAGAGCTGTTCTTGTATTTTAAATATCGCCAACCATAATATATAATAGCAAATTATTTTAAAATTAACAATTGAAATTTACATATTATTTTCTTGATAATATTTTTTTTAGAAATATTCAAATTTATTAAAATCATGATATATTGTAAAATAGTTAACTTGTATCATACACTCATCTTAGCCCACTAAAATTGTCACATATATATTAAAGAATGATAGATTATTATACAAAATTTTAGAAGGAGGCATTATACACCTAATTTACAGTAAATAATAATTATAGATCTCCCATGAATGTTGGAAACAAAAAGTTATTTATATTTTTTAAAAAAAGTATAAATAACTTTATCTATTTTTAAATAAAATTTTTCCTTCATTTAAAAGATATTATTTTAAAGATGAAAAATAAATAAATAAATTTGTTTATTTTAAAAATATTTTTTTAATAGAATTGTTATTGAATACATTTATATTTAATATAATATTTACAAACAAGTAAATTATAATGAATGTTTTATTAAACTTGTTTGTTTTCTTAATTGTTATAAAAACATTTAAATAAATTTATAACTCAATATATGAAAAATAATTTAGATTAATATTTATTTAACTAAAACACTCAAAATCTGTAAAAAATTGTCACTAACCTCTTAATTAATAGCAATTTATTTAAGATTTAAGTTTAGTACATTTCGAAATCAATGCGATGCCTACTATAATTTTTTAAATTGGATTTATTAAATATTTATAAATTGTTATATTAAAATTAAATAAAAAAATAGTATAAAATTTTAATGCTTAATTTAAAATGTAAGTTGATTTATAGATATATATTTCAATAAAATGTTTCTTTATCTAAATATGAAATAAATTGCTAAATTTCAAAGAATTTTCTGCACTTAAAATTAAAAAAATTTAATAATCTTATAAAAAACTATCCTTATCGTACATAAATAAGTAAATTATTTTTACCTCAATAATATTGTTAAACTAGTGAGATACTTGTAATTAGCTATTACAGAAATTAATTCAATTATTTCATCATAATAGATATCTATTATACTTTAAAATGTAAAATATATTAATATTAATTTCTTTATTTTTAATAATAAAATAAAATATAATATTTTTGTAATAAAATAAGTGTAAATAAAAAATTAATTTATTCATTAGTCCTATAATTATAAAATTTTCAAATATAAATAATTTATTTAACATTTTGAAATAATTTTCAGTGAAAAAATAGCAAAATAAGTTTATTTACCTTAAATCAAGAAACAATATTTTGAGATTGGAGCACTTCCCTAAACCATGGCATAAACTAAAAGCTCCTGGACTGCCAATATAAGTAAAACTATTAATAAAAAATTATTTTAAATAATTTTTTGCTGATTTAAAAGAGGAGAAAATTTAAAAAAATTAATAATCTAATGTCAATGAATTGTAAAAATTTTTAAATTAGAATTGATTCAATTAAATATAAATAAATAAGAAGAATTAATTGTGATTCAAATAAAATTTTAATCAAGAATAAAAATAAAAAAAATAAATAAAAACTGTTTAAAGATATTCAAAGACAAAATAAATTTTAAATAATATAAAATCTAAATAGAGATAAATAAATTGTAAATATAAATTTAAAAGATTAAAAATTATTACGCTAGATTGACTTATACTTTATAAATGTTTTCACATTTGGTAAGGTCTTAAAATAAATTAGATGAACCCCTTTTGCCAACATCATTACTTCTAGAATATATTTTTTTCAAATTTTGTAAGCAAAAATAAATTATTAAATTTTCACATTAAAAAAATGCTTCAAATGATATACTAAAATAAATAAAAATATAATTTTTTTACTCGAAGTTAAGATCTAAAATTTGAAGGTTATTGCACTTAAATAAACCTTGATTAAAATTTAGTAATCCAGTAGCTTATATTCGGTTTCGTCTGTAAATATAAAAATTAAATAATTCTAAAATATGATAAAAAAAATAAATAAATAGATATAGAGATGTATCTCTAAATATTTAAATAGCATATCTAATTAATTATTATTTCTTAAGTAAAGAGAAAGTATTAATTACCTAAGATTGATATTTAAAGTTGAAAGATTTTTGCAATTTCCCAAGCTAGAACCTAAATTTGAAGCACCCTACACTCCAATTGAGTTTTAACTTGTTAAGTTCATTTTCCAAAAATAAATTAAAATATCATTTTTTTTAAGAAAGATAATAAAAAATGTATTAATTAATTAATTATTTTGCTTTTTTTTACATTTTTATTAAAACTTTGATCTCTGGAAATTTATTGCAGTAAAATAAAACTGATTAAGCAAAAAATTTTATTACAAAAACTTTAAAACTGCTAATTAAGTTTAATTTTAATATATTAAAATTCATTGACACTAACTATATTCATATTTAAAAGATTATAAAATATTTTTTTGATTACGAGAGATCAAGTTTCAGAGTTTAGAGATTTTCACATTTTACTAAACCAAAAGCTATTGCTGAGGCACCTTTGTCACAAATTGTATTCTCCCTTTAATTATTTTGTTTATTTCAGTAATTGCTTAATAATAACAACTATGTAGAGTATAAATAAATAAATTCCAAATGAATTGATAGTTAAATCAATAATTAATTAGCTATCATGTTTAACTTAAAAATAAAAAAATTTTAACAACATCCAAAAAATCAGAATATTAATCGCTGTGCTTAAAAATTTGATCAGAATCTTTGTATTTTTTCTTTGTAAAAACAAATTATATAAATAAAAAAATTATTTACTATATATCAAGGCTTAAAGTAGTAAGACTGTTGCAGTTTGATAAATGTGTACCTAAAATAGAAGCTCCTACTTAGCCAATTTTATTTTTTCTAATTGATTGATTGATATAATTTTTAATAATGATTAGAATTTTGATTAAATAAATAAATCATTCCAATTAAATGAAATATTTTTTATGATCTCTTAATTTAATTAAAATTTAAATTAAAATATATTTTGGTAAAATAAGTAATTAATTATTTTAAATGTTTAATTTACTCCAGATTAAGTACCAAAGTGGATAGATTGATGCAGTTAATTATACCAAAGCCTAGATCAGATACTTCTTTCTCTCCTAAGCTATTGCGACTTTAGTTAATTTAAATAGTTAAAATAGTTAATGATTTATTTACTTAATTAATTTTATTTTTATATAAAATTTATTAAAAAAACCATAAATAAATTATATTTTATTTTAAATATAAATTAAAAGGGATAATTAGTTATTTTTACGTAAGTTAAAGATTCATAGAAGTGAGCTTTGAGAAATTAGTAAAGGCTTTCTAAAACCCTATATTATTTTATGCTCCTATATTGTTGTAACTTTAAATTATAAAAATATATTTATAATATTAGATGCAATAGATTTCCTTTAAATATATAAATTTATGTAAGAAAATTAAAATAAATTGAAAATTTACTATGACTCACTCATAAAATAAATACTCTAAAAACTCATTAATCAAGGTAAATTGAAGATTTATTTATAAACTAAAGTATGAGTACAAACGAAAAATGTTTTAAATAACCTTAATTTATGAGAATAAATGATAAGATGGTTTATGAATTAAATAAATAAATTACTATTTAATCTATCTAGCTTATTTTACAATTTTAATTATTTTTCTTACATAATTGTATAATAATTATATTAAATTATTAATTTTACTCTAAAATAAGGGCTAAATCTGATAGTTTATTGCATTCAGCTAATAAAGAACATAAATCAAAAACAGCCTATGCTCCAACACTAATTTATAAAATTATATTTTAAATATTTACTTCAAGTAATTCAATAATTTGTCTATAAGTCAAAATTTAATTTACAAATTAATTGTTTTTTTTATGAATTTAAAAATATTTGATAATGAAAATGAAAATAAATAAATAAATGCAATTTTATCAAATAAATAAAAAAATTTGAGTGTTTACTTAATATCTATTTTAAACTTTGATAGATTTTTACATTTTCTTAAAGCAGCACCCAAAATTTAAGTACCTTCATCACCAATTTTATTTTATCTTTTGAAATTTAACAATTTATTAAAATAAAACAGTAAATTTTTTTGAGAAATATTAAATTGAAAGTTAAGAAGTGAATGAGTTAATTAGTTAATTATTAATTTAGTTAGTTAGTTAGCTAGTTAATAAAATAGGTAAAAATATTATTTAAATGAATTATATATTTGTTCAAACAATAGAATTTTAAGTGAAGAAAATTGTTATTTTTTAAATTTTAAAAAAAATTTATTAATAAATAAAAAAAAAACCTTAGTTCCAAATTCAAGTTAGCAAGATTTTAACAGTTCTAGAAGGCAGTGCATAAAAATATTATACCTTATTTTCCAATTTTGCAATTCCTTTAAATAAAACATAGATTTTTTGTAAATTTTAAAGAAAAAAAATAAATTGTTGGTAATAAAATAAAATCTTAAATCTAAATTAGTAAATAACTATTCTCATGGTTTTTATGCTCTATGGTTAAATTTTTACACTTCCCATAATAAGATACAATTTAAAAAAAAATATTTGATACTGAAAATTTGATTTCATTTTATTTTAAATATCGAATATATCTTAGTTACAAATCGTTTAAATAATTAAGAATCCAATATTGCTAAAAATTAAATAAAAATGATAGATATGTCTTACTTTAGATCTAGGGTCAAATTAACTATATTTTTGCACATCTCTAAAGTAGAGCCTAAATTTTATGCACCTTTGTGTCCAATTTAAATGTCACTTAATTTAAGATAAATATTTTTTGATTAATTTTAAAATATAATTTATAAAAAAATAAATAGCAAAAGTTATTAAAATGTATTTATATTAATTTTAGAAATATAAAAAAAATATATATTATACCAAAATTAGATTTATAAAGTGGACAATTTTTTGCATTTAGATAGACTTGAGCATAGTGATAGTGCGCTTTCAGATTAACATTAACTTTCAATATTTAAACAATAGGAATTAAAATAAAAGATATTATTAGAAAAAGAAATTTCGTTTATTGATTTCTAAACATCAAGATAAAGATTCTGGTGATAAATAAATAAACAAAAAAATTGATAGTATTAGAAGAAAAAAAAGACAAAATTTGGTATGAAACAAAAAAGAATATAAAAAGAGCGATTACGAAAATCTGAAATTTATATTTTAGAGATTGCTTAACTTAGCAAGATTATTACCAAAAGCAGATAATACTTTACCATCTAATTAGCTATCCCTTTAATATAAAAATAAATTTTTTAATATCTAAAAAGAAGAAAAAAATTAATTTAGATCTTGATAAAATATTTCATTGGAAAGTATATAAAAATTTACCAGTATTTAATTCATTTATTTAAAATTCTAATTTATATAATTTTTTTTTTAAAATAATAAAAAGTAAATTTTTTTTATCAAATATTTTAAGATTTGAAGCTATTTAAGTGCACTTTAAATTAGAATAACTCTCTTCAAAAGCGTATAAGTAAATATTTTTTTATTAGTTTAATCTGGATTAAAGGTATTTCAAACACTTGCTTTAACAAAATTAATTTTAATTTTTTTCTTTGGTTTAATTTTTTTATTAATATTATTTTAAAAATTATGAGTAATAAAATTTAAAAATAGAATTTAGAAAAATTTAGTTCTCAGATTTTAAAGCTTTTAGCAAACTTAAAGGCTATAATAGTATTTAGATAAAAAGTATCAATAATTTAAATTTTTTTTTTTTTAAACAAGATCATTAAGAATATTCTAGCAATTAATACCATATGTCTAAATCTAAAATTTGGAGATTTATGAAGTCCGATAAAGAAGAACTTAACTATAAAAAAGCTTCATGACTCATTCCATAATAATATTAATTATAGGTTAGAAATAGGTTTATTTTTCCTTTTCTTAAATAAATTAAATAATAATTAATACAAAATTTTTGTAATAAAGTAAATTATTTAAAAATAAATGGCATACTCTATTCTAATCTTTAATTTTGTATACGATGCTTTAGAAGAGTGCATAAACTTTTGGCAATTAAAATTGCTATTAGATATCATTTTAACATGAAATTAAATCTTACTTCTTCTAAACTAAAATGTTTACTTCTATTTTAAATCATTTTTTTTTTTCTCTTTAGTATTATTCTTTTATTTATCTAATTAATTTATATTTTATGAAATTAATTATCTAAAATTAAATGATATTTGTCAAGTTTTTTACAATTAAAAATCTAATTTATGAAATCATAAAAATAAATAAATAAATAAATAAATACTTCCTAAACAATTTAAAAGTAATAAAATCAATAAAATATATCTTCTTTATATATATTTGTATTTATACATTCGGTACTGCTTTTTCAAGGCTTAACACTGAAATTTTTGATAATCATTAACTTGAGTCAACTCTAAAATTTTAATTCGATCAGACTCTTATTTTATATTTAATATATATAAATTTTAATAAATATTTTTATTTTAAAATTTTTCTTTTATTTTCTTCTTTTAATGCTTTAAGAGATGCTGTAATTATTGTTAATGGTGCATAATTATTATAAGTATATAAAATCTTTTAAGTTTCTAATTTTTATTAAGGAGACTCTTTTTATATGATTTATGTTGCATATATTATTTATAATTTAATTTTTAATGTAAAAAGAATAATTATTTAAATTAGCATTATAATTAATCATTTTTATGATTATTTTAGAATATTTCTATTTATAGAAACAATCTTTTGTTTTTGTTTTGAAAAGTTTTTTATACCCACTTATACTGATGTAATTAAGAAAAGAAGTTTAGTTTTTTAACATAAAATAATTATGAGAGAGATATTAATCTAATCTTCATATCTTTAGATTTTATATATTTTTTTATAATTAAATTCTATTTTATAAATTCACAAAATCCATTTAAAATCAAAATGTTATCTATTAAATTTTGGTTAAGCTTACATTTGCTCTTTTAAAAAAAGATATTTAGACAATTTAAGTAGAAGCAAAATATTTATTGTTACTTTATAAGTTATTCTGAAATATGTATGATATTTCAGTACTGATTTAATAATTTTACTTTTCATTCTATATAGAATTAAAATCATATACATTTTAAAGTGAAATAATATTATCTAAATATATAGAAATACTTAATTTACTTAATATAATAATTTTAATTTCAAGAAAATCTATTTATTTTTTTTTGATAAAAACTAAATTTAAAATAACTCATATCAAAATAATCACATTAACATAAATCTTTTATTTGAAAAAATAATTTAGTAATGAAATTAAGCTAAAATTAAATTATTTGTGATGCAAGAAATCATGAAAATGGCTATTTATTTTGTTTATTGTATTTGTGGAATTCAAATAATTGATAATAGTTAAATTGCTTGAGCATAAATTTATAACTTTTGATTTACCACAAATTTATTTAAAAATAAATAATATCATTCAATTTAGTTAAGAAAAGGACTTTACCACCAATTTGAAATTAAAATTAATTGATCACAAATAGCGCAAATCAAATCATTAAATGAATAATAAATATGAATGTAAAGAAATTAAAATTATTCAACTTGTATATTTTTATTTTTTTTAAACAACTAAATTTTATTTTGTAAATTAGCTTAATAAATTTATTTCATTCTCAAATAACTTAGTTTTTAGAACATATACATTTTTTTGGGTATATATAATGTCCAAATTTTTTAATTATTTGGATATCCATCATTCATTTATGAAATAAAATATATTTCTTTCTTAAAAAGCTAGAATTATTTTAATGAAAGAAATTTACTTCAAAGATTTAGATTAATAATTAGATTTCTGAATCACAAAAAAATAAGAAAGTGTTGGTATAAAATTAGTTAAATTAAATAAACATTATTTAATATGGTGAGGATTTTCTTCTAAAAATTAACAAGCTTGATTAAATATCTGCTTGAAAAATACACTTTTAATTAATATTTAAAAATAATGTAATACTTTATAAATTCTGATAATAAGTAACATACAAAATTTAAAAATCAGGAAATATTTTTTATCATGCTATGATATATATATAAAAACTACTTAATATAACTAACTAGATAATTAACTTTCAAGATAATTATAAAAAGATGTCTAAATATGAGAATAAATATATGTATGTGTAATAATATGAGCTTATTATAGAAATTATTAAGTTAGCTACTATTGTGGTCAAAATTTTAATTTAATTTTGGTAACCCTAATAATAAAAGAATAGAAAAATATAAATTAGAGGTATCTTATATAGTGTCAAATTATTTATGTTAATGGCTTAATTATTGGTTTTTTTATCAATAAAAATGATTTAAAAATAGATTAAATTTATAAAAAATTATTTATAATCAATTTAAAAAATATATTTGTGAAAAAATAAAAAAACTACCTCAAAATGATAAAAAAACTATTAAGCTCTTTTAAGTTTTTGAACAATTAACAACTTTATAAATTTTCTTCTAAGCCCTTAAATTAAATATTTACTGAACATCATCTTAATGATTTTTAGGAAAATGGAGCAACACTTGTTCACAATGCTGTTACGGAATAAATGGTTGAAGAACTTATTAATTAGTGCAAAACTATAATGAAAAGCAATAATTTCATGGAGAAAAGGGTTTGCTTTAGTAAAGGTGAGTTAGAAGTTGCTTAGAGCTTCATAAATTCTGGGGATCAAATTGGGTTTTTCTTTGAACCAAATGTATTTGATGAACACAATAACTTGAAAGTACCAGAAGACCAAGTACTCAATAAAATGGGTCATGCATTGCATGACTTAGATCCAGTATTCGAAAAGTTTAGCTATACACCACTTCTATAATATATTCTAAAATAGCTTGGATATCAGAAACCTTAATGCATTCAGAGCATGTACATTTTCAAAAACTAAAAAGTTGGAACACCAGTAAGCAATAAATAATACAAATATTTTTGATTTAATCTTACTTTATTTATGTATTTAAATGATAGTAAATTTTCAATTCTTCATTATATAAATATAGAAGTACTATCTATCATCAATATTATCTTTATTAATTTTATTATCACCACTCAATTAAGAGTAATTAAAACCACAATATTCTTTCTGCCTAACATAAATAAAAAAATAATAGGATTAGTTGTTTAAAGAAGATATTTTTAAAATAAAATATGATTTAAATTGAAATAAATATAATAATTTTAATTGATAGGTTGCTCCTCATGCTGATAATACATTTCTGATGACTATACCTCAATCTTCAGCTCTAGGATTTTGGTTTGCTTTGCACGATGCAACAATTGAAAACGGATGTATGTGGGGTATTCCAGGTAGTCACAAAAATCCAACTACTCACTTTTATCACAGAAATGATACAGGAGATAAACTATTCTATACTGGTAAAGAAAAATAATACGATGCATCAAAAGCTGTTCCTATAGAAGTTAAAAGAGGATCTATGTTTATCTTCCATGGAGATTATATTCACTTATCTAAACATAATTAGTCTAGTCTTCCACGCCATGCTTATGCCCTTCATTTCATAGATTCATAAGGATATAAGTGGCACGAAAGGAATTGGCTATAACGTCGTCCTCATTTACCATTCAGAGATTATAATTAAGTTGTCTCTAATCTTTAATCTGGTTCAAGCATTTAAGCTTGAGAAGCTGAATATTGTTAAAAAAATAAATTAAAAATTTTTTTTAGTTATTTTAGAATTTTTTTTATGGTTAATATTAAATGATTGAATAAAAATTGAATTGTTATAAAATATTTGTTTTCGCTTATATAAAAAAATGTAGAATTTAAAGTAATTTATTATAATAAACTTAAAATTTTTTTAAAAAAAGTAAAACATTGAATTTTTTAAATAGAAGTTTTATTTGAAACAAAAATATTTAAAGTTAGAACTGATCGCAAGCAAAATACTGCTTCATCAATATTTATTGCAAAAAAAAAGAAAAAGAGTAAAAATAAGATGAGTATAATGAATGTATGATTATTTGATTTGAAACAAATAATTATTTAATTAAAAATGAATATTTACATGTTATTATGTTTTTGATTGAATAATATTTCTTTTCAGGATAACTGTGAAATAATCTTTTTATGCTTAAACTTAACTTAGAAACTTGATGAGAGTAATAAATTATTTGTATTTATTTAGTAAAATATTTTAAAATAATTATACACCAATTTATTTAAAAAAAGAATTTATAAATAATAATATTACAAATCTTGTTACTATTTTTGATCATTTTAATGATATAAATAATTTGTAACAAAATTAATCGGATTATTAATTTTGAAGTGTAAATCTTATTTTAATATGAATTTTTTAAAAAAATTGAATATAAATTTCGAATTTATCAGATCAAAGACTTAATTACATTAAATTAATTATTAATTTCAATCATCCAATAAAGGATTCTTTATATAGTATTCAATTATCAAAATGACTAAATAAGATTAGTAATTCATCTTGTAAAAACATACTTACAAAATAATTTTTATTATTTTTAAACATTATACAGCAAATTAAAACAAAAATCTTATAAATTAAATAAAGGATGAACCTTTTAATTAAAAACTTAACCACTTTTTAGTCTTTTATCATAAAGAGATAATCAATTAATAACATAGCTCTTTAGTTAAATTAATGATTTTTTTATGAATATTTTGAAATAGAATCATCAATTAAGTTTTTATAAATTAAACTAATATAAGGTTAGCAATTGATACTATAATTAATTAGGGCGATGATTTTTATAGGGGTTCATAGAGGGATTTAATGTCCCTATAATAGCCACTATTATATTTATATATAATTTTTATTATTATCCCTATAAATACTACTATGAAAAAAATCCCCCCTATACACCATACAAATGCCATGGCCCATTAATTAACTTAAAACAATTAATTTTATAAATACTTATTTTTAGTTCATTTTTAAAATTATAATTTAAAATTGTTATAAATTAGACATTAAGCACAAAATAATTATGTTATAATATAAAGTTCAAATTTGTTTTAAATCATTAAGTTACATTGATAAAAGAAATATTTTATTTTTTTTTAAAGTAAAATTTTATCTTTAAAATAATTAAAATTTTCTATGATAAAATGTATATTTTGTAATATTTTGATGGATTTCATTATTATAAGTTTTTAGTTATTTTCAATAATAAATTTAAATCAGAGTTTATTTTTTGTAGCTGAGATTTTGATCAAATATTTCTAATAACAAAATAGTAGAAGTCAATAAATATATGATAAAAAAAATCATAATTTGCAATTTCTTATCGTAATAAATGTAAAAAAATTATAAACAATTCTTACAATAAAAATAAATTAATTACTTAATTAATATAGCTGATTGTTATATTGTTTATAGAAAAAATATTTCGAGATATTCAAAGTCACTGATGATTAAAGTGTTAAATTACTTTTTTTAAATAAAGATAAATTAAAAAAGTAAAAACAATTAGTAGCGTTATATTCAAAAGAAATATCTAAAATGATACTAAAAAAATTTTTAAATTGCAATAAATATATTTGCAATTTGTAGCTCTAAAGATTTTCGTTTAAGCCTTTAAATTAAATTTTTACTGAAGAACACCTAAATTAGTTTTAAGAAAATGGAGCAACAATTGTTCATAATGTAGTTACAGAAGAAATGATTGAGGAGCTCATTAATTAATGCAAAAAAATAATGAAAAGCAATAATTTTAAAGAGAAAAGGGTTTGCTTTAGTAAGGGTGAGTTAGAAGTTGCATAGAGCTTCATAGATTCAGGAGATTAAATTGGATTTTTCTTTGAGCCTAATGTCTTTGATGAGCATAATAATCTAAAAGTACCTGAAGACTAAGTACTAAATAAAATGGGTCATGCATTACACGATTTAGATCCAGTATTCGAAAAGTTTAGCTACAGACCGCTTCTGTAATATATACTAAAATAGCTTGGATATTAGAAGCCTTAATGCATTCAGAGCATGTATATTTTCAAAAACTAAAAAGTTGGAACGCCTGTAAGCAAATAATAATACTAATATTTTTGATTTGATCTTACTTTATTGATATAGTTTGTAATTAATTGTTTTTTTTATAATTAGAAAAGTTAGAAAATTTATATTAAGAGATCTCATAATATACCAAATTTAAATTTATGATATTTTAATAAATTTGAATGTATTTTTGTTGAGAAAAAAAATCAAAATTTGACTTTTACCACACTGCCCTTCTTAATATTAAAAATCATTATTATTTTTTCCTTATAAGATCAAATAGCAATCAAAAATCTAATAATCTTCTCAATAAATATAATATTCAGAATGTAGATTAATATTAATACTTAATTTCTATTTATAAAATTATTAGGTAGCTCCTCATTCTGATAATACATTTTTGATTACTGTTCCTTAATCTTCAGCAGTAGGATTTTGGTTTGCTTTGCATGATGCAACCATTGAAAATGGATGTATGTGGGGTATTCCAGGTAGTCACAAAAATCCAACTACTCATTTTTGTTACAGAAGTGATATAGGAAATGAACTCATATATGTTGGTTAAGAAAAAAAATATGATTTAACAAAAGCTGTACCAATAGAAGTTAAAAGAGGATCTGTATTTATATTCCATGGTGACTATATTCACCTATCGAAACATAATTAGTCTAACCTTCCTCGTCATGCGTACGCCCTCCATTTTATTGATTCTTAAGGGCATAAATGGCATGAAAAAAATTGGCTATAACGTCGTCCCCATTTACCTTTCAGAGATTATAACTAGGTTATATCCAATCTTTATCCTGTCTGATATCAGTATAAAATCTAGAATAATATAATTATATTATCTTTGCTTATTTAATATTTTTTTTATAATTAAAATTTTAATTTGTATTTTATAAATCCAATATTAAAATTAATTGAGTTTTAGATTTTTCTAATATGTTTGGTTATATAAAAATTATAAAATTAAAAAAATGTGTACGAATTATTATCATTTTATTTCTGTATTTTAAAACAACTAAAGTTCTTTTCTTAAAGATTACCTACCATTCAATTTTTACATAAAAGCTTATTGAAATTCCGTTAACTATGGTGTATTAAATTAGAGGAATTTGAAAACCTATATTTACTATATTTATCAGTTTGAGAATAATTATATCCAAATTTAAAAAATTATATATATTTAATGATAGATTAAGATAATAAAAACCTCAAAAATTTAACTGAGTAAATGTAATTAATTTTAAATGATAAACGATGACGAAGAGATGGAAAATTTTTTAATTGGAGCAGGATCTTCCTTTTTCTCTATATTTTTTATGATAATATTTTAAATTTTTTTTCTTAAAACAAATGATTTTTTAAAGAATTAAATAAATGAGAAATATTGGATGAAATAAATGAAATTATTCTTTGATTTAGTTAACTATAAAATTTAAAAATGAAAAATTAAAACTTAAAATAAGTAAATGAATGGCTGATTGATAGTTGAATTAGTTAAATAAAATAATTAATAAATATGTAAATTAATTAATATATTTATAAAGATTGTAAAATTTAAAAAATATTAAAATTAATTTAAATTGTTTTTTCATTCAAATTAAGTTTCATCTAAATAAAGCTACTTAAAAACAAAGATTACGAAATGTAGAGTTTTATTATTTAGAGATCAGTGCATTTTATAAATTATATTCTTTTCCTTAATGGCAAATCCCACTTTTACAATTAAAATATTTAAAGAATTTAAGAAAAGATTGATAATCAGCTTATTTAAATAAATAAAAATTGTGATGAGGTAGCTTAAATAATTATTCGAGTATTATTTCAATCTACTAATTTAGATTTACTATTATTTTTATTATTTTAGTGAGAAAAGTCAATATCAAAGTTTTTATATTTATTTACTATTATTAAAATATTTTTTTTCTGAATAAAAAAAAGAATCGTTTTCACAAACAATTAATAAATTTTTTGATAAACTTCTAAAATTTTTTTGCAGTTTTCCTTAAATCTAAGCTTTAATTTGAGTTAAATTTTATAATTCACCTAAATAAAAATAATAATGCACAAGCAACAGAATTAAGTAGATCTCTTTAGTTAGTATTAATAAAAGTGATTTACTCTAAAATTATTTTAGTAATAATAAATAAATGATACCTAGCAACAATTTTCATTATAGTTATCTTAAGTTAAATAAACTAATATTTAAATATTAATATAAAGAAGTGTATTTTATGTGTCTTCAAATAAGCATCTATCTGCTAAAAGTATCAAATATATATTAAGATTTAAAAAATGTATTGACTTTAACATGCCTTTAAATATTTTACTTGCTTTTTAAAGTTGTAAATTTTTATTTAGTTTAAGATTTTTAAATGAGAAACAAATCTAATTTAATTTTGATTATCGTTTTTATTAATCAATCTTTCAACAATCAATTTTTGCAACTGTATTAGAATTGACATGTTTTAAATAATTAAGCTAACTGTGTATTCTTCTATTCTATAACTTTTTTCTCAAATTTTGAATGCAAAAAATTTTTAAAATATTTTTTTTGAAAATTAAAATTGTGGCTTTAATAGAGTAGTAGTATCTTAAAATAGAATATATACAGTGTGTCATCAAATATTAAAAAATAACTATTGACAAAGTAGTCAGCAAAAAATTAGATTTTTTAGCATTTAGAGTATTAATTTAATCATTCTATTAGATACATGCATTCAATTATACTTTGTTTGGAGATAAGTCAAAAGAAATTTTTAGAAAGTATTTATTTTATCTTGCAAATGAAATTTATAGAAACAAATATTTTAATAGTTAATAAGTGAAATTCAATGTATACTATTGAGTATCTTTCTAAAATTTTAATGCTAATAAATAATGTAATATTTTGATAAAAAGTTATGTCAGGTTTATTCATACCAAGTCATAATCATACATAATTTCTATTTGGAAGAGAAAAATAATTAAATATTTGTTTAAAAATTGGCAATTAAAGTAAAACAAAACTTAGCTTAGATATTATTTATTTTTTATAAATAAATATTTTTTTCTTCAAAAAACAGGCTAAAAATAAAGAAATAAATAATTTAATTAAAAATTGAAAAATGATGTTAAAAAGATTTTTAACCAATAACAAATATCTCTTCAATTAGCAAATATACAGATTTTCTTCAATTCCTTTTAACTAAATATTCACAGAAAATAACATTAAAGATTTTTAATAAAATGGTTGTACACTTGTCCATAATGTTGTCTCAGAGTAAATGATTGACGAGCTCATCAGCTAATGCTCTAAGATTATGAAAAGTAATAATTTTATGGAGAATAGAGTTTGCTTTAGCTAAGGCGAAGTAGAAACAGCTAAGAGCTTTATAGATTCAGGAGATTAAATAGGATTTTTCTTTGAACCAAATGTCTTCGATGAAAATAACAAGCTCACAGTTCCTGAGGATTAAGTATTAAATAAAATGGGACATGCTTTACACGATCTAGATCCAGTTTTTGAAAGATTCACTTATAGACCACTTTTGTAATACATTCTCAATCAGTTGGGATACCAAAAACCATAATGTATTTAAAGCATGTACATATTCAAAAACCAAAGAGTTGGTACTCCTGTAAATAATTAACTATAAATTTAGTTTAATTTTTTAATGACTAGCATCAAAATTTGTTAAAAATAAAATAATATCTTCATTGCTTTAAAAAAACTAATATTTCTATTTTGAATAATATTCAGGTGTTATTTTTAATTAATTTTATTCCTCCTGATTGATTGGGAAAATGATTAATTTATTAACTCGACTATTTACTCATATCAAAATATTTAATTAATTTTTTATCAGTAAATAGTCTTTTTTACAACAGTAAGTAAAAAGAAAACCTTTCAATCAAACAAAATATTCCTCATTAGATATTTTAAGTCTATAAAAATACAGTTTTTGAACACCTTTTGTATTTAATTACTTATTATTATAATAGGTTCCTCCTCATACAGATAATACTTTCTTAATAACAGTACCTTAATCCTCCGCTATAGGATTTTGGTTTGCTTTACATGATGCTACTATTGAAAACGGATGTATGTGGGGTATTTAAGGTAGTCATAAAAATCCAACTACTCACTTTTGCTATAGAACAGAAAAAGGCGATTAATTTTATCTAGAAGGCCAAGAAAAATAGTATGATATTGAAAAAGCAGTTCCTATCGAAGTAAAAAGGGGATCCATGTTTATTTTCCATGGAGATTTTGTTCATTTTTCAAAACAAAATGAATCTTCTAAACCTCGTCATGCATATGCACTTCATTTTATAGACTCGTAAGGTTGTAGATGGCATGAAAGAAATTGGTTGTAACGTCGTTCTCATTTACCTTTCAGAGATTATAACTAAATAGTTTCAAAGCTTTATTCTAATTCAACTTAATAAGCATGATAGATATTTATTTATTTTTTCCTTAATAGTTTTTTATATGATAATTAATTTTAATAAATAAGTTGTTAATTTCTATTTAAGAATTGATGTGAAATAGTTAAATAAATTTATAAATATTTAAATTTTATTTTTATATTACTAACATTAAAATAATCTACCTTTCTGTCTACATTTTTTTAATAAAAAGATATCAAAACTCTTTTAGATGTTCTTGATAATTATCTAAAAATAAATAAAGTATAAATATAACAATTTCTTTCAATCTTTAGAAATAATCTACAATTGCATTATAGAAAATAAATATAAACCTAATTATGTAATATATTATTTATTTTTCTACCTTTAAATTTGATTGAAATATTAATTTATTTTTTAGTAAATTCAAATTTGCAGTTTATAAAAATAGAGTTTTACAAAAGCAATTTCAAAATTTTGATGTATTATGAAAAAAATTAAATTAATTTTTTATTAGAAATTTTTTTTTGATAAATTAAATCAATTATTGGTAGTTTATTCATTTATTTAGATAGAAATCAAATATTTTAATGAATTTTTAAAGCATAAATAAAAGAATTATATTTATAAGAGTATATATATTTCTAATTAAGAAATAAGCAATGCTTTTCATAAAAATATATGTGTTATTAATATATTTTAATTTTATTAATTATTTATTTATGTTCATATCAACTAATATCCAAGACCATGTATGATTCTTTCCTTAATATGCCAAAATTATGAGTTTCTAAAAATATTCTAAACAAAAATCAAAATTTATTTTATTTAAATAAATACTTTGCTTATGCTTGAATAATATAAAAATGATCATAAATAAATTTTTAGAAATTGTGAAAAAATATTTTAAAAATGGTACTCTTTGGTTTTATTTAAAAATATGAAAATTAAATTTAGTTTCAAAATAAAGAGAATACTAACAACTTAGTAAATTTCAGTTAAATTATTGAATAATTTTTTCTATAACTTTTACCTTTTCTTTCTAATATCTAAATTAAAATAAAAAATAGATATAGAAAATAATCGCATATTAATTATTTACTAAAGAAATTTATAAAATTCTTAGAACTTTATTAGATGAAATTTAGTTAAAAGAAATGAAATTGGTTAATAAATGGTTGTTAAAAGGGCAAGAAAAAATTAAATAATTTGATAAATAAATAAATGAGCACTCTAAATTTTGTTATTAAATGAAAATTTATTTAGTTTCTGCTTTAGTATAAATTGAATTTATGATTGAATGATTGAGATCAAACATTTAAATTTGTTAAAATTAGCTAAAAAACACATATCTGTATAGTAAAGAGAGTTAAAAATGTTAATTAATTAAAAGAAATCAATATGGAATTATATATTTATTTTTGTTTTTTTTTGTTTTGTTTTATTTGAGGATGAGTGAGTTATTTGTGAATTAAAAAGAAGAAAGAAATATAAATGCAATGACGAAAAGTATACATATATATTTACATAATTTTTGATTGATACACCTATTAAAAGAAAAAAGTTATTATTATTCAGTAAGAATAAAGAACATGCAAGCAAGCACACATTTATATTAATTAATAGAGAAAGACATACATGCTTTTATGTATAGATGGATGGATGCATTCATACCAAACAAATAAACAAGAAAGAAAGGATTGGATTGTTCAACTCAGAAATTAAATATTATCTATCAAAAAAAGGTAAATAAAGCACACAAGTTAAGAATTATAAATTTTTTAATTAATTGATCAATTGATTAGGAAGAAAAATATATAAATTGAATAGGTTAGATAGATAATAGTATAAGTGGATTAGTTAAGTAATTTTCACATATAAATAGATAGATATCATAAGAATATCAATTCATTTTAAACTCAAAAACAACCCCATATTTTGAAGAGATGAATGTGCTGGGTTCATCAACTTATAGCTCTAATGTTCATTCTTCCTCTCAAGCAAATGGCCCTTCCACATATTTATAATACAATAGCTAACACCCAACTGCAGCCTCTTCTTTTTAGAATAATCAGCACCTAAGCAATGCAGGTTCAAGTAATTTAAATAGTTTAGGTAGCAGCAGTAGCAGCAATTATGTGAAGAGATAAGCAGGAAAATCGTTTTAATAGCTAAACTAATCACAAGGACTCAATAGAAGCAACGACGGAGATGAGAAAATTCGTCAGAAAAACTAATCTTTGTCTCTTGCAAAGTAGAGCAAGTCTCATCTATTCAAATAGTAATAGTAGCAGTAATATTTTAAATCAGAAAAATACAGGAAGTTACAACAAATGTATAGACAAAAGCTATACCAAAATTTATATGATAAATTTTCGCAATCATAGAATTACTATTACACACGAGATTTAAATGATTTGCTCTAAGGTTCTCGCACTAAATTCACAATTAAATTCAAGGATTTACAAGTTTTAGATGATCAAGAGGAGTATCTGAAGAGGATGTATTCTAGATTTGAATATCCTCAAAAGATAAAATTATTAACAGAATACTATAAATTTCACCAAGATATTCCTAGATTGTTTATGTAGCCTCTCTGTAACATCATCAATCATATGCACGATAAAAAGAGGAGAATTGAATATTATAGAATTGCAAAAATTATTGAAGAAGAAAATAAAAAAAATCCAAATAAACCACCCAAAGGAATAGTAGGGGACATACCTGCACCAGGGACTGAAGAAAGTGTGCATGATAAAAATCATAAAGCGAAATAAAAGTTGGAGAAGGGTTTATCAAATTTTTTAAAGGATTTAAGCAGTTTTGTTAATGCACGTTAAAATGATTCTAAAGTTAATAACAATGACAATAATCAATTATCTAAGAACAACATTATAGCCAAAAATATAGCGAAGTATTCCTCTCAAGGAACTTAAAAATTAGGGTCTAATATAAATGCAGCACAATCAGTAGCTACGATGTCTGCAGCAAGTTAATAGCCTGATAGTAAATTAAAGCAAACCACTGCTCAAAGTTAATAAAAGAAAGATAGTATCAAGGGTAAAAATAGCACGCAAAATTCAAACTAATCAAATAAACCAAATTCAAATTCTTCTTCTGTTTCTGTTTCGTAATCGCAAAAGGGAGTGTAAGACACTCTGTTAGAAATAAATTATAAGCTCAATGATATTTTGCAGTAGAGCTCTATGTCGATAAAATCAGAAGTGACTATTGTTGATATGGCTGATAATCATGGATTGGAGGATTTTTTGAAATTTTTGTAAAAAGATTAGCACGTTAATCTCAAAAATAACGCTACATCCTAAGAGTAAAGCAACCACCAATAATTATTAAACATAAATATTCACTAGCAAGATATCAAATTGAGTTCTCTTTAAAGCAACAAAATAACTTCAAGTCACCCAACAAGCGTAAAAAATGGAGGTACTATTAACCTCCATTAAATAAGCAGTAAAACAGATGCAAAAGATGGAGCAGCAAAAATTGTTAAATAGAATGAAAAAGACGAAAGTAATAAAATAGGCAGCGATTTACTTATCGATTAGAAAAAATTGCAAGCAAAATAAAGCAACGAACAAAATTCTTTTTCTGATAAAAAATAGTAAATCTCAGAAAACTTTTCAAACTCTACGAAAACCAGCTAGTAAAACCTCGATAAGGTGTTCAGCGGAAGCAAAAATTAAATAGCAATTCAATAAAAAATAAATGAGCAGATATTGTAGTAGTAGTAGTAACATCAATAAATGCAGTAGATTTAACATTAACAGCAAAATATTGAAGATAATTTTCCCAAAAATCTCAAAATATCTCTGTAACCCTATAATAATTAGTCATAGCAGGCATTGAATTCAGCGAGAAATTCTTAAAGCAACAACCATAACTTAGATTTAAAGCTTAATTTAAATACAATTTAAAACACTTTATTAAATAATAATAACATAAATACTCCTTCTTCTCAAAGCAATAACAAGAAAAGCACTTTTTAGCAAGGTAAAAGACTCAGCACTGGAGGGGTTACACTTGCAAGTGAATCTTAAAAAACTTTACTTTCTCACAGAGTGAACAAAGCGGATTTGTAATTAGACGAATATCCTCTAACTTCTAGAGCCTCATTAAATTCTGGTGGAAATGGTGGAATTTCATAACAATTGTAGCAAGATTACCAAAATTAATAAATAAAACCAATCGCTAATATGAGGGGATAGATGAATCAACCAAACATAAATTTAAATTTTAATTTTACTTAATAATCAATTTCTTCTCCAATGAATTAAATTAATTTTTCTTCTTAGAATCAACTTCTATCTGATTCAATCAGCAAATAAGGTAATTCTCAAGCTCCTCTTAGTTCTGATAAAAAAGTGCAAATGCCCTAGCCTCTATTTCAGAAGACTTTTTCTTCAAATATGAACAGCAACAATAATAATAGTAATTCAGGATCCTCCCACAATCTTGCCATGAATAGCAATACCCCTCAATCTTTGACTCAATCATAATTCAAGATATCTAAAATAAAAAAGAATAACAATAATCCTTCCACAACTAATAGCCAAAAGATTATTGAAATCAGTCCAAGAGGAGGAGATTCGAGAGAAGATCATGATTCTGGTATTGGATTTACTTCTTCTACTTTACAAGTACCTAATTCAGTTTCTAGCTCATAATAAATAAAGATAAATAAACCTAAAAATTAATCTTTGTCTTCCAGAAATCAATTTAGCAGTATGCACACAAAGCCATTAAGTTAATTGAATTCTCCATCAAATTCTGTTCGTAGTTTCAATCCAAGTTTCAATTTCAATACAAATACTAGTGGAGGAGATACAATGAATTTAGTTACTTCTTCTCCATCAAGTCTAAATAACTTCCAAAATATGATTAATAGCTAGTAGTAGTTATCAAGCTAGAATGTAGATGCAATAATAAATGGAAAAAACACAGTGAATTAATAAAAGATTATTAATTAAATATAAAATATAAACTAGCTGTCTAAGTAGCTTTAATTACATTCAATACCTCAGCAACAACAATCATAATAACAGTAGCAATAGTAATAATAATAATAATAACAATAAGCTTAATATTCAATCCAATAAAATAACAAATAACTTACAAATCAGTAATAATTGTAAGTTAAGCTGATGGCAAGTTAAAACTTACAAAAGTAAAAATCAGCAAATTCTAATATGAATCCTGAAGGATATTCATAAAATTAAAATAATAAGAATTAAAATTAAGGAATAACTCCTTTCAATTATAAATCAACAACAGCTAGAGAGTCAACAAATAATCCTAATATTATTAAATCATCATCATAGCTGAGTATGGCTGCCAGTTAGCTGACAGGAAGTTTAACCTCTAGAAATTCAATCTAATAAACACATTTTAGATAACATAGCAATCCTGTATAGAATAATTTACTCACTAGCCCGAATTCTCTCTTGAACTAGCAAAACAGTTCAGCAAATATCAGTGGTACTACTAATACAAACGGAACAGCTAATAATTAAATGAGTAATAATAACATCCCTTATATTGCTTCTAACACTGCTGGCTTTAATTATTTCAGCACTCCAAATAGCAGCAATAACATTAATTCTATTTCTAGCCATAAATAAATGCTTGGAGAATAGACAAATGGTAATTAAATGTATCCTTAAAATGAAGAATATTTCTAAAGAAACAATAGCATAGCCAATCATCCAACTATTTAATAATCTTTTAAAGATCCCAATTTAATATCCCCAAGAATAGAAGGCAACAACTAAAAACACTTCTTTGGTAGTCAGCAGTCGTTCCTTCCTATTACTAACAATTAACAGTAATTGTAAAAGAAGCAATCTCACAAGTATACAAAATCTGATTAATAACCAAACAATTATAATTACATGTAACAATTCTCTCATTAAGCTAGCAATATTGGTTCTCCAACTTAAAATGCTTAAACAAAATTGCTAAAAAGCGGTGGATTGACATAGAATTAACAAGCTCCTTCATCATTTTCTCAATAAAACTTCAACAATAACAATAATTTGTAAGGAAATAGCTCTGGTTCTCATAGTAATTTAAATCTTAACCAAGCTATTTTATCTTCTTAAATTGCTAATAGCTCAGCTTTAACTTCTCCAGGAGGAGGTGGAGGAGGATATATGTAATCCAATTCTAAACTGACAACTCGTTAAAGTGTATCGAAATTACCAGCAGCTCATAATTCATTTGGAACTCAACAAAATACGCCTATGGCATCAAACTCTTAGCAAATAAAAATGAAAAGTATATCACCAAGAAAATAGCTAGTATTACCAGTGAATGGTCATGATTAAAAAAAGATATCTATACTTTGAGAACAAGCAAAATAAAGAATAAAAATGTGATAAAGCATTCAAATAAAAATAAAAAAATAAATCAATATATGAACTGCTAATTAAAAGAATTGAACAAAATAAAATTTTAAGCATCTTTTTATAGTTTTAATCAAATAATTTATTTGAAATAACAAGAAGAATATAATTTATATTGTAATTTCATTTTCTAACTTGATCATAAAATTTTTTTTAAAATAAGTTTTTGCTAAATTCAAATTAAATTAATTGAATTTTTGCAATGAATAAAAAAATTTTATACTAAGCTAAAATTGATTAGTAAAATAAAGTATGTTAACTTATTATCTGCTTCATAACTCTACTGACTACAAATATAACAATAATGCTTAATTATCTATTTATATTAAATTTATTACATTTTAAAAACTATCTATCTATCTTTCTATCTATCTACTTATTAACCTACCTTACATATATCTTTATTGCTCTTAAAATTGATTACCGACAAGTTAGCTCTTTGATATATTTCTAATTAATTACTATATAATTAATATTTACTATATTATTATGAAGTTAAAATCATTAAAAAATGATCAAATCATAAAGTTTCATAAAAAATAAACTAAAAATTTAATATTTTTGATTTAAAAATCTTTATTCAGTAATTGATAATTAACTAATTGATTAAAAATTTTTATTTACATAAGTTTTAACTTAATTTTTTGTTCCAAAATTCTTTTTTGGTAATTGCTTCTTACAATTTAAAAGTTGAATTCAAATTATTTACAAAAAAACGTTTAAAGAAAGAAAAAAATAAACAAATAAATTTTAATTATTTTTTTTTTGTTAAATTCAATTCTTTGAATATTGCATAGAAAAGTAAAATTGTAAAAATATGCAATAAAATATTATTTAAAATACTTCTTTTGATGTTTTCTAAAATTTTATTTTTTTATTTTGACAAAATTTATCAATGTAATTGAAATGGTATTTGAAAGAATAGATTAAAATGTTTGGGCTATTATATTAAATGATCAGAAATAATTTGTTTAATTTACTGCTATTTGCGTTTGATTTAGTAAGAATCTATTAAGTTAATTAAAATTAAGTGTAAATATCATTTAACTTTACTTTTTTTATTTTTACAAAAGATATTTTTATTAAATCATACAATTTTTGTAAATTAAATAAATCCTTTTTACATTAAAATCAAAAGAAGGGTAATTAGTTTGCATGTTTTGTTTGTAATATTTTGGTATCTTCAAATCAATAATATCCACTTATTTACTCAGTTAAATTAAATAATTTGCCACTCAATTCTTACTTTAATTAATCTTATCAATGTAATATTAAAACTCTTTCAAGTTTTCTAACTTTATTCTGAAATTATTTAAAATAATAATTTAGCAAATGATAAAGGATTGTCAATAAATTTTAATTTTTCTTTTTTATGGCTATAATTACTTAAATTAAATATCAAAACAAGTAAATATTCAAAAATCTTTGAAATTTGAAATAAATTAAAATTAATAAAAGGGGTCTATATTAAAACATTTGAATAATTGGTATTTAGGAAATTAAATAAGTATTCGACGCCTTGCAATTATTTTAGCTGGTCATCATTTTAAAATATAAGTCCATTATCAAGAAATATAAAAAGTTATTTGATTATTGTGTAACAACATAAAAATACACAATTTTAATGTTAATTCTTTTAGGTAATCATTTTGAAAAATTAAATATTTTGAGTAACTTATAAATATTATTTAAAACATCTTAACATAGTTGAAACACAAAGGTTATTTATTACTTTTTATTACAAAACTTATGAAATACTTTTTTAATTTAAAACTGTAAACTTAATAGGCTTTAAAAGGTAATTGAATAATTTTATTCATTAAATTTTTTACTTTAATAGTTATAATTAGCTAGAATAAATAAATACATAAAAAACTGAAACAAAAATCATGAAATTTTCATTTTAAGATTAATTCAAACAGATATCTTATGAAAAAATTAAATAATGCTAAAAATATAAATAGGATCTATTTATATAGAAGTAAGCTTTTAAAGGGTTATAATATTTTAATCACTTGAATTTTGAGTTAAGTTAAGTATCATTACCTTATATGCTAGCTAAGATAAATCATTCACTGTAAGATATTAATTTTAGAAAAAATAATAATAATTAGTATAGATAGATAGAATAATAAATTCAAACAGTGAGACAGACCAATCAATAAAAAAATAAGCAAATTAATGATTGAATGAATTATTCAATCATTTATTGATTGATAAATTGTATAAAGATTAAATTATAAATCAATCGTAAATGATTGATTGATTGATTAATTGACTAGTTATTTATTTAATTAATATATGAAGGATGATAAATAAATCAATAGAGCAAGATGCTAACCAAAAAGCGGTAATTAATATTAATTAAACATTCTGAGTGAGGTCTCCCTAGTGAATAAAAGAGATCTAAAAAGTGAATAGCGTATTTAATATAAAATAAAAGACTGATTCAATATTGATTGAATAATTAATTACATAATTTCGATAGATAGATAGAATTAGGATTAAGATAGAAATTAGAAAAACCATTTTTAAATTTGAGCAACAGCGCTCGCCAAGCGGAGAAGTAGTTAGCTTTTATGAACCAAACGTCAATATTATAGCATAATGACATCTTGCTGCGGGTGGAGGAACAAACTTATAAATTAAACAGAAATGATAATTAGTAGTAATACTGTGGTAGCAATGGGCAAATTAATAATTATTCGAATTAGTAGAGTTTTATTAATGGAATAAGTAGATAAAATCATTTTATTAATCCTCATCGCCAATCGAATATAAGCAGCAATGGAATTAACCTGAAGGATAATAATACTGTTTCTTATAAAGTGAATATTTATTAAGCTAATAATGCCTAGGAGTCTCGCACTCAAATAAATGCATAATATTCAACTATTCATTAGAATGGTTCAACGTAACCAAATCATTAGTAATCATAAAAGGAAGATATTTAGCAAAAAAATTTACTGAAAACTCTATTTTCTTGCCATATTAGTTGGAGATTAGCTTTATTCTGTGTTATTTAGCTTATGGAAAAGTTTTTTTTCTTTACACTCTTTCTGTATTCAATAACTGCTGAAGTTTTTCAAGTAAAAAAAATGATAAAATGATTGTTTCTTTAATCACTTTATTTGTTAAATTTAAATTCAAAATAAATAATTGTTTGCAATATTCAATCACTTAAAGCTAATCCAATAAAAATAATCAAACTAACTTATCGTTCAAGTTGTATTTTACAACAGCTTTAGCTTACTTTTAAAGCTTATAAATCTTATAAATATTTAGTACTGATAAAAATTAAGAATAGTATAAACATAGTATTTAGATGGTAATCATAAAAATCATATGCTTTAAATATTAGCAAATAATAATTTTCTATATAAATGTATAAAATGCAGATATTAAATGCAAAAAATTGATGTTAAAAATAATGGAAACTAATTTTATTTTACTTATAATTTATATAAATAGATTATAATTGGACTTATTTATGGTATTACTAGTGCAGCTAAATACTTTCTAACTATATATACATTTAATGCTGACTTGTCTGAGAACTCTAATCTCAATAAGGATTGTAGCGAAGAGTAAAAATGTTTTTTTTTTTCACCTATTTTTCATTAACCAAAGCTAATAGCAAGTAGAGATTTATATAATTCCTTCTCTAGATCTATTTACATTAAAACCACAAAATTCTAGAGATCATATCTTAAATTATAAATTAGCAAATACAAATAAGAGGATTTATTATTTTATCATTAAAAATCTTCAAATAAGAAATTAGTCTTAAAACTTCATAAATAAATATAAAATATTATTAAAAAAAGCGAATCTGTAGAATCGAATAAGATGAAATTTTGCAATAAATGTCAAGAAAAAGTTAATTTGGACTGTTTTCATTGTGAAATTTGTGATGTGTGTATATATAAAAAGTTTTTTCATTCAAAACTTATTGGAAAATGCATCTCTTAAAACAATAAAAGGTAATTTCTTAAAATATTTTCATTTAATTTTAGCAAAAATAAAAAAACTGGAGTTTAGATTAAAAAATCGCTATAAAAAAGAATGTCTATAAAATGCTAAATAAATTGGATGAAATCTAACTGCTTAAAAGAGTATTTTGAATTAGTTTTTTTAAATAAAAAATTGTAAATAGATAATAAAACATGAAAGAATAAAACAACAAATGATTTCAAAAACAAATGCTTTTCTTTGTTAAATTATCAAATTTATAAATTTATGAAGAATAATGAGTACAAATTTATTTAAGTGTTGATTAAAATTAGTAACTCTAAATGCGATAGATTAAAGATACTTAAAAAATTTATGCATGTAGAATATTATTGATTGTTCACTCAAAAATTACTTTCACCAGCTTAAAATAAAAAAATTAATTTCAAATTGTAAATCAACATCTGGCAATATCTTAGATTACATTAAAAAATAACATAATTTAAATGAAATAAATATAAAGATCAACAGCTTATTCTATTAAAAACTTAATTTTATTGTTACTTAATTAGTTTACATTTTATTAATTTTTAAAATTATTAGGCTGATCCAAATAATTATTGGAATGAATATAATTGAAGGTCTTATTTTCGTAGCTATAGGAGTTGTTAGTATTAGTAAGTGTATATAAGATATAGATTCCTTCAAAAATGAAGTCATATAAGTAAAATAAATATTACTATTTAACTTTTTAGCAAATTCATATTTTGAACATTTTATATTATAAACAGATATATAAAAACGCGTCCAAAGAAGTATTAATGATCATCATTTTAATATTATTGGTGATTATCTCAATCGCCGTTTTTATAAACAGTCTAATATTTAAGATACTTTATTAAGCAATAAATTTTCAAGTAGAACGACCAGCACCAAAATAGCCTATTAACGAAATAGTATTATTATTTTCATGATATTTTTCACACAAAAAGTAAATAAATATCCATTTATTTCCAAAATTAGCCATAAAGAATTCAAGAAAATCCTAAAAGTCTCAACAATATACCTGGATAACCAGGTTCAATATAACATATAACTGGTGGAAGTACTATATTTAAAAACTAATAGTCCCTTAACAAGACTCCTACCTTAGTCCACAGTATTTCAGGTCTAGGGAGACCTGATAGGAGAAAGTTTGAAAGTCATTGGAAAATTAGTCCACCAGATGGAAAGCAAGAAGTTTAATAACTAGTTTCCATGAATAGTTACGGTACAATCTATAATTTCATCTCAAAAAAAGTAGCCTCCTGTGAAAATATAGAAAAAATCCCAACTAACTCCCCTTCTAAATCAATAAAATCTCTAAACAGCATCGACTAATCAATATTTAAAAAAACTCGATAAAAGAGCTAAAACCTTTCAAAAATAGAAATAAGTAACAAATTCGATAAAATCTTTTGAAAATTTATTTAAAGTACTCCAAATTCAAATTCGATTGATAATTTATTCATCATTTTTTAATTATTAGAAAACGAATTAAAAAAAAAATAAACTCAAGAAAATACTTTAATTGTCTGAAAACTGTTAACAAAGTCTTAATTAATTTAATCAATAAAAAAACCCTTTAGTTAGTTTACCATAGTCAATTAACCAACTTACTTTATCTAAAAGGATATACTGGTCCCATTTTAATGCACAGAAATGAGAAGCAAAAACTTTACTTAATTTTCTCATAAAACAACTAACAAAAACAATTAAATAAATAAATATTATTAAAAAATTGATAAAAAACAATCAATCAAACAAACAAACATACAATAATCAACCAAATCAGAGTTAAAACATAAATAATTAAATAAATATTGTCTGTCTATAGTCTTAATCTCACCATGATTATTTTCAAGAAAAAATGCAAATAATTATAACAACAAATATAAAAACAAAAATAGTAATAATGTAATTAATAGTTTCAAGTTAAATTTTGTCTTATTTTAATCTATATTTTAACCAACTTATATATCAATTGTTTATATAAATCCTATCGTTTCTCTATAATAATAATTAATATTAATATGCACTCATGCATTAAATCAAATATCTAATTTATTTATTTACTGAATAAAATTATTATTTTAATTTTAAAAATCAAAATACTAACTTAAATCCTTTTAAACTGTTTAATGAATTCACAATTAATTATTATTTTTGAAGTATCTTACATAAATCAAATAAAAAATTCAAATAATCTGACTAAATAATATCATTCATACAAAGATATTATATATTATCGTTTGTAAAAATTAACAGCTTGTATTTATTTATTTAATTTATTTTTTTATTAATTACTTGGTTTGATAGATTTTTAATCAAATTTGACTGGAAGAAAAAGTGATTTCAAATTATAATATTATCACTCAGCAAAGTAGAATTAGGATTTTTAAAATAGAGCAATGTAGTCATAATCAGATGCTCCAAATAAATAGGAAATGGTGGAATAGCTATTAGCAGAAATGGCTCCAGAGGTAAACAAATTAGCTGATTATGAATTAATAGATATTAATATGAATTATTTTTTTTAGATTACCAAAGAGATAGTGAAGGAATTAAGAGATAAATATGAGAATTAATTTTAAGAAGAAGTTTAATTACTTAAGCTTAAGGCGAAGCAGAGTTGTGAAAGTATTGTCGAAGAGAAAATTGAGGAAATTTATAGGGATTAGTTACAAGAATATAAGAAAAGAAAGGGTGAATAGGAAGAAAAATAAAAGGAATTGAATTTTTTAAAGCTTAATGTAATGACAGAAGTTGAAGCAAGTGTTCATGAAAAATGCATGCAACAGCTAGAAGAGGAAAAGGAAAAGTTATTAAAAAAATTTCATGAAGAACATAATTCTAATAAAAAGTAAACATAGCTAGAAAAAGAAATTAATGAACGCATAGCTTTAGAATTTAAGGAATAAAAAACATTTGAAATTCAACGTAAAGAAAAGCTCTTAAAGCTTAATTACAAGAAAAAATTTGAAGAGGAGAAGGAACATTTATAGAAAGAATACTAAAATAATATAGACCAAGATTTCTAAAAGTAAATGCAATAAATAGAGTAGCAGCGAGCTGAAATTGCCAAAGCTACTGCGACCAACAATTTGAAAGTGTAGCAATCTAAAGAAGAAAGATAACTCTTATTGTAAGAAAAAAAAGACTTGGATAAAGAATATAATTCTATGATTTCTCAGTTGCAGCAAGATTTGCAAAACTTAAAATAAGAATTAGAGTAGCTATAATAATAACAGCAGCAGTAGTAATAGTAATAATAGTAATAGATTTTAATGAGTAGTGATAAAAAGTAATAAAAAGCTTTTAATAAAGAGTATGAGTAAGATTAAAGATATTTGCATTTGAGATAATAGTAAGAAGATGATTTAGGTTATAATTATGATGATTAGTAGCATGTGAATGCATAAAATGAAAATATTCACTAAGATGATTTATTGAGAAGAAATAATTTATTTGCCTAAACTCAAACAAATATGAATGATTATTTTAATTAAATGAACAACAGCTAGTTACCTTATTTAGAAGAACCAAAAATGGGTTTGACTACTTAGCTATTTAACACTAACTAACTCCAAAACACTAAATCTCCTTTTCTTTTATCATTAACAAATAAACTGAATCTTAACCAAACTAATGTTGATCACAATAGGTATAAATTTAAAAATATTTATTTTACTAAAAAGTTAAAAATTTTTGATAATTCAAATTTTATTTGAATTTGGCAAAATCAAACGAAAAAACTGCTTTAAAATTAAAATGTAAAAAAAATTAAAAAATAATCCTAATACTAATTCAATATAAAAAAAGCTAAAAAGCAAATATTGAAAACAAAAATTGATATTTTCAACTTTATTTGATTCGAAATAAAATGAAAATCTTTTTCTTGTTAATAATTTTAGGTTAATTTATGTTATAAAATTTCAAACAATTTTAATTTATTAAAAATATCGTATTGTTAAATAAAACTAAGGATTATGTAATAATTTGAAGAGAGCTAAAAAATAATGCCTGCTGGTATTAATTTACTGGCACCTCCTTAGCCTCTTTTCTTGCCAAATGGTGAAAAATTTATTTCAAGAGAAAAGAACAGTTTATTTGAGTAGTAAGAAAATGAGAATAAACAAGAATAATAAATTCATCAACAAAGTGCTTTCTAACGTACATTTTTAATATTATTATTTTTATTAATCTGGACCAAAAAATTTTTAAATTATTAGCTTTGAAGGAATACAACACTGCAGATTTAGCAGCAAAACTTCTAGATTAAATACAATAAAATAAATAGTCTAATTAGCAGTTATCTATGTTTAACAAATTACCATCTCTGTCTTAACAATTTTCGAAGATGTTTTTAAAAGAAGTTTCTAACACAACAAGTACAAAAAGTGCAATTTAAGATGATAATTAAAAAGAGAACATATTAATTAAAAATTAACTTCAAGTTTAAATTAATTAAAACCTTGAATAACCTTAAAATAATAACTCAAATAATGCATTTGCTAATGATAAATATGAAAGCGTTCTATTAAGATTAAAAGAAAAGCTTGGCAGTTATAATTTTGAGTATGAATAAGAAAACAATAATTAAAGTAAACTGACAGAATCAAAAACTCAAGAAACTAAAAATAAAAATGATTTAAGTGTAAAGACTTCATTGACATTTAATTGCAACAAATAAGAAGGATGTAAAATATATTTTAATCGTAATTCTATTAATTATTTAATATTTAAATACTTTTTTAGCGAGATACGAGCAAGCCCTAAGTTAAGAAATGAAGACCTTGCCTAATTCTAAAAGAGGATAAAAAAAACCTTCTAGTTTGTAGTAAATATTGCAACAATAGCAAGTTACAGGACCTATGACAAAATATAAACAAATATTTTTAGTTAATGAGCAGGATAATCCAAAAAATAGAAAGCTTAAACTTCTTCATAGCAAAATTTCTGAACTATTAAATAATGAGTATGAATTAGAAATTAAAATTAAAATACTATAAGAAAAAATATTCTCAGAATACATTCCTTCTCTAAGTAAATATTTTCTTTTAAAATTCTTTATTTCCAAAAAGGTTTTAATTTTATTTTTTTGATTAAATAAATAAATTGAATTTTTACCCTTTATTTAGAAATAAATTATTAAATTTAATAAATTTTTACTTATTTATTTATTAATTTATTAATTTTGAAAATCTTTTAGATGCTTCTGAAGAAACTTAAAAAGACCTTATAAAAGAGTTTTAGAATATTTTGTATTTGTGGGAAATGACAAATACACATTTAGAGAGTAGATAAGCATATTTAGAGGAGATGTTTGAGGAAGTGTAAATATTTATTTGCACACATTAACAAAATATATTTAAATGTTATAATTAATATTTAAAGTAAGCAAGTTAGTGAAGTAAGATAGAAACTTAAATTTGAGTAAGAATATATTGAAAATATGAAGATTCCAGAGTTAGAATAACAATTGCTAATTATGCTTAATTAAAGACATTAGTTTAAAGCTTAGATAGATACATCTAGTGAATCAGTCTTTTCTTTCAAAGCTAATAAAAGATTCTACAATGCCATAAGAAATATTAATTAATAAATAGAACCTCTAGTATAAAAATATTAGTTGCAGAAGAAGACTCCTTACATTTGGAGAGGAATAAATGTAGAAGAAGTAATTAATTTATTAAATAGAATAAAAGTAATTAAAATCATATTATTATAGCTATTATAAGTAGATAAATTCGAGGAAGAAATCGTCCAAAAAGAAGAACTTAGAGAAGAAATATAAAAAAAAGTGTTTAAAAAATTTTGAAAATATAAAAAATACTATTATAAAATTTAATGTTCATATTTATATTATATAAAATAACTAGTTTATTTATCATCGGTATAAACGTACATAATCAATAAAAAATAAATATACTACCAATCTTCATTAATTAAAGGTCAAACAAATTTAGGAATAAAATTTTTTAATTTGAAATATTTATAAATATTCACAAAATATGGTGAAAATTTATGCTTGTGAGAATTTATGAGGATTTATGGTAAATAAATATTTTAGTATTCAAATATGTTTATGTTTATTAGTCCCTTTTTCAGTGCTTTTTTATCATTAAAATGCTAAATCTGCAACTACTAATTTTCTTGATTTAAGGCATTTCATTTTCATTTATTATGATTCAAAGGCAGAGTTTTCTCTTTTATTATAAGTAAGTGTAAATCACTAAAAATAAATAAATAGAATCAAATTGTAAAATAAAATAATCAATAAGTAAAAAAATGCTAAGACAATAAAAATTTATAAAAAGAAAAATAAATAAAAAAACTAAATAAATTTAAAGAGTTAGCTATATTTTTTTTAATTTATTTTTAAATTCAAAAAATATCGAAACCCCTAATAAAGAAACTGTTTTTACTCAAGATTAAGTGTCACATTTGAGAGATTAGTGCATTTTCCTATACCAGAACTTAAGCCTGATGCACCGTTTGCATGAATTTAATTTCCCCTATTTAAATATTTAAGAAAAAATATTGAATTACTTATGAAATAGTAAGTAATTAATTAATAATAAAAGAAATGATGAAAATGAAAAAATGAGTTTAATTAAAAAACAAACAAAAAATTAAATAAATAAAAACTCAAATAGAATAAAATAAGAAATCAAAAATAAATCAAATAAATGAACATAAATTAAAAGATTTTTTTATATTGCTTTAAATTCATTTTGGTATTCATAAATATCACAATCCAAAACTAATAAACTGTTTTTACTATAGAAGAAGTGTCAAATTTGAGAGATTAGTGAACTTTACTAAACCAAAACCTAAGGCTAATGCACCTTAATCGCCAATTGAATTATAGCTTTTTAAATATAGAAGTAAAAATATAGAATTACTTAGTTAGTTAGAAGGAAAAAATCAAGAAAAAATATGAAATAATAAGAAATTAATAAATAATAAAAAAAATGTTGAAAATTAAAAATGTTAAATTAACAAATAAAACAAATAAATAACTAAAAGCACAAGCAGTATAAAAAAACAAAAATAAATCAAATAGATAGCAAATAAATAAATTAAAAGAGTTAGTTAGAGGATTTTAAATTCATTTTTATATTGAAAAATATCACAATCCAAAAAAAATAAATGGTTTTTACCAAAGAAATAGTGTCAAATTTGAGAGATTAGTACACTTTCCTAAATCAGAACTTAAACTTGATGCACCAATTGCAGAAATTTAATTTCCTCTTTTTAAATATTGAAGAAAAAAATTTATATAATTAGTTAGAAGAAAAAATTGGAAAAAAAAAACTTGTAATAATAAGAAGTGAATGAATTAATTAATAATAAAATTAAAAATTTAAAATTAAAAAACGAGTTTAATTAACAAGCAAGCAATGAAATAAATAAAAATTATTTTGTTTTAAATTCAAAAATATCACAATTCAAAGCAAATAAACTGTTTTTACTGAAGATAAAGTTCTAAATATGAGAGGTTAGAGCAATTTCCTATACCAAAACCTAAGCTTGATGTACCTTTATCACCAATTTAATTATAACTTTTTAAATATTTAAGAAAAAATATATAGTTGATTAATTAGTTTGAAGGAAAACATGAAGAAAAAATTAAGAAATGAATTAATAATAAAAGAAAAAGTTGAAATTATTGAAAATAAATGAAAAAATGTGTTAAATTAACAACAACAAAAAAAACAAACTAATAAAGAAAGAAATAAATAAATAAATAAAAAACATAAGCATAATAAAGAAAAAGAAAAAACTTATAAATAAATGAAAAAAGTAAGTTATTTATTTTAAATTTATAAAAAAATCAAAAAATATCTCAATCCAAAAACAAATAAATTGCCTTTACCTTAGATTAAGTGTCAAATTTGATAGATTAGTGTACTTTAACAAACCAGAACCTAAATCTGATGCTCCAATAGCATCAATATACTTATACCTTTTTAAATATTAAAGAAAAAATAAAGAGTAAATTAGTTAATTAGATGGAAAAAATGAAGAAATAATATGAAATAATAAGAAATCAATAAACAATAAAAGCAAAGTTGAAAATGAAAAAAGTGTTAAATTAACAAACAAGCAAATAATTTAAAAAAAAACACAAGCAAAATAAAAAAATAAGAAAAAAAAATCAAATAAAAAGCCAAAAAATTAAATAAAAGAGTTAGTTACATTGCTTTAAATTCAATTTTATATTGAAAAATATCACAATCCAAAACTAATAAACTCATTTTACTCAAGACTAAGTGTTAAATTTTAGAGATTAGTATATTTTCCTTTACCAGAACTTAATCCTGATGCACCAATTTCATCAATTTAATTTTCGCTTTTTAAATATTGAAGAAAAAATAAAGTTAGTTTAAAGGAAAAAATGAAGAAAAATTCAAATAAAAAAAATAAATAATTAATAATCATGATGAAAATTGAATTAATATTAAGTTAAAATAATTAAAAAATATTTGTAGATATAAAAATGAATGAAAATGCATGATAATTTCTATTAGAAAATTAATATAGCAAATCACATGATAATTAAATATAAAAAACATTAATAATAATAAATCAAATAAACCTTTATGTCGTATCAATATGGAGAACCTAATGAGATAAATTTGAAGATCTTAAAAACTTATTTTATTAATAAAAATAAATTTAAATTTTATTGATAATAAAATAAATATTTACTTCTTCTAGATCTTCGAAATAGTTATTCTATTCCATCATTTTTTTTTCTTGTAAAATATTGAATAATAATTTATGGAAATTTAATTAATTTTAAGCATATAAGATCAATCATATTAAATAGAATAGTTAAAAGATAATAAATGGAAATGATAGACTTCCAACTAAATTCACGCTCAAAGAGACGCTATCACATTGATAAACTTTTTAGTCAAAAGTAAGGAAACTTTGTTTGAAAAAAAATATTTTTAAATGGTTTATTTTTAATTTCATAGAAATTTTTGAAATATTATTTTAATTTTTAACATTTTTATCATCAGCATTTAAGGGAATCCTTAATCAATAAATATTGGCAGTAAATATTTTTATTTTTAAACAATTAAATTTTGAATAAAATTGTAAAAAATTAAATGTTTTACAAAGAAACATTTTTATTCAAACATCAATAAAAGCTAAAAAATTATAATTAATAAAAGATTTTTTAATTTGTAAGTAACTAGCGAGTTAACCAATAGGGATTAATCGCTCAATCCTGTATAAATTGTTTTATTTATTTAGTTTTAAATTAATATTTAGTTTGAAAGAATGTTTAGCAAGCAAAACTAATATTTTCTTTAGATATTTTTTTAAATTAATTTGAGTTTTATTTATGTATTTATTAAATTTATTTTACTTCATATTTCTATTTTTAAAATTAAATAAAAAATTAACATAAATATTTTATATTATTTTTCTTATTTATTTTTTATTATATTGATTTAATTTTGGTCGATCTCGCTAGTTGTGTTTATATCATCAGGTTAATGCTTAATCAAAAAAAGAGAATTAGTTTTTCTGGCTTGATTTGAATATTGATTGATATTTCGAAATAATAATTGAAAATTAATTTCAGATAAAAAAAATTTAAAAATATCTAAATTTCTAATTATTACAAATTTAAAAAAAATTTTTGTAAATAAACTACAAAAAAAAAATGTATTATGTATATATCAATCTTTAAATCTAATAATCAATTATACATTACAAACAAATAAATAATTGATCACCTTAATTTTTTGAAATATATTTCAATATATTAATGAATAATGTATGTATGTATTTATTTATTTATGTAGAGGATTTTATACATCAAGAATCTCTTATTTTTAAAATTTAATCTTTGCACTTAATGCAGATATCAAAATCACAGTCTTCACAAGTCAGTGCATATATTCCATATTTTTTACAAGGTGTTTTGCATAGATCACACATGTTTCTTAAAATTCTATCAAAATTTAGCCTTAGTGGATGAGAGTTTACGCACTAAAGAACTTTTTATAGTTTATATTTAGATTCACAACCAGCACAAATATCAAAATCACAATATTTACACCTTAACGTATAACTTCCATATTCATCTGCTCTTTCAAAACAATTATCACAGTAAGTATTATTAGATTACTTTAACTGTCTAACTGTTAAATAATGCCCTTCAGGACAAATTTTTGATCCTTGATTACTGCAAATATTTTACATTTTTTGGTCCTCATATCCTTCTTTGCAGTATAGACATAAATCATAATCACACTATGAACAAGATAGAACATAATTTCCTCCATCAAATCCAGGCTCAAAGCAAGAATCACATGTACAAGTTTCTACTCTTTAGTATGATTCTTAAAGAATATGGCCAGAAGGACAAACAAAACCAGTATCTATTTAATTTGATGGTCTGGATAAATAACTTTATTAATTAGAAGAAGTAAATCTAGCTTAGGTTGTTTAAGCTGACAAAGAAATTTTGCTCAAATGCATACTAATATCACCAAAATCTAACTCCAAAGACTAAAGCTGGACTTTTAATTTTTATTATTGATACATTTTTATTTTTATTATTTTTTTTTTCTAATCTGGATTTTAAATAATTAATTATATAAAAATATTAATGAAATTTAATAAATTTAAATTTCTAATAAATTAAGTGAGGAATTTATAATAATAAATATGAGCATTTATTTATATTTAAGAAATCATTTATTAATATCAAATTGATTATAAAAAATATTGATACTGAAATCAATTAACAAGTGAGAAATTGATTATAAAACAAAATTTTTCTCTTTAAGTGGGAAAGATTGATATTTAAATAATTATTTTGTCATTTAAAAATACTGATAAAATCTAAACAAGCAATTAAAATATTAAATATTTTATCAAATAAAATCATGTTTTTATTCTATAAAATATTTTAGGAAATATTTTTAGTAAATAAATACTAGAAATAGTAGACTCTTGATTTAATATGATAAAATATAATCATAAATGAAAAATTTAAATTTAATAATAATTTTGATTTTCTTTATATATATAATATGAAAATGTAGTAAAAAATATTAAATAATTAATTAGAATAGATTTATATTTTAAGTAATATCTGAAATCACAATGTAACTTTACAATTTATTGAGCTTTTCTATTTATCTTATTGAATAAATAACTTTTTCGTTTATTTATAATTGATTCAAAAATTAATTTATATGAAATTTATTTTTTAAGAAAGAGCAAAGAAAATAATCTTATAAATAATAAATTTGTTATTTTAATTCTAGTTTGAAAACATAAAATGCAATATAAAAGGGCAGATATATAAGAAATAAAAGAAAGAAAGAATATGTGTATGTATAAATATTTGGGTTTTAAGTAAGGTTTTTTATTAGTTGAAATTGTTTAGGCAATTTATTAATTTAATTAAATTAATTACTTTAATGTTTTGATTGCTAATTTAATAGCTATTTTAATTACAAATCAATTCTATACTTAAGGATTTGCATGTTTATATTGAATGGGACTTGGTAAATACTATTGAATCTTATTAGGGTTATTTGGCTCGTCATTTACAAGCTTCAAATGAAAATCCACCACATGAGTAGAGTAAAATAATAACTGCAATTACTAGAATAAAAAATGTTGATATAAAAATCAATTTTTTATTTCGACTTGATCTTTTTTATTTACGGATTATGCTTAACTTTTTGAAGCTTTCATTAAGAGACTTGTCAATAACTTACGAAGAACTTTACCTTTCTAATTTAGGATCTGTAATTTGCTTTAAAGAAGATGATATTTTATTCTCTTTTTCTATTAGCTTATTCATGCTTTCATTTAAAATCTATTCAGTCTCAACTATACATTATTTGGCTTCCTCGAGTTTTGTTTTAACAGTGGTATTGTAACTCTCCATTTGGTTTTTAATGAAATCTTAAAATTTTTTAGTTGTGCCTTATCTATCTTGTATAAATTCTTTAACATCTTGCTCTAAAAAATGTGCTTTTATTTCAGATATGAACATAAAAGCCTTCTCTATGGAAAATTAAACGTTCGTAACACATAAATACATGTAGGGGTATTCGCTCAAAACATGAAATATAAGTTCTTCTTTATATTTAAAAGACGTTCTTCTAGCTTCAGGTGCAGTTTTAACTACATAATTCAAAAATTTATGCAAACTATAAAGTTTTTTAGCGTAATCAACAACTTTCTTTTTCCTGTTTTTGACAATTATTGCATAGACTATTTCATCTTCTACATCTTCTTCTTACGACTGAGACGATTGCTTCTCTAAATCATCTTTGGTTGTTTAATTTTTCTGAAGAAGAGGTTAATTCATTTTAACTAAGAGGATACAAAAATTTATTAATTAAAAGTTTAATTATTTTTTTTTTTGAAGATCAACCTAAACTAAAAAAGTTGCTAATAATTATCATATAAAAATACATGCAAATAATTGATTTCTTTTACATTTTTTTTTCAAAAGTAAATTAAATTTCTTCTTGGTATTTTGGGATAAGAATGTCAAGTAAGTGTTATTCTATTTATATTTCTTATCAAAACCTAATTTGGTTAACCGGAATTTACCTAAGCAGATATTTTTCTGATTAGTTTATTAAAAATGATTGCTTATTCGAGCATAAATTAAAGTAGAAAGGTTTTATACTTCTAAAATGTGAACAAAATAAGTTTAATTTTATCTTATCAGAAAACTGAAGTAAAAATGCTTATTTCTACCTTCAGCTTGAATAGAAAATAAGTAAACTTTACTGAGTTTTCAACAATTAGCAAAAGAAAAACAATAACTAAAAGATAAATTTATTAATAAGAGAAAATAAATTTACTAATTAAAATATTAACTTAGACAATAGTAGTTTTAAATTGTTAATTTACAAAATATTATTTTAAAATTATTAAAAACCATTTAACTGAAGTGAAAAATTAATAAAAATATTTTATTGACAAATTTATTTTAATGTTCTGAAAATTAACTACAAAGCCAACCATTAACTTGATGAAAATAGCTTTGTCCTGTAATTTCTGATTTAATTTATGCCAACAAATATCATTTAAAGAAACAAAATAAATTATTTCTTTAAAGTGAATTTTTAGGATTTAAAATTAATTTAAATAAAATTCACTAATGGCAAAATTAGAATTTCACTAATAAAGTCAAATATTTTAAACAAAATTTTTGAATGATTGATAAATGGAAAATATCTTTGATAGAGTTGGATAAAGCCAAAGATAGAAAAAGAGGAAGATAGATAAATATAAAAGTAGAAGGAACTATTAGAAATAAAGATTAATTAATTAATTTTATTTTAAATTATATTTTACAATTTAAATTAAATAATAAAATTTTGTAAAGATAAAATCAAAGCTGTTATTATGATTGGTTTGCATTGCTTGTTGCATCATATGTATTCTAGTTGTTAAGCATTTCTTATTAATAAAGTTCAAATTCTCTTTCTCCCTTAATTCCATCCAAATTATCGAGATATCTTTTAATCTCTCTTTCAACCAAATCCTAAAATGAAAATAATTATTGAATTTATTTTATTGCTTAAATTAAAATTTGTGTTTTACTTCGTTATCCATCATGTATTGCAAGGAAGTAGGATCATCGATAGGACATTATTTATCTTCTTTCATCATCTTTTAAATGAAATAGATATATTAAAATAATGATTCTTATTAGAATTTAATAATTACCTATAAGTATATATTTTATTGTAAGATAGTATTTTCTATATAAAGAGATGGATCTAAGGTGTAGGCGAAATACGAATCTCTTTTGAACTTATGTGATTTTATTTTTTCTAATGTTTCTGTAAATTTTTTATCTAAATCTTTAATCTTTTAGTTTAAGGTAATGAAGGGATGCTTTTGTGAATCTTTCTTTTCCTATAAAACGACCTTTTGAGAGAAGAAAGGCATAATTTCCATACCCAATTAACTATCTACGTCTACCACAAAATCATAAACTCTTTCGTTTTCTTCAGGAGTGCCGCTAAGTCTAATTAAATTACAATCATAAGAATCATTTATTTTCATTAAAATAGTTACTTAATTTGGTGTCTTATTGTTGTTTAATTTGGAATAGTTAAGAGTTATCTCAATTTTGCTGTGATTTGTCCTATGTTTATTTTGTCTTGTAAGAATACCTATTTTAAAGTTAATTTTATAATTAAACATTCAATTTGCATTCCATAATCGCAATTTTACGCTTCTCATCGCATCATCACAATTTATCTCACTTTTATTTTCACTGTCTTACAAATTTTTAAGCTTTTGTTATAAGTAAATAGTAGATTAAATATTTAAATAATTCATCAAATTGCGCGCTCTATTTTAAAGAGAGTGAATTGAAAATTATTTGGCAGATAATTAAATAATTAATTGAAAGTTCTAATTATTTTCGTTAAGTTACCTTAATATATTCCCAAATAGCAGCCAAAGCAGTTGATCTAGTGCAAATTTCAAACCCAATAATTGAAGCGAGCTTAGGATCAACCTATTAACCAATTCATTTAAATATTGTTTAAAATTATTATTCCTTATTTATTTAAATTTACTCTAAACTTCAAAGGGTTGTGATACAAATGAATATGAATTGTAACTACTGTTTCCTTGCTGCTTTATTTGCGAATGATTATTCCCTACTCTACCTTATCTGACTTTCTCCACTACATCAAATATTATACTTAATACTTTATTAACATTTCTTCAATTTATTTTTACTTAAACGGGTTCGCTGCTGAAAAGAGGATCCTTGAATTCTACAGTGATTTTTGAGAAGAAATTTGAAAAATATTGCTTAGGAGTTGTCAAATATGATGCGTTAGTCTGTTATAAAAAGAATCATTAGAAAACCTATTCAATCCCAATTATTGCTATAAATTTTACCTTGTCTTCTTAAAGCAAATGTCCATATATTTTAAGATTCCATATATATTGTTCTTCTTATTCAATTTGCATGGGATCATTATCTATATGAGGTCCCTAAGGTACTAAAGTATAGTCATTAGTAATGTACATTCTGAATATTTGTTTTGTCTTTTAATTTGGTCTTGCAAACTATTCCTGTAAATCGAATCTCTTTCTTTTCACCATTTTATCAATCATTCCTTCATATTTAACAAGCTAATTAAGTAATTCAAATTCTGGGGCTATTTTTAATAATTCTTCATCACACTCAGAATACCCAATATTACCCTTTTCATAAATCGAATGAATCAGCTATTTTGGGTCAATATAACTTTCTTATGCTGCGTGCGATTATGAACCTTATTGCTGCTGTTATTACTATGGAATATTTTATTATTGATTTGGCTAAACTCCTTATTATTAACTCATAATTTGCTATTGTGGGTGGCCTTATTATCCACCTTATCCATAAATTACACCTTATTAATTTCCTCCCATTCCTCCTTGTCCTTGAGGATTAGCCATCTAATTTCTTTAAAAGTGTCCTTAGGGCTAGGGAGGTCCCAAGGGGCGTTACTAGCCATTCATCATATTTGGGTTTTAAGGAGCACTCATGCCAGCTGCTGGATTTACCTATTAATTTTACATACTTTATTTAGTTATTTTAATTATAAATCTTAATTATTTGCTTTATTTTGTTAATATTAATATTCAATTGATATCTATTAGCACATGAATAAATTTATAATAAAAAGTATCTATTTTTCTTAAACATCAATGCTATCTTATTCATTTCATAATAATTCATTTAGCATTATCTATCTTTAAATAGATTTTTGTTTTTTCATTCCACTCTCTTTGGTAATTTATTTAATTATTTATCAATTTATATTTCAATAAAATCAATGAAATTAAATGAATGTGTATATGTATGCATGAATATTTTGTATTTATTTTTTATAATTATTTTCTTTGGAAACATTTCTTCTTTTATTGTAGTTCAACTCAAAAAAGCTAATAGTAATCTCATAAAAATGTTTATTTATGTTTTAAAAGTAGAAGCCAAAGATAAAAATTTTACAAAAATAATATATTTTAATTGACTTTATTTTACAATAACAAACAAGTTTATTGAACTCTGTTTTTGGATAATAAAAAATTATAATGAAATTTTAAGTTGTTCTTAAATATTAAAATATTTGATTTATTTTACTCTAAAAACTTTTAAATTCATACAATAAAATTTGATTCTTACAAATTAGATATTATAATACATTTATTGTAAATCTTATAGATTTACTAATTATTATTTATTTAAATTAATTTTATAAAAAATTATTTTAACACATAAAATATATTTTTTTTTTTTTAGTAATTTTAAGTTTGTTTGATTAATTATCATAGTATAATTTCAAAATAAATAGAATTAGTTAAAATTAATTCAATAAAATAAGTGAAAATATTCAAAATTATTTGACAAACATACGATTTACTATTTTAATTAAAACTGTTAATTTAAACTTTATAATAAATATTTTTTAAAATAAATATTAAATAATCTCATATTTTTATTTAAGTAAATATAAAAATGAATTATACAAAAATTATTAATATTATGCTTTGATAAAATAGTTATTTTTTTCATTAATTATCTACTTCTTAAAAATATAATAAATCAATTTTAGTTTCGTAATCCAGGGCACTTTATTACTTGCCAAAATGAAATGTTAAATAATAAGTGCTTTCAGCATCTAATAAGCTTTAATTTTAAAGTTCATTAATATTAAAAAAAAGACCACCCTCATATTCATCACAAAAATAAATTTATGAATTTTAAATATCTATTATCATCGTCAAAATAAAATTATTAGCAATATCACTAAAATATTCTCCTGTAACAATTTATCCCCCATACTTTTTGTCTGGTAAAACAAAACTTTTTCCTTATTGTGATAAATTAAGATGGTTAAGCAAATTATTCGAATTAATTAATCCAACAATAATATATTATCCTCCTGAATCATTAAATCTTATTTTACAAATATACTTTTTATGTTTTGACATGGGATACTTAAAGTAAACATACCCAAATTAAATATTTAAACTTTTGTATATTTATAAATAATCTTCAAATAAAGGAATTGTAACTTTAATCTCTTTTGATTATTTGTAATCAGTAAATTCTTATTTCCCATGTAATAAGTTAATTTAGTTAGATTCATTAGATGAAGCCTTATCATAAAGATATTTAAAATTGAAAAGTTTAAGATATTTATCAATTTCTTATTCAAAGTTGTTATTTTCTGTTTTAGATTATTAATCCTTTATCATTAAATCTAACTGTTATTAAATTTTATTTATTTCTTCACTAAAAACATCGCATCTATCAAATTCATCATCTAAACTATCTAAATGATCCAACATATTATTTTTTAATTCTTCAATTTCAAATATTTGAGGAGATTACTGATATTTCTTTATTTTTTCAATCAGTATTTGTATTTATAAATTTTTTTACTTCTTTTCTACAAATGATGTTTACAAAAAAGCTTATAGATCTTTATTTATTTTTTCAAAGCTTTCATTTTAAGCTAATATCTATTTTAAGTTATCCTTACATGAAATTTGATTGTAAATATTATGAATTTCTTCTTTATCAATTCTTAGGTTTTATAATTTTTGTAAGGTCTTTTTTTTTTTTTCATCTATTTTCTGAACTATTTCATTTCTAAGACTGTTAAATTAATCTTCTATTATTTGAATTGGATCTGTATAATCCTAAACTAGCTAGTTTAGTTGATTGATCAATTCTTTATTACATAAAAGAGGCCAGTTTTTGAAAATATAATCATCTTAACTCATCAAAATAGTATTGATATAAAGATAATCATTATAGTTAATATCTTCCAAAACACATTATCCACATTTAAATATGTCATCTTAATCTCTAATATTAGTGCTAATGTACATGTAGCTATTAATGCTATGCTTTTTACATGAAGGATATTCTAATTTATTTAAATTATTCATTTATTTCTTTAAATTTATATATTACAGGTCTTTCTTGTTGGTCTTTTTGCTATTTTAATAAAAATTTTAATCAAATTTCAAATAATTTATTTATATAACAGATGATCAATAAATAAATAAATAAATAAATAAATAAAAGAAAGAAAGTAATTTATCCCATACAAATTAAAATAAGATTTATAAACAATCATATTATTTAGTAATTTATTTTTTAATTTTCAAAATAAATATCTTTTATTTAAAAAAAAATGTATATTTTTTGATAGATAAATTAAGTAAATAGCAAAAAATAAAAAATATAAAAAATAAATATATTTAAGAATTCAGAATAAAATTTTATTTTTTTGATAAATTTATAAAAATTAATTTTCTAAGTACTTAAATATCTATAAAAAGCAAATATTTTGAAAAGCAATTACGTTAAAACTAAATATTAATATCTAAATTTGATTTTTAAAATTTATTAGATATTTAATAATCATCTTTATTTTAATAAGATTAAACAATTAGTTGTAATAAATAATAATATTTTATTTTTAAAATTACTGATTTTTAATAAATAAATAAGTTAATTTTAAAATAATACAAAGTTTCTAATTATTTTTATTTATATATTTATTTGTTTTGAAAGAATATAATTTATTCAATTATTATTAATTTTATTTGTACAATTTTAGTATTAAGAAGACAATTTCTATTGTTTTAGAGCCTCTTCTGATACATCTACGCTAATGCTTTAAGGTAAAACTAATTTTTAAGTAATTACACTCCTTTATTGTCCTTTGTTTTATTGCATTAGAATCATTTTCTACAGAGCATCAGACTATTGTAGAATATCTTTAGAAGATTCTTGTTGTAATTATTATTTTTGCATGTGTTACATTTGCATCACATTCATATGATTAGATATTTTATTTGAGTTTAAAGCTTCTTAGTTACTTTATCTGTAAGGGCTCAATGAATTTTAGGATATATTTGATTATATTTAATATTCTTTAAATTTAGTAGAATCATCTTTTTTAACTTCATCAACAAGGAATATAGGAAGTTATTAATTCTTAGAACTTTGTATTTTATCTTTAGATTAGTTTTAGGGAGTATACTCTATTGTATTTATTTGTTGTATTATAAATTAAACACATTATTTAGAAGGGTGACTGCTATCAGATTCATCTCCAGTACTTATTCCTTATTAGTTGCTTGGAGGAGACTAAGTAATTGAATTAGGCTAAGTTTTAAATTTTTATTACATATCTTGCATGTGTTGGGCATGTAATTTAGTGGTTATTTATTTATTTGCTGGTGATGGTTGATATTTACTAAGAATAGCTGGAATCATCTCAGAATTTTATGATTAATCTTTACTGTTTCTAATATTCTACCTATTTTATGAGAAATCTGTTTAAAAGTTTTTCTATCTAGTCGATTATGGAAAATTTGGTTAATCGAAATTAAATTATTTTTAGTTTTCTCTGTTTTTACTTGATAAAATTTATTTAATGTTTCCTTTTATTTATGTTGTATCATTTTGCTAAATTAGATCTTTAATTTCCTAGTTTTAATTGTGGTTTATTTATTTATTTTTATTTTTAGATATTTTTTTATTACTATATCTATTATTAGGTATGATAATTTATTAATTTTGTTAGTAAATTGGTGATTGATTGTAAGATGTGCTATTATAAACATTTTGTTTTGCATTCTGGTTGTAAAAAATAATATTTTGTTAAGTTGAGTTTTCTTAATCAAAATTTATTTGCTAAGCTTTGATAGGTGTTGCATTATTACTTTATATAAAATTACCTTGATGTGGGTGCTATTATTAATATTTAGGGTTTAGTTTTAAATTTATCATTTAGTTATCAATTTCGATTGATTTTTCTTTTTACTAATTATGTAGATTTTTCTAAGAATTTCTAGCAGCATAAGCATAGGTGGCTCCATCATAAGATTGATTTACTCTAAATGTTGATTTTTATAAATACTATTTCAAATGGCTCTATCTTTATTTTAAATGGTTTAAGCCTTCTAAATTACTATTTTCAGCTTTAAAATACTTAATTCTTCCATTTTGAGATTCTTATGGTGATATTTACTACTGCTAATTAGCAGTTAATCCTTAATCTTCATCTGTATTTAATCTTAATTAAGCTTTCTATGCATGCTTTTTATTAATAATAGGTCTTTCTATTTTTGGTGTCTAACTTCTTATCTAATATATTTATAATAACAAACAAAATAAGGTTTCAGCTACGTAAATTCAAATAATAAATTAGTTTTTACTTAATATTATAGAGGAGGCAACTTATAAAGCTCTGATTCATCTTACTTTTATTTTGAATAACATATTAATTAAGTTATATGAATTAAATATGCTGTTACATATCCCTTATGATCTCCAAGAGAGCTTCTACAATTATTCTTACGATTTCTAATTTACTTATCAGCTTCCTTCTTTATCTTAGCTTTTTCTTCATCAAATTAATTTATCCAATGAGGCTTAAAATCAAAAATCTTGTCTTTAGGAGAACCATCAGGTAGAATCTAAAATACAATAAAAATGATTGAAAATAAAAATTGTTATCTTAAGTATAATTATACTAAACCAATTTTGATTAAGTGATTTTTCACAAGACCGCCTTGAAAATAAGATTTTAGATACTTATCTCTCAATCCATTATAATTTAGTAGTTGCTAATCTTTTGTGTATTCAACTTTGAAATCTTTTGAAGCTTTATTATTTTAAGACAGCTGCTTTGGAGTAAGGTATGTTGAAATACTAATTTTATAAGTATTATGAAACAAATAATTAAATTTTTGAAGGAAGATTTAAATAAATGTGCAAAAGAAAATATATTTAAATTAATCAATCAATTACTCGGCTCTGTTAAGCCATTCATCCATTTTTGTAAAAGCAAGAAAGAAAAATAAGAAGTAGTCTTTAAGTTTTGTATGTGAATTGGAACAAGATATTATTTTTATCAAAATTATTAATTTTCAGCTATTTGTGATTAAAATAAATCTAAAGATAACCAAGAATTTATTTAATAATTAATTGCAAAAACTTATATCACCGCTTTGAATTATATATAAATGACTTATATTGATTTAGAAATAATAATTCAATGGATTAAAAATAACAATTAAGTAAATGAATTAATTATTGATAAATATCTAAATTATTAAATATTTAAATATCTATCAAACAATTTATTAATTACCATAAGAATATTGCTAATTTTTATAATATTTATGCACATTCTAAAAGCAACCTCAACATTTATTCATTTTAATCCTTTTCAAGCATAATATTCTTTATTTACATTATACAGAGTTAAACCATGTACAATATTTTTACTAATATCCTATAGGTGGCATTATCTTTTTACTGTAAACTGTTACTCAGCTAATATTGATTCATACCAATAGTTTGTTTTTATATTTTTTAAGATATAAATAATAATAAAAATATATACACATTAAAAATAAATCAATAATATAAAACTAAAGCACATTAATTTCTATTCCAATTCTATGAAAATATTTAGGTTAACATGGATTAGTTGTCTGCAAAAGTATTCAAAAAACTAAGATGCATGAGTTCATAGTAAAATGTGCGCACTTGCCGCACAGTGCATATCATTTGTGCGCAAATCATGTGAGCAAAATTTATGCGCCTAAATACATCAAAAATTTATTTTATTCTGGTGAGTTCTCATTATCATTATCCTTTATATCCAATCTCTAGTTCCTAGTATATTTTTAAGAATACATTTTAAATAAAAATATTAAGATCTAATAATGAATTTTACACTTATTTCTTTGTGATTTCTCTTACTAAAAATAAATTTGTAAATTCATATAATTTGTTTGTTCTTTTTATCCATTAAATATGAATTAAATTTGTATAAATTGAAATTCAATATTTTTGAAAAAAATAAATTATGCAATAGATTAAATATTACAACAAATTAGAAGAAGTAATTATTTATTTTTTTATAAATATAATTTAAATTTATTTTTGTTAATGTAAAAAGTTTTTAAACTCTTCACTTTAATCTCATTAGGTTCTTTATATTAATCTGAGGTATATTTTAATAATTAATATTTTTTATATATTTAACTTTCAGTTCATTTAAAATTTTATTTTTCTAATAGAAATTATCCCCTAAATTAGTAAATTTTATTTACAAATGTTGTTTTAGTTATTTTAACTTACTTTTCATTTTAAATTTTTTAAATTCGCTACTTATTTTTTATTTATTTTTTTGTTATAAAACTTTTAATTGATAAAAGTAGTTTATTAATTTTGGATTGTGATATTTTTACTGATAAAATTAAGTTTAAAATAATAAAACTCTTTTAATTTATTTTTTTAATTTTTACTTGATTTATTTTTCTTTTTCTTTTTTATTTTACTTGCGTTTATTTTTCTTCTATCTTTCTTAATTTACCTCATTTTTTTATTTTCAATATTTAGTTTTATTATTTATTAATTTATTTCTTATAATTTTATATTTTTTCTTCATTTTTCCTTATAAAATTATAACTAATTATTCATTTATTTTTTCTTCAATATTTAAAAAGTGGCAATTATATTAATGATGAAGCTGAATCAAGTTTATATTCTGCTTTATTAAAATGCACTAATATCTCAAATTTGACACTTGATCTTAGGTAAATTCAGTTTATTTATACTGGATTGTGATATTTTTAATTATATAATTGAATTTAAAAAAAAAGAGCTCTTTTAATTTGTTTTTTGCTTTTTATTTGATTTAAATTTCTTTTTTATATTTTTTTTTTTTTTTCTTTTATATTTCTTAATTTAACTGATTTTTATTTTCAATATTTGATTTTATTATTTATTAATTGATTTTTTACTATTTCATATTTTTTCTTCATTTCTCCTTCTAAAATTATTAATAATTAATTATATATTTTTTCTTCTATATTTAAAAAGTGATAAACATATTATGAATAAAGGTGCATCAAGCTTAGGTTCTGCTTTAGCAAATTGCACTAATCTCTTAAATTTGACACTTCATCTTGGGTAAATTCAGTTTAAATGTTTTGAATTGTGATATTTTTACTTATAAAATTGAATTTAAAACGATATAGCTCATTTAATTTGTTTATTAACTTTCTTTCTATTTGATTACTTTTTTTTTATTTTATTAAACTTGTGTTTATTTTTGTTATACCTTTCTTAATTTAACCCATTTTTTATAATTAATATTTACTTTTCATTTATTCCATCTAAAATTATAAATAATTAATTAATTTATATTTTTTCTTCAATATTTAAAAAGTTAGAATTCAATTGGTATTAAAGGTGTATCAGATTTAAGTTCTGCTTTAGCAAATTTCACTAATCTCTCAAATTTGACTTTTGATCTTCGGTAAATTTAGTTTATTTGTATTGGATTGTGATATTTTTAACTATAAAATTGAATTTAAAATAATATAACTCTTTTAATTTGTTTATTGCTTTTTATTTGATTTCCTTTTCTTTTTTCTTTTTTTTTTTTGAATTTTTATTTATTATTCTTCTATCTTTCTTAATTTAACTCATATTTTAATTTTCATTATTTGCTTTTATTATTTATTAATTCATTTTTTATTATTTCATATTTTTTCTTCATTTATTCCTTCTAAAATTAAAACTAATTATTTTATATTTTTTCTTTAATTTTTAAAAAGTAACAATTAAATTCGTAATAGAGGTGTATCGAGCTTAAGTTCCGCTTTAGCAAAATGCACTAATCTCTCAAAATTAACACTTTTTCTTTAGTAAATTCAGTTTATTTGTTTTGGATTGTTATATTTTTACTTATCAAATTGATTTTAAAACAATATAACTACTTTTATTTGTTTATTGCTTTTTATTTGATTTACTTTTCTTAATTCTTTTATTGAACTTGAGTTTATTTTTCTTCTATTTTTTTTAATTTAACTAATTTTTTTATTTCAATATTTGCTTTTATGATTTATTAATTAAAATACAAAAAATTTTTTTTTTTGTCAAAGATTAATTTTAAAATCTGACGATTTTTTAAATATATTTGTTTGATTTTTATTGAATTTTTTTAATAAATAATATTTGTTTTAATTAAATGACTCTTTCAATTTGATCGAAAAAAAAAATATTTTGACTATTTTGAAGAACCCCCCCCCCCCCCCCCCCTTCTCATTTATCCCTTCTAAAATTATAACTAATTAATTTATTTTCTTTCTTCAATTTAAAAAGAAGCAATCAAATTGGTGATTAAGGTGCATCAAGCTTAAGTGGTGCTTTAGCAAATTTCACTAATCTCTCATATTTGATGCTTGATCTTTAGTAAATTAAGTTTATTTGTTTTGGATTGTCATATTTTTACTTATAAAATTGAATTTAAAATAATATGGCTCTTTTAATTTGTTTATTAGATTTTTATTTACTTTTCTTTTTCTTTATTATTTTGAACTTGTGTTTATTTTTATCTTTCTAAAGTTAAATCATTTTTTATTTTCAATATTTGCTTTTATTATTTATTAATTCAATTTTTTCATTCTAAAATTATAAATAATTAATTATATATTTTTTCTTCAATATTTAAAAAGTTTTAATCAAATTGGTGGAATTGGTGTATCATGCTTAAGTTCTAGTTTAGTAAATTGCACTAATCTCTCAAATTTAACACTTAATCTTGCGTAAATTAAATTTAACTGTTTTTGATTGTTATATTTTTACTTATAAAATTGAATTTAAAATAGTATAGCTCTTTTAATTTGTTATTAGCTTTTTATTTGATTTACTTTTCTTTTTTATTGAACTTGCTTTTATTTTTCTTCTATTTTTTCCTTCTAAATTACTAATTTATTATATATTTTTATTTCAATATTTCAAAAGTTACAATAAAATTGGCGATTAAGATGCATTAGGCTTAGGTTTTGGTTTAGCAAATTGCACTAATCTCTCAAACAAATTTGACACTTTATCTTTAGTAAATTCAGTTTTTTTGTTTAGGATTGTGATATTTTTACTAATAAAATTGAATTTAAAACAATATAGCTCTTTTAATTTGTTTATTAGCTTTTTATTTGATTTACTTTTATTTTTATTTTTATTTAACTTGTGTTTATTTTTCTTCTACCTTTCTTAATTTAACTCCTTTTTTTATTTTCAACATATGCTTTTTTTATTTTTTCTTATTATTTCTTATTTTTTCTTCATTTATTCCTTCTAAAATTATAACTAACTAATTAATTATATATATTTTTTTATAATTTAAAAAGTAACAATTAAATTACTAATAGAATAGAATAGAAATACTCGCACATATAAATGCACTCAGAATACAACTTAAAATTAAATTTTATTATATTTATAATATATTTCTTTTGTTTTATTATGTATTTATTAGAAACATTTAACCCTACAATAAATATAATTAACTTAAAGAATTTATAAATAAGACTATACATTATATATTTTAATAAAAAAAAATTAAAAAAAAGAGTGGTTTAAGTCTTTTAGTTTAGCCATAAAAAAGTAGTAACTATAATAAAATAAATATATTTTAATAAATCAAATGTTTAATGCACCTCCTTCTTTCCCAATGTATTCCTTCATTATCACAAATCATATCTATTATTTATTGCAATTTTTATTTCTAATAAATCAAATAAAAACCATTTCAAATAATAATTCTTAATTTTTTATATCTAATATTTTATTCCAGATATTATGTTTTATGATTGACCATACACTTTCAATAGCTCATAAAATATTTCTTTTATTTTTTACATTATAAACTTAGGAGCATCTTTCTCATGCCCTTGATTAAATCTTTTCCATGAACATGCTAAATAATTAATTTATCTTAACTCATGGTCTTCCTAAATTTACTTTTAATATTTACAATATTTATATCTTTATCTTTGTAGAGGTGGTTGATTGATTATAGGATTTATTAAAAAATAGCTCCATATAAAAAAACATAAGAATCGTTCAATAAATTCTATGAAAAATTCTAAGCACTCATTCAATTTATTCTTCTACTCCTAATTTATTACTTTTAATTTGAAATAATTAATAACGATATAGTAAGCTTCAACGTAACTTTTCCTTCAATTCACTTTTTTTTTTTAAATAAATAAATAAATTGAATCAAATGCTTCTATCACTAACATCTTATTCTTTTGTTTTATTTTTAATAGAATAATAATAATTCAATCTACAATTTAATGTGGATACTAAAAGTATCTAATTTTTTAAAAAAATAAACAAAATTTTTAAGCAATAAAGAAAAGTAAAACTTTATTAAATTAAAACCATACACAATTCTTCAAAATAAGTAAAAAAAAAATACAACAATTTTTAATAAGTTAAAATTTTTTAAAGATTATTATTTTGTTAATAGCAATTATTTTTTATAAAAATTAAAATTATTTGAGGCAATAGCTATGAATTAAATCCTTTAAAGCAAAAAAACTAATAAATATTTTTTATATATTAAACTTTTTTATTTAAAGCTTATTCAATAGTCTTAAAAAATTGAAAATTTTAAATCTATTAATTTACTTAATAAATTAAAAAATAGGTTATTATTACAATTATTATTTAATTTATTTATTTATCTTAAAATTTTTAAACAACTTAATTAAATAGAAGTATTTAAAGCTATCTGCTTTATTTTATTAATAGTTTATGAGATAAAAATTTGTGAAAATGTAAATTTTTTGTAAAAAGTTTATATTATTAAATATTACTACTACTTTTACCTTAGTAATTAATTGTATATTTTTTGATTGCATTCTAAAATAAAAATTATTTAATCTATCTCAACATTTAAAAATTTATAAGTCAGTGAAAATAATATATGTATGTTAAATGCTATTTTCTTTATTTTAATTTATGTGTCTCTCATTTTATTTAGTAGCCATTTGATTTTACTCTTCTTTTTATTTTGTTTCTAGGATTGATTAAGTTACTTTTTCGTTAAAAAATGGATGTGGAAAATAACAAATTTAAAGAAAATGACATCTTATATGCAATTAGCTTTAAAGCAGTGGGAAATTGATTTAAATTAAATGAATAATATTTAATTTATGATTTATTATTTGATTAATTAGGATATTCTAATCAAGTTAAGAGAAGAAAAAATCCCCCTCGATATTTTTAATTAGATTAACTAACTAACTAATCAGTATACGTAAAAAAATTATAGTTAAGTTTGAAGTGATAATAAATGAGGTGATCAACTTACATAATTCAACTAAATATTATTGATCAAATACTAAATTCAATCATCTTAAATTTATTATTTTTATAATAAATTATTGTAAAATCAAATTTATAATTTTTTTTTCAAAAAAAGGATCAATTTGTAGAAAAATTAATTAAAGCTAGTCAGTCAGAGTTGAATTTTAGGTTTCAAATACTCAATAGATTTATTAAAATTAAAATGGGCAATAACTTCTAGATGATTTCATTATTAATATGTTCACTTTTATCTTGGATTTCAACAGGATTCCTCATAGCTTATTTTTTATTTAACAGATATTCTAGAACATATGCTTTTAAACTAGTTTTTCCAATATTTTTTTTTGATTTTGTTCTAAGTTTTAATTACTTGACTCCTATACTCTATCTTGCAATAGATTCGAGTGCTTATTTAAATGATTCTACATGTAAATTGTAAGCCTTTTTAAAACTTTTAGCAACAAACGGCATGTTTTTTAGCTCTTTAATAATTTCTTGGGTACTATACTCTTATTTTATTAAAAAAAGACATGTAAGTTATAAGAATCCGATTTTGCACTATTGTAAATTTACTTTCTTTCTTCCTACCTTAATAGCAATAATTCCTTTCATAACAAATAACTATGGTCACACTGAGCCAATGAGTGAAATTATGTGTTTTCTTATTGTGAGAAAATATGATGGTTAATCAAAAGATACAACTGGAATAATCTTGAAAATAGTGCTATCATTTATTCCTTTTATTGCTTCTATTTCTTTTGAACTATTTTTTGTAATAAGAATATTGTATGATTTCCACAAAAACAAGGATTAATAAAATATAGTAAATATAAAAAGCTTAATATTATACCCTGTTATTTTAATACTGCTATGGATATGGATCATGTTTGAAAGATTTTATGAGCTGGTTACTGGAGGATAGTCTATAGACTGGTTACATTAATTTGATTTATAGCTAGGAGTGCTAAATGGATTTATTAACTCTATAGTATATGGATTTTTTTCCTTAAATATATGCTACAAAGAAAAATAGTCTGACTTATAACCTAAGTCATAAAATGAATCTTTAATATCAAGCAAATAATCAGAACACTTTGCTTAGAGTCTGGATCAAATAAGTGTGTAATGAAATATGATACTAAAAAATAAGAAAATAAAATTATCGAATTTGAAAAAATTAAGCTTACTTTTCTTTGCTCATTAATAGATCAAAAATACGATTTCAATTTTATTTTTATGTTTTATTAAAATATATTAAAACTAAAAAGATTAAAATTGTATTAATTGTGATTGAAGATTATAATACTATTTTAATAAATTAAAGCGAATAATTTGTGGTTTCATTTCAGAGCAAATATACAATTTTATAATTAATTAAAGGTTCATATTTATGTTTTCAAGATAATAAACTTGTTTTAAATTTTAGCTATAAACTAAAAACGGGCTCTATATCTCGTAAATAAATAAAAAAATCTATTTTCATCTTTATATTTATAAAATATTCATTAAATAATATAAATGTTTTATGTTGAGTTTGTTTATAAAAATATGTTTTTTTATTAAAAATTTTATAAATATTACTCTACATACAAATTAAAACAAAATTAAATTAAAAATATTTTAGATTGTTTATCAAATTATTTTAAAAATATAATTTTAATTGAGCTTAAGAAAGGAAATGTTGGATTAAAAATTTTAAATTACTATTATGAACATGTAAAAAAGAAAATAGAAGTATTCAACAAAAATTGTTTTTAGGAAAAAATTAAAATTGCAAGGTAATTGATTGGTAACAAATGTTTTATTTAATATTTAAAATATATTTAGATTAAAAAAATAAAGCGATTTCCTATTATTTTATTTTATTATTTGAACTTTAAAATATTTATTAATCATTTTACTAATTAAATAAAATAGGAAAAAAGAAATAAACATTAATTTAATGATACAATTTTTGATTAAATATTGAAATATTAATGCTAAAAGAGGCTTGATTTCTTTAATAATATCATTTTAATTTGAAAGCTTTTATGCTTATAATTCAAAAAGCTTTTTTGAAAAATTAAAATAAAAAATGCACCGACCGGGAATCGAACCCGGGTCAAAGCGATGGCAACGCTCTATTCTACCACTAAACCATCGGTGCTTAAGATAAAATACTAAAATTTAGAAAATTGATGATCACCCTCTATTTAAGTTTTTCTAACATTAAATCATAAAATGTTTTTAAAAAGGATAAAAAATATTGATTATCATTATTTTTTAGATAAATCAAATAAAACATTTTAACACATATGGTTGGAGATTAATATATTTTTATATGGAGTATTAAAGTACTTGTATTTAAAATATTTCAAGCATATAGTCCTAATTAAAATATAAAATGAGCTAAAAAAGAGCAATAATAAATTTAGTTATAATTTCTTAAGATTATAAATTACCAATATTATTTATTTATTTATTTATTTGTTTTTAAATAATATAAAATTAAAATTAATTAAAATTCAATTTCTAAATTTTTATATTAAAATTTATTTTTTCTAGAAATAGGTAATATCATATTTTACTTACCAACAAATTTATTTGTAAGTATTAATAGTGAAAATTGGATGAATTAAAAGTTAGCCTAAAAATGATTAGATAAAATTATTTTTAAATTGTAATTTGAATTTAATAAATCCAAATTCTAATTTTAGATCCATTTTCATCATACAAATCTACAAATCTGAAGAAACTAAAGATAAAATTAATTTATTTTCTAATAAAAAATTATTTAAAGTGAAATTATCTATCAAAATTCCATGCGCAAAAAGACTACTTCAACTCATTAATTTTTCTATTAGCCTATTGAAGAAAAAATAAATTACCTTTTTAATGATGGGTTAACTTAATAAGGGTTATAAACAAATAATCTATAGAAAAAGGATATTATTATAAAGCAATTTTTGTGTATTAATATTAGCAATTGAAGCATGGGATTTGATTGATATAATTTAGTAATTAGTTCATTTAAGGAAAGTGGGATTAATTTAAATAATTAAGAAAATGTACTAATACATAAAAAAATAAGTAAAAAAGAAATAAAAATTGTTTGTTTAAATAACTTTTTAAAATTAAAGAAATTTCTTAATAAGGTTTATATTATCTATATCTTTGATAAATTTAGGATTAATTTATAAACAGATAGAGAAGTTATATTAAAAGAATTTCTAGAAAATCATTGAGAAGAATAATTATTAAGCAATTTATCAAGCGATACAATTCAAAAAGAAGAAAAAGAAGAATATATATAAGTATTCAAGAATCACAAATCTAATTTGAAACTAAGGATAACATAATTACTAATAAAAGGAATAAATAAATTAATTCATAAATAATGAATTCATAGCTAATAAAAATGTGTTTATTAAAAGGATATTTTTAATAAGAAAGAGATAAAATTACAATAAACTTTGTTTCATTACAAATAAATTATATTTATTACAGTTTTATTGAATCAGAAAATAGAAGATTTTTAAAAGAAAAAAAAACTTCTCAGTAAATTTTTTAGCTTGGTAAATAAATAATATAATTTTATATAAAAATAAAATATTAAAATGATAAGAGTGAATTTATATTTCTTTATTCTAAAAATTAATAAGATTAGCTTAAATCAAATATTTATTTTAGAAAAATATTGATAAAAATAATAATCATATTGATTATGGCTACTTAGAAACCATAGATATTATTTAAAAAATAAAAATATTTAATATAATGGTTAAAAATTATAATTAAAAGAGTAATCTTATTTATAATTTTTGATGAAATGAATCTTACACTTTAAAGAAAAAAAAATAAAAATTAATTCCAAAAAGTGTATTTATTACTCTTTATAAATAACAATTTTGAAATATAAGGTTTTTATTTAATTATCTGAAATTGTAAATTGTTTTGATTTTTTCTGATATCTATCTTTCTATTTTTTTCTTTGTCTTTCTATTTTTCTATCTATATATCAGTCAATCAATATATCTACTTTTTAATAAATTTTTAAATTAAAGAAATTCCTCAAAAAATCATATATAAATAAGTAATTTAATTAAGCAAACTTTTTAAAGAGTGAAATGGGTGAAAAATATGAAACAATTTCTTTATTACTTTGTTCCATTTTATCTTGCACATCAACTGGAATTTTGATATTTTATTTTTTCTACTCTTAACAATCTAGGACTTATGCCTTTAAGTTAGTTTTTTCGATCTTCATATTTGATTTCATACTGAGCTTTGATTACTTATGTCCCTTATTATATCTTCTTATTGATTAAAATGCAAAAATTGGAGATGTTGTTTGTAAGATTTAAGGATTTGTAAAGCTATTAGCAACAAATGGAATGTTTTTTAGCTCTCTTGTGATTTCTTGGGTGCTGTATTCATATTTCATAAGAAAAAAATAAATAAAATATAAAAACCCAATAATACACTACTCAAAATTTACTATTGCTTTACCTCTTATTATATCCTTAATACCTCTTATAACTGGCAACTATGATCATACTGAACCCTTGAAAGATGTGATGTGCTTTTTAATTGTAAAGAGCTATGATGAAGGATCTTACGATACTACAGGGATGGTTTTAAAAATAGCATTGTCATTTATACCTTTTGTTACTACTATATTTCTTGAACTATTTTTTGTACTTAGAATCCTATACTAATTCTACATAAATAATGATTAGGTATATTTAGTAAATATTAAAAATTTAATTCTATATCCCTCTATATTGATTATTTCATGGATTTGGATTATGTTTGAAAGGTTTTATGAGTTAGTTACAGATGGAGATTAAATTAATTGGCTAAATTCATTTGACTTACAGCTTGGAGTATTAAATGGATTTTTTAACTCAATAGTCTACGGATTTCTCTCAATAAATCTTTGCCATAGTTTAGAAAAATCAGAAATTAAATTAATTGAATCAGAAAAAACTCCTTATTCTGATTCTATTTCTGGATTTTCGAGTATTTATGAAGAAGGAGAAACATGTGATAATTGAAAAAATCTTCAAAAATAGTTAATTAAAAAAAAACTATGGTTCTAAAAAATTTTTCATTTTATGGTATTCTTAATCATAGTTTTAATCAGATTGAAATCTTGATATTTACTTTTTAACTTTGTTTTAATTGGAAAACTTACTTAAAGTAAAGCTTGTGTTTTTTAAAAAAATCTACTTTAATAAAATAAATAATGTTAAGTAAATAATATAAAAAATATTAATGTAAAAGTTATAAATTTGTGTCTATAAATTATGTTATGACATACCAAGTTATTTTAAAAATTATTTTTAAATATGAAATGGATAAACATTTTTAATTTAATCAATTTAAACAGAAATTAAATATTTTTAAAAAAATTTATAAAAATAGATTGCTTTATTTGTAAAATCGAAATATCTTTTTTATTAAGAAAAAATTTTTACTTCTCCTTTTATTTTAAATAATTGGAGTATAAATAAAATAACTTTGTTGAAGAATTTTATAATTATGTTTAAAAACACTTTTTTTGAGCAAATTTATTTAAGTTTTTTAAATAAATAAAAGTATAAAAAAATAATACTAATTTCCAAAGAAAAGACAAATCAAAAACGATTGATACAAACTTGATGTATGTTTATTTAAATTGTATAAATAAGATAATCTATTTAGATATTTTTTATTTTTTTTAAGAGAAAAACGCTTAATTATTTTCAATTTTTGTCCATAATTCCTTCAGTGAATCTCAAAACCTTGATTGATTTTACAGAAAAGTGTTTCATAGTAAATAGATATTCTTAGCCATCAATATATCTAACCATCTCTTCTACCTTCGCTTATGTGATGTTATTATAGTCAGGATAATCAGCTATTTAGAAAAACCTTTCTTTTAAGCAAAACTAAATTTCTAGTTTTCTCATCAATTCAGAACGATTAATAAGATTATTATTAAAGAGCATGCCTTTTTTATTTAGAGTAAATTTATTTTTTTCATCATTTGATACGTATAATTTAGAAATAGATTAGCTATCATCATCAAGCCACACATCATGGCATTTATGTTTTTTAAGAAATCCAATTGCTATTAGATAATTATTTTCTAAACCTTTAAAGGGTTTTATATCTATTTAGATTGTATACTTTTTAGATTCATCTATTGCTATTTTAGTAAAAAATTACGCTGGAGACTATGTATTCTTTTGTTTGATCTTTAAAATTCCATCCTTATTTTATGTTATTTAGCTGTATTAATCTTTCAGAGATTTTAAAAATGAGTACTTTTATGAAGCGTCTACTTCTATTTTTTACTTAGCAAGTATCTTTTCAAATTATTATTATTCTTTTGCTTCAAATTATGAAACAAGATTTTTAAGTTCTTTATTTATTCTTTCAATTTCGCTAACAATACCTAAATTTTAATTTATTAAGTTATTTTTATCTAATTTACTTAATTGCTCATTTCTTTATAAATGAAACTATGCAGTTTATAATAGAAATTCAATCTATTAATTGGATAATTAAGAAAATTAAACTTCTTTTAATTAATCAATATCTTGATAAAAGGTAGAAGTAGATTGAGAAAGATAGTCTTTGAATAAATCTAGAGAGTCTTTACTTTGGTTTAATACTTAGCTAAGCAAATGCTTTTTTATTAGCTTAAGTTTTTAAAATAATTATTTTTCTACAATTTTAGGGAATTTTAATTATAGAAATTATTAGTTAGCTTAGTACTTTTGGATATGATCTTTTAAAATTTATTAGTTTTCACTCTTTGTTTCATAAGATGTTTTGATGATGTTTTCTATTTATTCTAAGCCCTTTTAATTATCCTCCACCATTAGCTGCAATGAGTTTTTTAATTCTTATTTACATGATATTTCATTGTATTTGTTAATAAGTTTTTATTTCTAAATAAAGCTTTCTGAAAATTAATTGATCACAGCTTTTTTCATTTTTATTAGCTTTTAGTTTATTTTACTTTGCATGTCATCGATGAACTATTCTAAGATTAGCAAATAGTCTTCTTAATCTTCCTTTTATTCAAGAATGCCTTTTAAAGTTTATAATATGTTTTAGTCTTCTAAAACAGGCCAATTATTTAAAACATCAGAATCATTCAATTCAGATATATCACCCAAATATAATAAATCTTTCCCTTTCGTAAAACTAGATCCCATGCATCTCGCACATAAAGCTACTTATTTTTTTTCAGATGAAAGTTCTGTATTTAAAAACAATAAAGGAAGTCCCTTATGAGTTTTGCATTTAGGCATTTAATTTATTTCTTAATTTTCTACTTAAATCATTTTTTTAAATCTTTACTTTGTTCCTTTTTCTTGATTAATAATTTTTTTATATTCAATAAAAATAACAATAAATTAATTAGAACTATTTATTTTCCCCAATTAAACTTGTAATCGATTCTAATATCATTAAAAATAAATAAAATTATTAAATTTAAATCTTAAACTCATGATATATTTCAAATAAGAACATTCGGATGACGATTAGAATGAATAACTTTATGAATTAGAGTGGAAATTTAAAAATAAATAAATCATTAAAAATAAAATATCTTTTTTTAATTTTATACCTAAATAAAAGAGATAAGTAAAGCTAATCATAAAAAAGATAAATTTATATATTATGAATAGATTCTGTGTCTATATTAATCAAGAAAATATATTTAAATAAAGAGCAACAAATTAAAATTTTTATAATAGCTATTTTATTCAATTAAATAGTAAAAAAAAGAAACAAAAAAACAATTATATCAATATATATAGTAACATAGGGTACTGCCTTTTTCAAGGCTACATACACTAAATTTTATAACAACATATAAAAATATTAATAATTATTTAAAATATCAAAAATATTGTTGGTGATATTTGAAATGCAGGAACAGCTATATAAAAGGATAATAATTTTGAAAAATTCTTTACAAAATCTAATAGTTGTATAGAATCTTTCCATGCACACTATCTAGAAAGTTTTAAAAAGTCATTTTAAAAAATTAAAAAAATAAATAATATCATATTTATTTTTGAATATAGAACAATCAAGTTTCAATCACAGATTTTCAGGATAAATTAGCTGAAATTTAAAATGAAAAATCTTAATAGTGGCTCAATTTTTAAAGAGGTAGCATAAATGAAGAAACTTAGAGCAAATATACAAACTGATATTTAAATCAAATATTTGAAAAATATTGGAGAATGAGAAATAAAAATGATATTCTATTTTAACAAATCACTGTTCAAATGAAATAATTTAAAGAAGAAAAGCTTATCTATTTAACAGAATTTCTAATAGAGGATCTTAAAATAACTGTTTCTTTCTTTTCAAATAAATTATATTTATTACAGTTTAATTGAATCAGTAAATTGCAGATTTTTATAACAAAAAAATATTTCAGTTAACTATTCAGCATATATTTTAATATAAAAATAAAGTATCAATTTATATTTTTTTATTCAAAAAATTAATAATATTATCCGAAATCAAATATTTATTTTACTAAATATTGATAAAATAATAATAATAATATTCATAATCATTATAACTACTTAGAAACCAACCATAGAACAATTTAAAAGAATAAAAATATTTGAAATCAGGATTAAAATACTAAAGTTAATGAAGTAATAATATTTATAATTTTTTATGAGATGAATTTAATACTTAAAAGTAAAAATGATAATAATGAACTAGAAAAAGTGTATTTCTTACACTATATAAATAAAAGTTTTGAAATATAAGATTTTAATAAATGACATGAAATTGAAAAATTTATCAATTTTTCTAATTATCTGTCAATTAATTTATCTATTTTATAACAATTTTTAAATTAAGATATTGCTCAAAAAAATCATAAGTAAATAAGTAAGCTAATTAAACAAACCTCTTTTAAATAGTAAATGGGTGAAAATTTTGAAATAATTTCTTTATTCCTCTGTTCGCTTTTATCTTGCACATCAACTGGAATTCTGATATTCTATTTTTTTTATTCTTAGGAGTCTAGGACTTATGCTTTTAAGTTAGTTTTTTCGATCTTCATATTTGATTTCATATTGAGCTTTAATTACTTATGTCCCTTACTATATCTACTTATCGATTAAAATGCATAAATCGGAGATGTTGTTTGTAAGATTTAAGGATTTGTGAAGCTTTTAGGAACAAATGGAATGTTTTTTAGCTCTCTTGTGATTTCTTGGGTGCTTTATTCATATTTCATAAGAAAAAAATAAATAAAATTTAAAAACCCTATAATACACTATTCAAAATTTACTATGGCTTTACCTCTTATAATATCCTCAATCCCTCTTATAACTAGTAACTATGATCACACTGAACCTTTGAAAGATGTAATGTGCTTTTTAATAGTAAAGAGCTATGATAAAGGGTCTTACGATACAACAGGGATGGTATTAAAAATAGTATTGTCATTTATACCGTTTGTAACTACTATATTTCTTGAACTATTTTTTGTACTAAGAGTCTTATACTAGTTCTACAAAAATAAAGATTAAATATATTTAGTAAATATTAAAAGTTTAATTCTATATCCCTCTATATTGATTATTTCATGGATTTGGATAATGTTTGAAAGGTTTTACGAGTTAGCAACAGATGGAGATTAAATTAATTGGCTTAATTAATTTGACTTATAGCTTGGAGTGTTAAATGGATTTTTTAACTCAATAGTCTATGGATTCCTCTCAATTAATCTTTGCCCTAAGCGTGAAAAGCAAGAAATCAAATTAATTGAATCAGAAAAAACTCCTTATTCTGATTCTATTTCTGGATTTTGGAGTATTGATGAAGGAGGAGAAGCTATGAATGAATGATAATTGAAAAAATCTTCAAAAAAATTAATTAAAAAATATACTAAGGTTCTATAAAAATTTTAATTTTATGGAATTCTTAATCATACTTTTAATTAGATTGAAATATTGATATTTACTTTTTAACTTTATTTTAATTGTCAAATTTACAGTAAAGCTTGTGTTTTAAAAATCTATTTAAAAAAAATAAATAATTTTAAGTAAATAATATAAAAAATATGTAATAAATTTTTGTTTATAAATTATGTAATATCATATGAAATTATTTTTTCAATTTTTAAAAAATATAAAATAGATAAACATTATAAACTAAATTAAGTTTTTCATTTAAACAGCAGTTAAATATTTCTTCATTTGTAAAATCGAAATATCTTTTTTAAAAAAGAAAAAATGTTTGCTTCACCTTTTTCAAGGATTATAAATAAAATAGTTTTGTTGAAGAATTTTATACTTCTATTTAAAAAAACACTTTTTTTAAACCAATTTAATTAAAATCTTGTAAAAATAAAAAAATTTTTTTTAAAATACATACTATTTTCCAAAATAAAAAACAAATCATAAAAAAGTGATAGATAGATAGATAGATAGATAGATAGATAGATAGATAGATAGATAGATAGATACTTTATTTTTGCTTATTTAAATTGTATAAATAAAATAATTTATTAGATATTTTTTATTGTATTTAAAAAAACACTTTTTTTAAACCAATTTAATTAAAATCTTGTAAATAAATATAAAAAAAAGTATTTTATAATACATACTATTTTCCAAAATAAAAAACAAATCATAAAAAAGTGATAGATAGATAGATAGATAGATAGATAGATAGATACTTACTTTATTTTTGCTTATTTAAATTGTATAAATAAAATAATTTATTTAGATATTTTTTATTCTATTTAAAAGAAAAATTTTGAATTATTATTATTTTCAATTTTTTTGCATAAATTTTTCAGTAAATTTCAAAACCTTGATTGATTTTACAGAATAGTGTTTCATTCCAAATACATATTCCTAACCATCTAAATTTCTAAGCATCTCTTCTCCCCTTGCTTAAGTGATGTTGTTATAGCCAGGATAATCAGCTATTTAGAAAAACTTTTGTTTTAAACAAAACTAAATTTCTAATTTTCTCATCAATTCAGAATGATTAATTAGACTATTATTTAAGAGCATACCTTTTTTATTTAGAGTAAATTTATTTTTATTATAATTCGATACATATAAGCTTGAAATAGATGAAATATCTTAATCAAGCCACTATTCATTACATAGTGAAATTTCAATAAATCCAATTGCTATTCTATAGCTATTTTCTTCACCTTTAAAGGGTTTTATTTCTATTTAGATTGTATACATTTTTGATGCATCTATTGCTTTTTCAGTAAAAAATTACACAGCCCACTTTGAATTAATTTATTTGATCTTTATTAATCCCTCTTTATTTTTCTTTATGATTTAATTGTTTTAACTGTATTCATCTTTGAGAGATTTTATAAATGGATATTTTTATGAGGCGTCTATATCGAATTCGTACATAGCAACTAGGTTTTCAAATTATTATTATTCTTTTATATTAAACTATGAAACAAAATTTTTATGTTCTTTATTTATTCTTTCAAGCTACTCAATAATGTTGTTATTTTAATTATTTAAATTATTTTTATCTAATTTACTTAATTGTTATTTTTTTTAAATATGAAATTATGCATTTTATATAAGAAATTCAAACTATTAATTGGATAATTAAATTTCTTTTAAATAATCAGTATCTTGATTAGAGGCACAAATGCATTCAGAAAAATAGTCTTTGAATGAATCTAGAGAGTTTTTATTTGGTTATAAAACTTTGTTAAGCAAATGCTTTTTTATTAGCTTAATATTTTAGAATAATTATTTTTACACAATTTTAGGAAATTTCAATTAAAGAAATTCTTAGTTAGCTTTGTACTTTTATATTTGATCTAATAAAATTTGTTAGTTCACACTTTTTTTTTCATAAGATTTTTTGAAAATGTTTTCTATTTATTCTAACCCACTTTAATTACCTTCCATCATCAACTGCAATGAGTTTTTTAATTCTTATTTGCATGATATTTCATTGTATTTGCTAATAATTTTTTATTTGCAAACAAAGCTTTCTGAAAAATAATTAATCACAGCTTTTTTCATTCTACATAATTTATAGTTTATTTTATTTAGCATGTCATCAATGAACTATTCTATGATTAACAAATAATCTTCTTAATCTTCCTTTTATTCAAGAATTCTCTACAAAATTTATAGTGTATTTTAGTCTTCTAAAATAGGCCAATTATTTAAAACATCAGAATCATTTAATTCAGAAATATCAGAATAATGTAATAAATCTTACCCTTTAACAAAACTAGATGTTAGGCATCTAGCACACAAAGCTATTTATTTATTTTCAGTTGAAAAATCTGTATTAAAAAACTCTAAAGATAGTCCTTTATGAGTTTTGCATGTAGGCATTTAATTTATTTCTTAAATCATTTTTTAAAATCTTTGCTTTTTCTTGATTCAATATTCTAAATAATAAAAATGTTTATACTCAATAAAAAATAATCTTGAGCAATAAAAATGAACTATTTATTTTCCTCAATAAAATTTACAATTGATTCTGATAATATCAAAAATAAATAAATATATTGAATTTAAATGTCAAATTCATGATATATTTCAATTTAGAATATTGGGGAGATGGTTAAAATAAATAACTTTATAAATGAGAGTGGAAGTTTAAAAATAAATAAATGATTAAAAATAAAATACTTTTGTTTTACTATTTTATACCTAAATAATATAGACAAATTAAGCTAATCTTAAAATAGATAAATATATTAATTAATTAAATTCTGCGTCTACATGAATCAAGAAAATAGGTTTAAATTAAGAGCAACAAATTCTAATTTTGATAATAATTATTTAATTCAATTAAATAGTAAAAAAAAAATACAAAAAAAAACAATTAATTAAACAAAAAATACAAAAATAAATCAGAAAAATATTTGTAAAAATAAATAAAAAAATGTCTTGCTTTATATATTGTAAATTGTCTTTTGAAAAGGATTATCAGCGTATTTAAATTGACGATAATCTATTTTTTGAAAATAAAATTTCTTTTGAAGATTTGGAAGATTATTTGTAATATAATTTTTACATGACTCCAGTTTAAATTTTATAGAAATCTGTTTCTGACGAATAATTTATTTACAACTACAGCTCTATTGTCCTTTAATTAAAAGAAAGATTTCTTGAAAAAATTCTTAATTTTGTTTTTGAAAACAATTCTTATGAACTAATTTTAAGATTGCCAAAGAATAAATCTACATTTAAAGTTAAATTTTTGCTAAATTTGATAAGAAAAAAATTAAAAATTGATAGTCGTATTTATATTTCTACTTTAAATCAAAATCAATTTTAATTAGAAGACTCTGTTTCTGTTTTAGAAACTATTTTTGTTTCTCTTTAATCATTCAATTCCTCTCCTATAAAGTAAATCGCTTAGTAAGACAACTATTCTATTCCTTTTGATCAAATAAGTGAAGCTTCTACTTCAGATTAATCATTAAGCGAGTCAAAAGAAAGATCATCAGATACATTTATTGACCTACTTTTTAACCCATAATATTTTAATTCTACCAAAGATAATAATTTTTAATGTTTAAATAATATCAATAATTAAGATAAAATATGTGTAGAAAATAATTTATTTGTTAATGAATCAGTAATTAATACTTAATAAAATTAATCATCAGATTTTTTAAAAAATTTATCTTACTCTTCAGAATTAAATTCTACTCAAACAAACAATTAATAATATGTAAATAATTTTTAAAATAAAATGCACATTTGTGTTGAAAATAATATTTATAATGGTATTCCACTTGTTTCTAATAAAAAAAATCTATTTAAAGTACCTCCAAAACCTTAAAACTAGTCACATAGAACTTCTAATCCTTTTTTGAAAAAATAAGATTTCTTTAATTCATCTATTAGAAATAAATCTTTCTTAAATAACAGTTCAAAAGGTGAAAGCGAAATATAAAAAGTAGTTTGTGTTCCTATCAAAAAGTCTATTGCAAAATAATTTTGAGAATATTTAATGGATCTTTTTTCTTAAACAACTTTAAACATCATAACTAACTAAATATCAAAAGGAAGAAACAAATCAAATTATATTACTTCAAAAAATTTAATATAAAATAATGTTGATTCTATTACTATATTATTTAATAATTTATAATATTATTGCTTGTTTATTTATTTATTTATTTGTATTTATGTATGTATTCTAATTAAATTTAACAAAATTTTAAAATATCTATCATTTAATCATCTTCTCTTAACTAAATTTTTCAAATTTTATAAATTTATATTTTTAAATAAAATTTATTATTTATTTTAATAAAAGCTTTTATTATTTATATTAAACTTTAAATTTAATTTTTCATTAGAAATCAATAAATTTAACTTGATAAATATTCAAACAAAAAATCAATTTGTGTTTTTTAATTTTCCTTTGTTAAAGGGTACAAAAACACAACCATTTTTTTGAATATCATCTATTTTAAAGATATTAATTTTTTTTCAAATTTTTTATAAATATTATATAAAAATGAGTTATTTATAATAATAAATGTGTTAAAAAATTAGTAAAGTAAAATAAACAATTACTTTTTTATTTAAAGATTGATTTCGTATTGAAAAAAAGTAATTAACATTTCATGTAAATATTTGAGAAGTATCAATTATTAAATATGAAGAAAAATATAAGCCTTTTACAAGTTGTTAGCTTTGCGTAATAGCAAAGATACATTATTAAACAATATTTAAATCATACTGTTAATAAATAATAAATTATCACATATTCTGATAAAGATGATAATCTAAGTAAAAAATATATGTAAATAAATTAATTTTACTAGATATTTTTCAATTTAGTTGAAAATAATATTTAGAATATGTTTTTTAATGTAAAAATATAAAAAGATAATAAGCCAGTTTACATTAATAACATTTTTTATTTAGTTAATCTTAGTTAAGCTCAATGCTAACATTATAAAAGATTTTTGAATAAGCAATCTAATTAATTATAAAGAATATTTATCATCCTCGCTGTTAAATTTTATCTTATAATAATGAATAATAAAATTAAGTAATTTATATTCATGTTTAAAATAAATTTTATGTCAAATATCACTAATTTAATATATTTAGCCACTCACTCTATCATGTCTAAAAAGTAAGTAAAATTTATATGAATTAGGTTTTAGATCAGCAAATAAATCAAAAATAATCTATTGGTATGTAAACACAAAACAATAATATCAAATGTTAATTCTAAGTTTTTTTTATTTTAAAAATAAATCCAAAAATTTTATTGGATAGAAAGCTTAACAAAAATTTTTTGTGAGTAAAAAAAAACAAAATTTGAACAAGAAACTGTAATTCATTCATTCATTAAATATTTTTTCAAGCATCATAAGTCTATTAGTTTTCTATCACAAACAAATAAGGTATTTTTCAATAAAAAAAGTAAATTAATTATTATTAAAATAAGTGAATTAAGCCAACAAAAAAATACAATCTATGTCATCATATACTTATAGTGTTTTTTTTCTGATATGCTCAACATGCTCAGTAATATCTACGGGGATACTATTATTTCATTATACCTATTACAAATAAGTAAGAACCTTTGCATTTAGACTAGTGTTCACTGTGTTTTTATATGATTTCCTTCTTAGTTTAGACTATTTCATACCTTTAGCTTATTATTTTTTAAACCCTAATGAAACAATAAGTGATTCGTTTTGCAGAATTTAGGCATTTTTAAAGCTTCTTGCTACTAATGGCACATTCTGTGCAACTTTATCAGTGTCTTGGACTCTCTATACTTTTTTCATAAGAAAAAAACCAATAAAAACTCATAATCCAGTGACATATTATGGGAAGTTTACTTTATTAACTCCTTTATTTTTGGCTATAATCCCTTTCTTTTTTGATAATTACAATCACACTCAACCTTTAGAGGAAGTTATGTGCTTTTTAATAGTTAAAAGCTATCCTGATGGGAGTAATGATGTTGTAGGAGTATTGCTAAAAATATTTCTTTCATTTATTCCCTTCTTCCTGACTGTTTTCTTAGAAATATACTTCATCAGTAGAATATTTTACAACTTTTACAAAAACAAAGGAGAAACTCATTCTGCAGAAATAAAAAAGTTGATTTTGTATCCACTATTTCTGGTCGTCTCTTGGATATGGATTATGTTTGAAAGATTTTATGAGCTTGTTACAGGAGGAGATAAAATAGATTGGTTAAACAACTTTGATTTACAAATAACTGTCTTCAATGGATTTGTTAACTCTATTATTTATGGGTATCTCTCAATAAATCCTTTCTAAAGATGCTGCAATAAAAATAACAGTGAAGATAACAACAAATTCAAAGAGATTTCTCCATAATCTGACTATGACGAAGATGAGTGGAGCCAGTTGTAATCAAGTATGATAAGATATAACAATAATCGCATGAAAGATGAATCCTCAAGTTCGATGGAAGATTAAGAAGGAGATGATATAAAAACCTCACTCATAAAATATTGAAAATCCAAAAATAAATATAGATTATAAGCTAGATTAACACATAATAAAAGAATAAGCTAATTTTACCTTTATAGAAAAAGTATTATAGCTAAAAAAATACATTAACTCCATAACATAAAAAACTAATATATTGAGTTTGCTATTATTATTCATAAATTTTGAATCCTAATTACTATTGGTAGAATTTATGAATAGTTTTGATTTAAATATGAACGAATGATTAAACGTAATAGTTAATTTGAAAAAAAGAAGCATAAAAATAGTCTGAAGAATTAAGTTTAAATGTTTATTCATTTAGCAAAGATAGAATGAATGGATGGTTCGTTCACTCATAATTTTTAAATGTATAAATAAAATACTCCTTCTGTTAATTAACAATTTAATAAAAATCTTTGATGTCTGTCTTTACTATTTATTATATATATTTTATAATTTTTACATAGTTTTATATCAAAAACTTAAAAAAAACTTTCTAAGCCTATTCAAAATTAAACAAACTAGATAAAATCTGCAAAATAAATAAATAATAGATTTTTTAATTAAATAAATTAATTATATGTATAAGATTATTTTCTAAAATAAGTAAATAATTTATTTTAATAAATTAACCATAATCTTAATAAAAAACAAATAATTTGTTCTTTTTCTTCATTCAATTTTCTATCAATCTTAAAAGTAAAGATATTTATAAGATAATTCATATTTATAAAATGATTTATTTTTTCTTTTAGTTTAGAATCTTATTTTATATTAACATTAAGAAAGACACTTTTATAATTACTTAATTAATTTTTAATATTACTAAATGAAATAAATTTAAATGTTTTAAAAAATGAACACATCTATCTGCTATAATAATATATTTTATTGTAAAAATAACTATTTTGAATAATAATATCAATTAAAATTATTAAAATTTTAATAATACAGACAATATAAAAGCATCAACATAACATATATTAAGTTAAATTAATTGGAAAAAGTAACTTTAATTGATATTAATAAACTAAATTTTATTCTAAATTAATAAATTAAACTATAAATGATTTTGAACTAATACTTTTTAATGCCAATAAATAATCAAATAACCTCAAGTTAGTCATCAATTACATTTCCATTAATATCTCTGTGTTAATTAGCTAATTCCCTCAATTCACCTAATTTACTCCTTCTTTTTTTAGAGTTATTATCAAATTAAGGCTCATAAGCTTATTGATTTCCCATGGATTAAGATTATCTTTTAGAAAAGAAGGGAGCATTTGATGCTTAGTTAAAGTTATTCAGATTATTTTAATACTATGCATTGTTGTTTTAGTAATTATTATTAATTGCAAAATTATCCTAATAATTATTAAAATTCTATTGGTAATCCATTTACGTATCTATGTATCCCTTCATGTTGTTGTTTTAAAAAGGATAAATTGTGTTTTGAGTATTGTTTTATGGCCACATTTAATTATTCTAGTTATTTTTCTTGTTAGGAAAATTGGTGTTATTGCTATTACCTTGAATGCTTTAAGGAATTTATATGTGTTGGGTGTTATAATTGTTGTTATTATTTTAGTACAAGTAATTATCTTCATTCATTAGATCATGATAATCTTCATTGTAATCGTTATTGATGTTGTTATTATATAGCTGCTACTCATCTATAAACTCGTTGTCGAGATTATTTTCATTTAAATAATTTGCCTCATTGTTATTATTTTTTCTTTAGCCGTAGTTGTAATGGCTGTTTATGTATTGCTGCATGTTATTTTCTGAACTTCCTTGAATTAATTCATTTAAGTTTTTATGAGTGGCGCCAAGATTCATTTTATTTTTTTCATTCTTACTTTTTACCTTCTATCTTTTTTACTCACTAGCAGAACCTGCTTTTGTCGAAAAACTGGGATTATATCCTGAGCTAAATAACTCACCATCATCGCTTAACTGATTTTAATTGAACTAATCTACTATAGAGTTGCTTACATTGTTATTATTGCTGATATTATTATTATTCTGAACAGGAGTTTACAAAGTTAATAAGTTTGACTATAGGTTTTGTTGCTAATAACTTTAATCGTTGTATTCGTTTTATATAGATTCATTATTCTCATGATGAAAATTATTGCTTTGTAGAGGATTTGTTTATGTGTTATCCAAGAACATATCAGTGTCATTATCCTAGATGTTGTATGGATTTTCTATTATTTAGTTTAAGTTGATATATAATCTGAATATATTTTACTAACTATAGTAATTCTATTAAAATGATATTTTTATAATTTTTAAAGGTATTCAAAATATTTAATATTGCAAGATAAAAAAAGCATTACTGTTTGCTGATTGATAAGTGTGAATTGGAGAAATCATGTCTTTGGTTATTGGGTTGCTAAATTACTATAGTGCTTTCTTTTCTTCGTATCTTTTTTAGAGTTCTGCCACTAATTTTTCAACCTTTTTGATAAATTTATAGCAAATATTGAATAAAAATAGCTTATTATCATGAAGAACATTTCAGTTATGTAAGTATTATTTATATATTTTTAAAGTTTGTTTGCTTTATTCTTTTTAACTTAATGCTATTATAAATTTATAATTAATACATTTGTTATAGAAATGAAATTGAAATTCTTCTTGGTAGAATTAATAACTAAACACTAATTAATATGAGTAAATGTATCTAAATATTACCTAATCGATATCTATAACATTCTCATTTAGAATCAGTGCATGCTCTTCAAACAGTTTAAGAGCTATTATTTTTGGATCGCTCAACTCTACTAATCCATTAAGAACTATTGAGTAAATTCTTTCTTTAATATCTTGCTGCTTTCTTTTATAAACTAAAGCTAGGGTAGGTGGATCGTGCTTTATACCAAGTCTCAAGGGAATAATTGGGTTATTAGGAGTAAATGTGAGGGCCATTTATATCTGAATAGCAAACAAAGAAACACTTTTTAAGTTTTTAACTCTCTTTATTTATACCTACTTATTTATTTATTTTTTATAACTATGGATCTAAATTGATTATTTTAATTAATTTCTATTCGCAATTTCAGGAAATTTAATTACCAATAAGTAAAATTAAATTATGCGCAATACATTACTATTAAGTAATTAGTAAATCACTCATGATAATTTTTATCATATATCAAATCTTTATCTTTTGTTAAAAGCTATTAGTTGATTGATATTATCTTTAAAATGGATTCATTTTAAAATAATAAATAATTAACCATCCTTTTTTTAATCAATCATTTCATTTTCTTTTCTTATCATAATTTTTATTTATCATCACTTTATTTATCTTCAAATCTAAGAAGTTGCTTTTCTTATCAAAAATTAAAAAATTCTAAATAAAGCAAGCTAGTAATCCTTATTGAAATAATTTATTCTAAAATTATATTCATCATTTTAAAATTTGAATTTTTTGATTTTTTTTCTTTTAAATATAAATTTAATTTTGATTCGAATTTTTTAAACTAAAGTTAAATAAATAATTTACTAAATTCAATCTCTTAATTCTAAAGCTAAAATATGATAAAAATTAATGCTATCAATTTTAATTAATAAAGTATGTTTGATTTTCAAAACCCTAAAAATTACATTTAATTAATATTTATTATAATTCAAAAAGTCTTCCTAGTAAAATTTAATGATTTGTGATATTTTTGAATATGTTTAATTATTATGAATCATATTGTATAAGCACCACTACTCCCTCCCCTAAAAATAGACCTTATTAAATATTTATTTGGGGTTTATGGAAATTGGTATTAAACAATAGTTTTGGGGATGTATGTTTGAATAACAAACTCCCAGAAATACTTTCTTCATATCAACTTTGTTTAGATTAGTTTTAATAAACTCATTATTCTAGGTAATAATTAATAGACTTATTTAATTTAATAAAAATTAAGTTCTATTATAAATGCTATCATATGTGATTGTATATCCCCATCATCACCAATTTAAGTACACCTTTTTAAATATTTAAAAAAAAAGATATAATTAGTTAGTTAGAATGAAAAAATGAAGGAAAAATAAAAAATAAAAAGAAATGAATTAATAAATAAATAAATAAAAAAAGCAAAAGCCTAAAATAAAAAATGAATTTAATTAATAAAAAAAAAACACTAACACAATAAAAAAAATAAATCAAATTAAAAACTAATAAATAAATTAAAAGAATTAATAGAATTTATTTTTATATTAAAAAATATATAAATTCAAATCAAATAAACTGTTTTTAAATAAGACTAAGTGCCAAATTTTAGAGTTTAGTGCAACTTGCTAAAGCAGAACCTAAACCTCTGATGCACCTATTGCTTCAATTTATTAATAATAAAAAATTAATAATTATGAAAATACCTAAAAATAAATACAAAAAATATATAAATATAATAAAAATTAATTTATTTTAAGATGTATTTTGAGTGTATTTAAATGTGCAAGTATTTCTATTCTATTCAATGCTCTAATTTAATTGCTACTTTTTAAATATTGAAGAAAAAATATATATTAATTTGTTAGTTTGAAGGAAAAAATGAAGAAAAAATATGAAATGAATTAATTAATAATAAAAACAAAAGTTGAAAATATAAATGAATTATTAACAATGAAAGAAAGAAGAAGAAAAAAACACAAAATGATAAAAAACAAAAAGAAAAATTAATTCATTAAAAAGCTAATAAACAATTTAAAATAGTTTTATTGTTTTAAATTTATTTATATAATTATAAATATTACAATCCAAAACAAATAAACAGTTTTTACATTAGTTAAAGTGTAATTTGAGAAATTCATGCAATTTGCTAACCATAAGCAAAGCTTAATGCACTTTCTATCACCAATTAATTTTCAAAAGAGGAATATTGAAGAAAAATAAAAAATTAATTTGCTAGATTGAAAAATGAGAAAAAAATATGAATTAATAAAAAATGAATTAATTTTTAATAAAAATAAATGTTGAAAATAAAAAGATAATTTAAATTCAGAATGATAGAAGAAAACAAAATCACAATAAAAATAAAAATAGATTAAATAAAAAGCTAATAACATATTAAAAGAATGTGTTATTTAATTATTTATTAATAAACATGAATTTTGAAGAGGATTTCTATTGGAAAAATAATATTATAAATAAATAGAAAGTAAAATATATAAAAAACATTAATTATAAAAATATTTATAAATTAAATATACCTCAGAGTAATACAGAGAACCTATTGAGATTAGAGTGAAAAGTTTAAAAATATTTTTTATTTTAAAAAATAAATTTAAAATATATTCATAATAAAATAAATAATTACTTCTTCTAATTTGTAGTAACATTTAATCTATTAATTCATTTTTTTTCTGTTCAAAACTATTGAATAGTAATTAACAGAAACTTATTAATTGAAAGTAGATAAAAAGAACAAATAAATAAAATAATTTATAATAACTAAATATGTATTTATAAATTTGGTTTTAGGAAGAGATATCACAATAAAATTGTATTATATTCATACTTTAATCTTGATATTTCTATTTAAACGTGTTCTTAAAAATTTAGTAGGAATTAGAGATGGGTAGTCATTCATTTGTTGAAAAAATTATATTAATTCCTTTCTTAAATTATAACAAAAATTTTTTTTTATTAATATTAAAATAGGTTATTTAAACAAAAAAAGATGTAAAATCTTTTTTTATGATACAGTTAATAAAAATTGAATTAAAAATACAAATTGATAAAATATAATTGCATTTTATATGGAATTATTTTAATAAAATAATTAATCTTTCTTAAAAATAAACTTTGGTATTTTAATTTTAAAGAACGAAGAAAAATATGAATTAATAACTTTTTAATCGATATTCTTTTAGAAAACTAGAAGGAAAGATAAATATTAATTTAAGATTATCTTACTCATATTATATAAGAAATTCATCTTGAAGATCCTAATTAATGAATAATTTAATTAAGCTGATCAAAAATATCAAAAGATATTATCAGAAAAGAAATTACATTTAAAAGTATAATAACGAATATTTGTTTCAAGTTATTAATAGCTAAATTTAAGTCCAAAACAATATAAAATTGAGTCTTTAAAATTTTAAAAGTAAATTGATCATTAATTATCTCAAAGGAAATTTCTTTTGATGTTTTCATATAATAATTATTCTTAAAACTGTTTTAGATTTATTTTATAAAATCAATTCTAAAAAAAAAAAATCTTAGAAAAACAGAAAATAATTATTTTTAAAATTATTGTTTAAAATTTACATGTAAAACAAACAAAGCTTCAATTTAAACTCATTGAAAATTGAAAGAAATAATATTTGCTTGATATAAATTAATTAAATAAATAAGTATATTTTGGCAATCTATTTTTACATAACTTTTGATTCCAAAATCAAATATTTATAAATTTATTTATGATATTTTAAATACTTATACTATACAAAAGTTAGAACATTTATAAATAAATAAGTTATTAAATAAATATTTTATCTACTCTAAATTTGAAATGCTTAAGTGAGTGTTCATTTTAATGTTGAAAAATGTATGATATAGAGTTTCTTTTTTACTTATATTATGATTAAGAGTATAATTTTTATTTAAAATTTCATAAATAAGTAGAAAAGTTGATATCTTGATTATGAAACAAAGCAAATATTTGTTTTTTAAAAGTAAATGAAAGGAAAAATGTTAACGAAGTAAACTAATCAAAAAATTTTTTCAATTTTAACAGCATCATTAGTTATTTTATATACCAATGCATTTTAGTATAATGTGGATTTATCCAAAAGATTAGCATCTTATTCTTTAGTATCATATTGTTCACACAATAGGCTTTAAGATTGGTCTTGTGGTGAAGCCTGTTAAAGAGTGGAACCTTTGAAAGATTTAATTATATATACAAATTAAAATGATTCATCTTATATGATGGGTTATGATTAATAAGAAAATGCCATATCCATAATTGTGAAAGGAACTAATCCTTGGTGTATAGATGATTGGGAAAGTGATTTGACAACAGAAAAAATAGATTATCCAAAATGTGAAAGTTGTTAAGTTCATAAAGTTTTCTATTAAACCCTATTAGACATGCAAGAATAGCTTAAAAAAGATTTTTTAAAAATAAGATCATAGCATCCTTAAAGTAAAATATATGCAACTGGATAGAGTTTAGGAGGAGCTCTTGCAACATTAATAGTTCCAGAAATATATTTATTGAATGGAAAAAAACCTATTGATGCTTTTTATACTTTTGGAAGTCCTCGCGTAGGTAATAATTAATCTATTAATATTAAAATAGATATATTGATTGATAAATAATTTCTATATTAATCATAAATACTTATTTAAATACATACATTTTTAACAAGAGGAATCTAAATATTCAAATACATTCCTAAAGTTTTTTTTCAAAATATTTAAAAATTTTCAAATGAATTTTGTTTGTGAAAATTATTTTGAAATATTTTAAGCATTTTGTAAATTAATTTAAAAAATATTTTAGCCTATTTTAGAAAACATTTAAAAAATTAATTTAGGAAATTTATAGTTCAGCTTTTGGTATACATCTAAATCATATTTTTCCAAAATTAGTGCAAGAGTAACTAGTAATAAAGATATAGTTGCTTAATTACCACCCAGATCTTTTCCTTTTTTGTACATGCATATTGGCCATGAGGTGTTTTACAAAAATTTCTCAAATTTACATGAATTCATAATGTGTGAAATACCAGAAGACTAAGAATGTTCAAATCAGTATACTTTAGATTTCAGTATGAAAGATCATGGCAGCTACTTCGGTTGGAATTGGGCATTTGATATTTTTACTTGCTGATATAAATATTTTTTATGGAAAGTGCTTTTAAAATCTTACCACCAAAAAAACAAAACAAAATAAATATGTTCTTATAATTATTATTCTAATCAATTTGTATTTTATTTTAGTATTTATTTCATAGTATTAATTTTTATTGAAATTTAATTTCAAAGTTAAAAATGTTTCAAATTAATTATTAAATTACAATTTTATATTATAAATAAACTTATAAACTCAAAGTTAGATATTTTAAGATAACAAAAATAATAATTTTAATTATTATTTAATTTTTACTTCTTAATTTGTATAAATTTACATTTAAAAACATTTATTATAAAACCCAAAACCAAAGTTTGAATTAATTTAAAAGTGAATTATTGCTATTCAAAAGTATTTAATATTTTTTTTTAAATATTTTAAAGTTTAATTTAATGTAAACAATAATAAAAAAATAAAATATGCCATAAAAGAATAAAATTAAAAAATAAATATTAAGTCACCAGAAATATGACATCAAAACTAGCTATAATTAAATGCAAGATCTTTCTTACAATTTTAAATATTTGAAGAATAAATATTTTTTCTGATTGATTGAGTATAAAATTTAATTAAATGAAGTTTCTTGTAGAAATGTATAAAAGAATAATGTTAAAAAAATTAGATTTTGATTAGAATTTATTAATATGTTAAAAAATATCAACTACTATTTACTTCCCAGTTTTAATCATTTCAAATTCATATACTCATTCTGATTTTTTATGTATTTTCCTTTATTTTTAAGGCTAAATTTACTAAAAAATAATACAAAATTCTTAAAAAAGATAAAACTAAAATGTTTTTAATCAATTAATCTTATATTTATTACATAATTTTCAATATTTGAGGAATACAATTTATTTTTTTAGAAACCTAAGTTTCATATTACTATAGCCTACAATTAATAAAAAATATTTAAGATTAAAACATTATTATTTTCTACAACAAGATATCATTTAAGTAATTCATGTTAATTTAATTAGGAATATATTGTAAAACACAAGAAAGAATTACTTAAAAAAATTTATTTTCTTATTGAAATCTTTTTTTTTATATTTAATTGTAACTAAAACATATGCTTTGGAAAAAAATATAAATTTGTTTAAGTTAAATAAAATAACTCAAAAATTTATCAATAATAATGTGAAAAAAGTGTACCTGTTGATCAGAATTTATTGATTTCTACAGATTTTCAAATTTAATTTGCATCAAAATTTTGATATTAGAAAAAATAAATTATCATTTCTTATCATTTTTTTTCATTTTAAAAACAAAAAAAATTTGTTCGAAAAGAAATAAAAAAATTAAATTTCAAAAATACGGTAAAAGCTAAATGAGAAAATAAATCTTTTTAATATTTATCCTGATTTAATTAATTTCTAGCATCTAAAGCTTCGAATATGATGTTGAAATTTCAAGAAAACTGGCAGCATATTCTTTAGCTTCATATTGCAGTCTTGAAAGGCTTTTTAACTGGTCTTGTAAAGAAGCATGTGACAGAGTTGAACCATTAAAAGACTTTATTATCTATAATGGAGATAAGAATACATTGTATTTAATGGGTTACGATGATTTATAAGATGCTATAACTATCATAGCTAGAGGAACTGTGCCTTGGAGTATTACTAATTGGAAAACAGATATAAAGACTGAAAAAATAGATTACCCTAAATGTCAAGGCTGTTTAGTCCATAAGGGATTTTATTAGGCCCTTTAAACTATTCTCTAATAACTTAAATCAGATTTCTTAAAGTTAAAATAAAAATACCCAAATAGTAAAGTTTTTGTTACTGGTTAAAGTCTAGGAGGAGCTCTTGCAACTTTAATTGTCCCAGAAATCTACGAATTAAATGGCAAAAAACCATTAGATGCTTTTTATACCTATGGAAGTCCACGTGTTGGTAATAATTATTTTCGCTTATTTGTTGATTTTTTCTCAATAATTAAAAGCAAATGTTAGAAAATTAAAAAAACTTAATTAATTGGAGTAGATTTTAAAATAAAAAAAAATTTAAATTACAACTTTTTTAATTTAATCATTTTTTTAAAGTTTGAAAATTGAAACTTAAATTGATTATAATAATTATTAACTTGCTTATTTACGATTTAAATTTTATTTTTTTAAATTTAAGGCAATTTACAGTTTAGTTAATGGTACATAGAAAATAATTACTTTTCAATTACAAGTGCTAGAGTAACTAACAACAAAGATGTTGTTGTTTAAATACCAACCCATTCTGCTCCCTGCTTCTATACTCACATAGGTCATGAAGTTTTCTACAAAAGTTTTAAAAATGAATATGAATATACTATGTGCGAAGAACCTGAAGATGCTAACTGTTCTGAAGGTGAAATTCTTGCTATAAGTGTAAAAGATCATGGTGGCTACTTTGGTTGGAACTGGGCTTACGAAATATTTACGTGCTGATTTAAAGCTTATTAGGCTAAACTATTTAAAGAAATCCGCTTAAATTAACTTTGTATTTAAAAAAAATTAAATCATTTATATTTTTAAGGCATTTTAAAAAAAATTTATTTAGTGTAAAATAAAAAATTAGTTCACATTTTTTAATTAAATTTTGTAAAAAAGCAAATATCATATATAAAAAGATAACTAATAATAAGAGTAATAAACATATATAAAATACATAATATGTAAAAAATTATTTCCACTTGCTTGTTTTAAATTAACAAATTATTTATGATGCATAAATTAGCATATTCTATTTAGTAGTTTTAGATATAACCCATGTATCAATATGTTAATTGATATTTAAAAATTATATCAGCATCACACTTGTATTTTTAATGAGTAAATTTTTTCTTTATTTAAAATTAACAATTTTCAAAAAATATAATCTAACACTATATATTATTTTTTTTAATTAAAAGTTAAATGGAGTAATAATCTTTTCTTTCTTATTAATTTAATTATAAGTTAATAATAAATATTAAGGAATCAAGAAACAAAATAAATATTTTCTAAAATAAAGCTTGATATAACAAAATTATAATAGTAAATCAGATTGTATTGAATGGTTAATACATTTTATTTAATATGAAAAAATTCTGAATTTATACTTAGGTTTTTTTAAAATAATTTAATATTTTAGCAAAATATTTTTTTCAATTTTATGAATATCTTAAACAAATAAATAAATGTGTAATAAATAATTATTAATTATAAAGGATTATTGTGGAATTAGATAAAATTCTGATGGATTTATAATTTTATATTTTACAATTAATAATTTTCTCTTTTTGACGATTGTTATTTTAGTAAGTTATCAATAAATGTTGTTTTTTTAAAATATTTTATAATTAAAACTCTTTAAAAAAACAAATATTTACTGAATAATAATATTTACAAAGATATTAGATTTTATACATATTTTTATTTTTAAATTGTTATTTTAATTTTAGTAAAAAAGATCAAGTAAAAAATAACAAAAAAGTAGTTCGAAATTAAAATTCAAATTTTTTTTAAATGAGAATTTTATATCATTTTTTCACTATAAATTAGATTTTATATTTTACTATGATAATAAAAAATATATTTGCCTTCTATTCATTGAATTAATTTATAAAGAATAAAAAGAGACTTAGTGTAATTTACTCTCAATTTCCATTTTTATGTATATTAATGGAATTTATATTATAGTAAGATAATTTGTTTTTTAATAATAAATAGAATTTCTTAATTACATTATAAAGAATTTTTGCTTTGTTTTATTTTAAACAGATTCATTTCACATAATTAAGCTCAACTTTCTTATTTTTATACAATAAAAACTCTCAAAACTGGGGCCGAAAATATGCATCTGACTAGTTTATAGATGGATTTTAATATGAAAAAGTTAAATTTAGGATAAAAACTATTACCCATTTTAACTAATGCTCAGTTTATAAGGGTGCTTTTCCATTTTAACATGTTTTACTGTATATTTATATTTGAAGATATTGTAAGTTTTTACAGTATCCTAATATAAATTAAGTTAAAATTCTTCATTTTTAAATAAATTAAATATATTTTTTCGATGATAACCTGCTAAGATTCTAAAAAGCTAGGAAAAATGATTAAAGAAAAGCTTCAATAGTAATCATACCATAACTATAATAATTAGTATAAGTTAGGTGACTGTTTTTAGATATATGCTAAAAGCAGTATTTAGCCGACTTTGTTTAGTTAAAAAAACTTTTTTACAAAATGTTTGTTATTTTTAGGTAAATTACATTTATAGACTTGATAGTTAAGCAAAATTAAATTATCCAAAATTTGTAATTTATCATGTGGACTCATGTAATTTTAAGCGATTAGAATATTTTAAGTTTTAAATGCATTAATTATGATAATTTAATTTGTAACAATAATTTGCTTATGTAATATTTTTTGGATATTATAAAAATTAGATAGATTACCTAAATTTAAAATATCAATACCACAAACTCTGTATGAGATTCATTTGAAATCTAAATATTAATTATAAATTACTTTCGAATCGATTTTTATTTTATTATCGACCTAATTTATTTAATTTTATATTAAGGGAGAGAAATGTCTTTCACTAAGATTTTTCTATGAATAAAAAATTTATCGAAATCTCAAGCAAGATTACACCAATAATTTGCTTTTCTATAGTAATGAGTTCGACAAGTTACTCTGATATTAATAAATTTATTATTAATTTTACAAAAAAAAACTTATGTCCTTAATTAAATGATTAAGTTTTTTTCTCAATTAACAATCAAAGAAATTTTGATACTTATCATAAAAGAAAATAAGAAGTTAATTTCAAAGAAGAATTTTGATAGTTGTTGAGTTTTTTTTGGATTCCTTAAACACTTTTTAAAAAATCATATGAGAGTAATCTAAATTATTGTATTGTTGGAATAACCATCTAAATATCGCTTTTGTTTTATTTTTTTCAATAGAAAATAAAAAATACATTTTTAAAGTTAGATGAGACGAAAATACTTATAAGTTATTGATGTAAAGTTTTTTAAATTAAAGATTTTTTATCTGAAAAAAAATTTTTAAGTGTGGTATGTATAGTTAGATTCTAATTAATTGATTTGTGTTTTAATCAAATTGATAAATTTGTTTTAAAAATTTTGAGCTTATCAACTTAATAAAAAAATTAATTTGCAAATAATTAAATAAACTATTATATTATCATCAGTTTAGCGTATTTAAAGGAGTTAAAAAGTGATTCATATTGAAGAGCTACAGCGGCTTGTAAAGGATTCTTTAGTTTTATAGCTTATTTAATCAATTTGTTTATGAAAGAGGATTTTACTTCTTTGGAAACACTGAAGGTAATTAATTGTACTTTTATTATACTCTACTATCATCTTTCGTGATACATTTAACTCACAGCAAATTTATGTTTAATCTACAAATATGATTTAATGATTCAAATAAAAAAGACAAATGAAATAAAATAATATTGGTTTTTTCAATTATTTTATCTTTACTAAACCTTCCTTACTAATGAAATGATAAATTTACCTGTTTTTTTTATTGGTAGAACAAACCATTTATTTATATACATTTTTAGTCTTTAAGTCAATAAATATAAGATTTGAAAGTATATCCAATACTAGTGAATTTAGCATAATTTATTATAATTTAATATGTTTACTAAACTTTAATCCTTAATTAAAAATAATAATTGAAAAAGCTGATATTTATTTTTATAATTTTAAAACCCATTTTTAATGCTTAAAAAGTAATTAGTCTATTTTATTTTTCAAGATATTGTTATTAAATATGTCTTAGTAGGTAATAGTTTGAAATCTTCATAAAAATTAAAAAAATTTTAAATATTAATTAGAGAGATATAAAATAAGAAGACATTAGTAATATAGACAGAGAGGCTTATAGCTCCATTGAAATAATTCAGTCCATGCTTAATTTAGACAAGATTGAAGTTACTGACTCTACACTTTAATAGAGAAATGAAAGACTTAATGGCTATAATATATCCTTTTAGGATTCTGCCACATTCATAGACTAAAACGAATAAGTTAACTTTGAATTTAAAAGTAATCCTTACTTATGATTAATAATATTTTTTTGCAATTGCTTTAAAAAAAAGAAAAAATAATAAGTATAACTCGCTATTCAGAAAAATAAATTATTATATTAAATTTTACTCTAATTAGCAAATAATTATAATTTTTATTAATTTTCTTGGAGAGTAAAAGTCTATAAATTTTTTAAATCATTCAAATTAATTACAAGCTAATTTGCTAGAAAAAATTTTAAAAATAATTTTTTGTTTGAATAAGAAATGTTTAATAGAAGTATTCAGTCATTTATTTTACTTTTTTAATCTGATAATGAATAGAATTTTAAAAAAAGATTACAAAAGTAATATTTTTTAATTGATATTTCGGGAATGAGTTCAGTAAATTTTTGGAGGTCAAAACCTATTTGGAATTAAAATTTACACTAAAATTTTTTCTTACAACTTTTTGGTTAAATATTAAAAAATTTAAAAATTAAACAGAGCATTTTATTGATTTAATAGAGAATAGAGAGTAATTTCTATCATGATTACATTAAACATTTTTAAAAATCTTTTCTTTATTTATTTTATTTTAAATGCAGTATTTTCTTCTTATATCATATATAGCCAGAATTTTATTGTATTTATTTATTCTCGAATGACTATTAAATAGTTGAAGATTTCAACTAAAATAAATTTTAATTAGTATTCGAGAAATATTAGTTCACACTGAATATTATGAGTTTTTGAGGATAATAATTAATCGAATAAATAATTCATAAAATTTTGCTCAGTAAAATTCAGCAAATTATTTGAGAGAAAGATGCTTTTAGTCAAGGAGAAAATCTATATTTAATTATTAGGATTTTTAAAAATAATAGTGAGAAAATATGAAATTTTATTAAATAAAATTGAGTGAATCATTCATTTATTTTCTTTTAAAATTTATTATTGGTAAATACATTAAAAATGATGCAAAAAGATAAAAGGTCGAATGAAAACCTTAATTTATTAGGTTATTATAAATCATGATTTATTTATTATCATTTCATATTTATACAAATTAATTTTAATATCAATAAAAATTTTGATCAAACAAGATCTCCTTTAATTTTTGTTTGCAATCTAAGTAGAAAATATGAAACAAAAAACAAGCAAATGAATTGATTCTAATAAAAAATTGAAAATAAACTGGACTATTCATCAAATAACTATTAATCTATCTATACAATTTATATCAAATATTATAATTAAAAATTGAATGTATATGTCACAATTAATTAAAATTAAAGAATGATAGAATAATTTAATATCATTAATAATTATCATTATTAATTAGGATAAGTAGAGCCAGTGATGATCAATCAAGAAGAAAAATTGTAAGAAGAGTGCTCGAAGTATTAAGAGTATAACAAAAGCCATAATGAAGAAGAGGAAAAATAAAAGGACAAAGCAACATCAAGGAGAAGTCTTCGCGACTCTGTCATGAAGCAGTAGATGATGGGCAGCTTGAAAAGCTCTGTTTGTAAGAATAATTCTATGCTATAGGAATTAAAAAATATTTAGCTAGAGAAAAAATCAAATAAGGTTACTGAGAGAGAGATTCCATAAAATTTGACTTCACTAGACAATTAAGCAGAGTAAAATTAATCAAACTCCAATATTTAGTTATCTCCTTCATAATCCGAAACTTCTTTGTATCTAAATAAATATTACGTTCAAGGTAATCTCTATTCATCTACTTAGCATTAAAATGAATATAGTCATTTAACTCAAGTTACCAACCCTGACTTGACAAGTTAAAATAAATCAGATATAAGCAAATCGATCAGCACTTAAAACTTAAATAATGAAGTCGAAAATGATAATAATTTTGTTCCTAATTTGAATTTAAATGTCTTCAGTGAAGCGAATTAGACCTTATAAGATATTAGTAATAACAATAATGATGTTAATTAAAATAATGCTAATTTAGACACAAAAAATAGTGAGAATGCAACTTCTCCCCTAAGCAATAGCTCTCTCACTTAGAATAGATTAAAGGATTTAATTTAATAGAATAAAAAGAGGAGTTTCATTCATAAGTAAATTTTGGGTGTATTAGAATAGGAGGGTTACTTTGTAGAGGTTGATAATTAGACAAAACTAGAGGAGCAATTAGAAATTTTACAAGCCTAAAGAGAACTTGTTAGACAAGCATCTATTGATTTCGAAACAAGCAGAGATAGCAGTCCTCAAGATGTAAATGACTTATCTCTTGAGAAGCAAGGGAGTAGCAGCAGTAAAAACAAACATAGAAAAAGACATAATAATTAATCGTCTCCAAATGCTCACACACCAGAAAACTTTTCTCCTTACAAAACAAATAGTGGTAAGCAAAATAAAAATATATTTAAAAATATCTGCGATAATGAATAACAACTTAGTGGCAATAAATAAATCTTACAAACAAAATCAGAGCGATTTATTCCTTCTCCTGTTTTGATGAAAGACATAATATTGGATGATTATCAAGTTGATACTGAAAGAAGGTTTAGCTGTAATGCAGATTCTAAATCTGCTAAGCGCAATCTATTGAGATAGAATGTTTTTCATACTAATGTAATAAGCAAAACTCCTAATAGTTCTACTTCAAATGGAGGGACCACAAGCTGGAATAATGTGATTGTCACATAATAATAATAAGAAATATAAAACGATAAAATCAACTAAAATTAAAATTATAATTCTGAAGATCATCCACAAAATCATTTTGCTTTGGACAATTTCTTGAAATAATAAAAAGGATCACAACAAACAAAAGAGAAATCTCCTTCTTCTTCATCATCATCGCCATCTCTTTCTGACCAAGAAGATGAAAGAAGAATTTCTTAGAAATCAACAGAAACTATCAAAGCTAGTTGCGGAGGAGAAAGCACTAGAAATAGATCTATGAGAATGAATATAGGTTGGAATGCAGTTAATACTGCGAGTAATAAAAGCTAAAACAGTAGCGAAGGAGATGACGAAGATGATAATAAAAGTGGAAACAACACAAACAAAAATAGCTAAATGAAATTAGCAAATTAATTCAAATAGTTGACAAAATACGGAACTATGGAGTTAGACCAAGACTCAGATTCAGGGAGAAAAAAGGCTGATAATAAACTCAACATCAATCTTAATGAAAAATAAGAAAGCAATGGTGATGATGAATATGAAGACAGACTTTACTCATAAAGTGTTGGATAAAATTCTGGCTATAATTCAGATGAAGCTGACAATAGTGGTAATGGTTCAATGACTTCTAAGAGTGGATAATACATTAGCAAATTTTAAAAATATTATTGCAATCTGAATAACAATTTTTAATTTGACTCCATTGAAGAAATGGAATCTTCCTAAGAGAGTATATAAAAAAGCTCAACTAAAAACTCTCAAAGAATGAAATACCCTGGAACTACAAGAGCTATGCCTAAATTAGATAATCCTTCTAATTTTCTTCAATATATTAATATGAGAAAATCTAAAAGATAAGGAAGCAAAATAGATTAGTAAAATAATAGCGAAAATTTGTAAAGTAACATGAGCAGTTCACAAAACTAAAGTCCAGAAATTCATTTCTCAGGAGTATTTAAATATAATGATGCCATGAGTGATTTAAATATAGATTACACCTAGAGTGTTAAGACAAGCTTATGTAAGAGTCCTGTTTCTCCATCTAAATAGCTTTCTTTGTCTCAATCAAATTTCCATTTCAGTTTAAACCAAGTCAAATATGATGAAATTAATACAAATATGAGTTAACAAATCAAAAGAGTAGAATCTGAAAATGACTCTCCTTATAGCAGTGAATAGCAAACTCCTCATTCTAATAAAAACAATAAATTAGATACGTTTAGCAGTGAGGTACCTTCAATGTTAAAACTACCAAATAGTTAATCTTTGATAAGCAATTATCTAGCAAGTATTAATAAAGATTTTAATAATTCTAATAGTATCAATAATAATCCTGCAATAAACACTTCATAAGATTTAAAATCTAAGGTATTAAGTGAAGATAACCAAAATAGAGTCATAGAACCAATAAATAGCAATTAAACGAAACAATAGAGTGAAAACATTCAAGCTAATTTATTTCAATAAATATAACTCTAATAAATCCCAGATTTAAATTTATTAGTCCATGAACAAAAAGACTAACTTAAAAATTCAGATAATTCTAATTATATAAAAGATTATTTAAGCAGTGTCTCTCCTAAAATAAAAATGGATGCCTCTATTTCTCCTAAAATAAGCCCCTCTCAATTAGGATAAAACACAAATATTTAAAATACTGAAATATAAGAAATTGTATATACCCCACAGAATGATATAAAAAGTGAAGACAAAGCTCACCTCTCATCTTCAACTTAATTTATAAATGAATATATTAAAAATTTAAATTCAAAAAGCCAACATTAAATGAAGGATTAGCTCCCTCAAAATGAAGAATCACATTAAAAAATAGTTTTTCCTTTAAGATATGATATTTTAAACAATAATTAGCAAAAAGAATAATACTCTAATATTACTGAGCATTTGACAGGCTTGCTTTAACCATCCTTTTTGTCATCAAAAGATATTTAGATAAGCCAAACTCCTAGAGAGAAATCAAAAACCACAAACTATCTAGAATTACAAAACTTCTAAAACTATAGCAAAAGTTTCGTTAACTCTACTTCTCCTATAAATAGTTTAAGCAGTCAATAAGTAAGCTTCAACACCTTTAGTCAGGCAAATTCAATGCAATTAAACTAAAATTGTAGTCCTTCCGAAAATTCATATTAAAACTATCTACCAAGCTCTAAATATGGAGAAAAGCCTTTTTCTACATTAAATACATTAAATCAATAAAGCGCTAGTAACAGCAATTCAACTAATGATAGAAATTTATTTAGCTAATATTTTACAGATAAAGATAGCTAATCAAAATAACTATAAAGCAGTAGTTCATAGTCAATCTTATCAATCTAAAATTAATATCAGACAAAAAATCAATTTACTCCATTAAAAACAGATTTCCCTTAAAACAAATATGCGAACACAGTTACATCACCTTTATAGAACAACCAAAATAGCATGTAACTAAATACAAACCAAGCATTTGGATCATCTCTACTTAATAATTCATCTAATCCTCAACTTTTAAATTATTCAAATCCTGATCTTCTAACTACTTAGAATGTTAGTACACAAAATCAACATCATTTAAATACATCAAACCCACATGTTTTAAATGCTTCATACCCCTACTCTGTAAACTCATTAAATCCTTCTTCTTTAAATATATCTCCTACTCATCTTACAAATTCTAATATTTAGAGTGCATCTATAACTCCTCTTTTGAAAATAAATGAACCCTTAGTAAATGTGTCTACAGCACCTTTATTAATTTCACCAAATTCCTAAAATAGCATATAGCATCTAAGTGACTAGCATAATTCATAGCTTGGAACATACAGTAATACTCACTATTTCATTTCATCAAAAACAGAACTGCATTCTCCTTTAAGTACTTCAAATATATCTAAATAAGGAAATCTCAAGAATTAATCATCTAAGAATTTAGATGATCTTTATTAACATCTTGATTTAGTGAAGGAAGACTCTATATCATACCATCCTATGGTAAATAGTGTTCTAATTACAAATAAAAACCAATCAAGTAGTACCCAAATAAACTCTAATACATTATCTAAATCAGCATCTAACATTTATTAAAATGTTTAAAATACAAACGAAAATCAATTTAATTTATCGTAATTAGCAATAAGTAACTAGGAAAATAATAACTAAAATTAAAATTCATAAACGAATGTACAAAATGTTTCTACTAATTTTGCAAATAATTTTACAAACTAAAATGTTCACAATTATTTTGATTCTAAATATCTGTAAAACTTATCAGAAAATACTCCTATGTCATCTTCTTAAAACAACTATTATTTAAATTTATAGAATTAAACATCACTAAATCAAAACGTGTCACCTTCTAACTCCTTAAAAAATAACTAAGACAATCTTTCTTAAAATTTTTTTTCAAACAAATAAATATAAGGCCAGATCAAATCATACACTAGCATTTAAAATAATCATAACTTTTAAAATAGTGACAATAGCTATAGTAACAGCTATTTTATGAATAGTGAAGATACTTTAAATAAAAATAATTCCACAGCTAATAATTAAATCTCTTAATCTGCTTAAACTAATAAAATTGACACAAACTATTAAAATTAATACTTAGGTACTAGTATTACAACTTAAATTTCGCACACGACTAGCCCATATACAACAATAAAAATACAAACAAAGATAGAAACCTCAATATAAAACTACAATGAAAAATAACCAATTAATAGTAATAGTATTAATAATTAAAGCATAGTTGACTAGATAATGTAGGAATATCGCTCTAAAATTTAGAATTAACAAAGTTAATAAACTGAAGCTAAATCTCTAAATAATTTACCTCATGAAAAGGAAGAAGATTATTCTCCGAACTAAGACCATCAACGAAATCTAACATACTCAATCCCTACAGCTAATATATATGATTTCTAAAAAAACTCTGTCTAAGATTAAAATAATTTCTCATTAAATGATAAAAATTTTTTCTATATAAATTCTAAAGATAACAACATTAGTAATAATTCTCACATAAATTCATCACTTGACTCAGTAAATAAAATATATTCTGCCCTGCCATCTTAAAGCGATTTTACCCATTTGGAAAATCCTAGTAATGAAAATTCAAACAACAACTATTAACAAAATTTATCAAGCATTAATTAAAAATATAATTTATAATAGTGATTTAGAAAAATAGTAGCATAAAAAAAAATTATTATACAGATGCAATCTATTTCAAAAAAGTTTAGATTTTTTAGTTGGTAAGGTATGAAAAAAATAAAAAATAATAAAAAATGTATAATTATATATATTCAATTCAATTTATTTTATTATGATATATATGTTATAAATAATGATTTCATTGATTCATTTAATATTGTTTACTGCATGTACACTCTCACCTTTTATATATTAAAATATGTCTTTAATTGAGTTATACATAAAATATCATTTTTTTAATTTATTTATTTACTCTTTTTGAAGTGTTTTATATCTAAATTTTATAATGCTTGTTTTAATTCTTGGTCACTTACACTGTTTCTGTTACTTAATAGCTAATTATTTAATTTATTTAATTTAATATTTTATTTATTTTGATTTATTAATGTACTTTTTCTAGTAAAATTTTCATTTAATTTTGAAGTTATGCTGTGTATTCTGCCAAAACCATATATTTCTACTGTTACTGATCTTATTATTGTTTACTTATCATGCTTATATTAGGAGAATCGAATTTGCAAGCTGAACAGCTGCTTTCATGAAGTTTTTTGTAGAAATTCTCTGCATCTTTATGAAAAATCATTACATTTTAGTTATTTATTGTAGGAGAATGAAATTGAGAATTATTTAGAGTGTTTGATTGATTTAAAGACCTGTAAATGTTTGTTGAATTATCTTCTCCTTTTTAATCATAAGAGCTTTTCTTTATTTTTTAAATTTATGATTAAACACTCCTTTCAAAATTAAATTTATTTAATAAAAAAAATTAACCAAGTTTACTCTTAAATAATCTTCTATATGTGAGACTGTGGAGTTTTATGACTTTTTATTGAGAAATTATTTTTATTATTATGAATTTTCTTATTCTTCATAATCTTTAACAATCGGGAGTGATGAAGCATATGATTTAATGTATATATTTTATGAAACTGATTTGTTTTGTTATGAAACAAAAGATTGAGTGAAAGATTTATTTAGTACTCCTTGCTCATGTATTAACTCTTAACGATTTTTATTATAATAATTAATGCATAGTCTGAAGAATGGTATAACTTCAATTGAATTCTCCTTTTACTTTTCTAGTGATTTTGCTATCAAATTATAATCCTTAACTAAATATCCTATTTCTCTGATTCCATTTGATTTAAAAATTCTTCCTATTATTGTAGTCCAATCATCTATTTATATTTTTTAGTTATTAGCATTAAAATATTATTTACACTATATAAGTAAAAATTAGATTAGTCCAGTAAATGTAGCAAATAAAATACCAAACTAAAGCACTTCGCTTTCGAAAAATTCATGAACTTTTCTGTTGTTTCTTAAATAGATTTAAGTCTACTTTCTCAATCTTAAGTAAAACTTAAGAAGGATATGAGAATCTATCATGGTAATTTGAAATAACTTGTCTAACAATTACAATTCTTTAGATAAATGAAGCTGTTAATAGAAAGAGTAGAACAAGATTGTTAACTATTTTTAATGCTGTTCGTTCTAAGGGTACTTTTATTGCTAAAATAGAATTTACTATGATTAAACTGCAATTCAATTATTAAATTAATCAATACATAGTATTGCACGATGAAATCGGAAAGAGAATAAATAGACTACTTGCAATAGCTCTCAATTATTTCTAACAGATATGCTAATACATTTACAATTTTCATCAAATAAGCAGGCTACAATAATTAGAATTTATCTTATTAAAATAAAAATTGTTTTAAATTCTTTACCTTTTAGTAAACTTCTTTGATCAAAGATCTTGATATTAATGACTTAAATAAAAGATTCTCTGATGTATCTACATTATCTAAAATTCTAGTCTTGTTCATTTAATGTTTGCTTTTCTACTAAATATTAACTTATTTCAAATCTTTTCTTTTTATTAAAAATTTTGATATAAATTATTGCTGACTTAATTATCTTTTTTTTAAATATAATAAGGCTAAACACTAAATTCTAAATCGAATCAGCAATATTTTAAATATTTTTTAATTAAAAACTAGCAAGAATTAATTAAAAAATATTTTAAAAATCAAATATATTGGAAATTAAACATTTTAATAATATTTAAAATTTGAAAACTGAAAAGCAAATTTTAAAATAATAAATTGCTAAGTATAATAAAATTGATGATAAGCATAATAATTTAATTGATGAATTGTACAATAAATGAATGAATAACTAATGTGTATTAAGTAAGATTTTGAATTAGAAGAGTAAAATAAAATAGATTTAAACAACTAATTATTTGATAAAAATAAATACAATCAGTATCTAGAATTAATTTTATATGTTTTATTCATTCTTTCTTTATTTCTTTGGTTTGTTTGTTTTTTTGTATGTTTAGTCAAGGGTCTTAGAATTCTCCGTATGACGTAGAATAAGTTTTTAATATATGAAGTATATTTTACAGAATAAATATTTAACACGATCCAATTAATATCAGTCATTCATTAAATTTCGAATTTGCTTTCTTTATTATATCTAGCTAGACAGACTTATTAACAAGAGTAGCATGCATAAATACATACATATTTAAATATTAATCCTCAATTATGTTAGATTGTATCAATTTTTATCAGATTTTGTTGTGAAAAATGATTGTAATTATGACCTTTTATTGCAATTAATTCAAAAAGCTGCTTTAATAAGCTTTTCCTTTCTGTGTTAATCAATTTGGTGATTGGGAATATTTTTATCTAAGCTTTCATAAGCACGAGCAGCCTTCAAGACCTTTGCTGCGATAGTTTCGTATGTAAAGGCACGTTCTTAGACTTCAACTCCGTGGAGAGTAGCTACATCAGTAGTAACAATATTATCTTATGAGTTGGCTTGAGGAATCATTTCATGAACAACATTCTAGTAACGTTCAGCGAAATGATATCTCAATTTAGGGTCAGAATATAAATCGAAAATTTCGTCTGAGAGCTTGTAAGGATTAGCAGCAGTAGAAACAAGCTCATGGTAGGCTTCACCTTGAATAGCAAAGTTGATATCAGAGTAGAAATTATTATATAATTAAGTAATATAAGCATAGAAAAGGTTCATATTAGAAATAATAACAGAGGGTAATTGTAAAGCAGCGCATTCACTAACAAGTTCACCATTGAGAGGAATACCAACATCAGCAGCACACATAGCACCGAATTTTTCCTTTTCTCCAGTAGTAACAATAGTTTGTAAAGTCTTCAAGTACTTAGTGTTTGAGACAGCTTAGTTGACGAATTCAGCGTTTTAAGCGTTGTCAGCAGTGATGATAATTGTGAAATGATCACGAGAAACGTTAGTTAATTAGGGTTTCTTGAAGAATTCTTCTAAGGAGCGAGAAAGAAGGTTAACTGCGAAGTTAATTTCAGCCTTAGTGTTACCTGGAGCAAGTAAGAAGACGTTTTTGCTTTCGTTGATTCCCAAACGAGCACGTTAGATACCGCGCTATTCTTCAACAAGCTTTTCAATAATTTCTCTGTGTTGCTTAGGATTGCTTGCAATTTTCAAGCCGTTAGCAGTGACAAGAGACTTAACGTTAGCGTATTACTTAGAGTTTTAGAAAAGGTATTAAATGGCTCTGCCAACACCTTCGTGACCAACACAAGTTGAGGGGTAAGTAAAACTTTAAAAGTTAATTTATTTCATAGGAATAGTGTAAAAGAAGTGATCCAAATAATCTTGGAATTCAAATCTTTAGTTGATATGACTTCTATCATAGAAGAAAGTGGGAGGTCTAATTTTATTGTGCAATTCGTATTGATCGCAAAGACGAACGTATAACTTTTTCATAAAGAATTCGTTACCGAAAGTTATAATAGCAGAAGGAATGCTAAGTTCAACTTAATCCTTCAAAAGACTGCTCTTATCAACCTAATTGAGAACTTACTTATTAAAGAAGTGAAGAGGAGCCATGTAGGGATGATAACATCTGGCAACGTGGAAACGAATAAAGTTTTTCAAAGGAAAGAATGGCTTATCTATGAATTTATTAATATCTGCATAACTTTAGTTAAGACCTTCTGCTTACATCAAAGGACCTCCAATACCAACAAAATCATAATTATTATTGCTCTTCTTCTTCAAATCCCTCATAAAGTTTGCTGCCTATAAATCGTGGGAAGGAGAACCTGCAGCAACAAATATGGTCTTTCTGCCTGTAAAGCTGAAATATCTTCTGCTAATATGAGTCAACATTAAACTACCTTTATTTTTTATTTTTTCTTTACTTTGTTTTTTACCTAAGTGATTTACTATTTTATTTGTTTTTCACCTTGATATATTCACTATCTTTGAAAAAAAAGATTATTTTATTTTATTCTTTCTGATTCTTTTATTTGTTATTCTTTGTTTATTATCTTCCTTTAATTTTTATTGCTTTCCTTTTATATCTTATCATTTGTTTAGGATCTATCTTTCAAAACACTCTTTCCTTTTTCTCCATTTCTCCTTTCGTATATACCTAATATCAAATATTCTTCCTTCATCCATTCTATTCAATATCTCTTTAAATATTTGTCTAGTAGTTAACAAGCAATTTGAAAATGTTTATCAATCTATCTATAAATTTATTTTATCAATGATAAACATAAATAAGTAACTTAATGAGTGGCTTTCTATTTAATAAAACTAGAAAAATGATATTGGCCACAATATAAATTTGTATTTAAAATCTATTTTAAGTTTTTATTATTAAAATAATATTTTATATGAATTTTTTTTTTGATAAAAAAGTTTTAAAATAATGTTAAAGATTATTTCTTTTTATACTTTGAAATTTAAGCAGCATAAAAATTAATAAATATAAGAAATAAGATGTTGAAGATATTTTCAATTTTAACATCAGAATTTTAGAAATCAAAACATTCAATAAATGCTTAGAATCTTGCCAAATAAGTTTTATTTATGATATTTAATCTGATTTATTGAAAATATGAGCATTCCTTTTAAATAATTTTGTGCAAAAAGTTTTTGATATCTAAATTAAAAATTTTAAATTTATTAAAATTATTTAGCTTTATTATTAATTTAAATTCAAAGGATTACATAATTTCTACTAATTTTAAGTTAGTTTATCTTATTAAAAAAAACATTTATCAGGTTTTTCTTTAAAATTTAATTGAAATAATATATTTTAATCTTATTTATGAAAATAAACTAACTAGCTTATTTATATCTCTCTAAAATTTAATGATTACAAAATATTCTAAAACATTGTTTTTAATTTATACTTCAAAAACTATAAACAAATTTTTATTTCAAATTGATAAAAAAAATTGATTTTTTTTAAACTTCAATTATTATTATTTAAATGTTAAATTGGTTGAATAGCTCAATTAAATAAAATATCTGAATATTAAAAATTAAATTGATACTATTAAATAATTTTAACAAATTGTATTCTCTTTTTACAATCACTAAAATTTTTAGATTGGCTTTGTCATTTATATTTTAGTTCTAATTATGATTATTAATTTAATAAATAAATTATCTTTATAAAATTAAAAAATAAATTAGTATTTTAATCCATTTTATATTTTATTTTTTGTTTTTTATTAAGTAAATAACTTATTTCTTAAAAAATTTAATAGCCTTTTAATTTAAAATAAAATTTAATTTAATTTTTAAAATTAATTCATAATGATTTATCATAAGTTTTGCTGTTTTCTATAAAAGTTATTTGATATCATATAAATTAATGATAGATATAAAATTAAGGTTTTATTATTTAAAAAAGAATATATAAAATAATTAACTATTTAAAAATGAAATATCACAAATTAAAAATTAATCATTATTTATATACTTTAATCTTTTGGGTAATTAGTAGTATTTTAAGATAAAACATAAGCTACATTTAAAATTAAAAAAAAAAATCTCAAAAAAGTTTTCAACTCAATTTAATTTAGTTATGATTAAAATCTTTAAAAATAATTAACACTTTTTGATAATAAAATTGAAAATTTATTAAAAATTAAACATAATTAGTTTTTATTTATTTATATTTGTAAGAAACTTTTATTAACAAATTTAAATAAAAATTAGTTTTAATAATATTAAACATTTTGAATAATTATTTTTTTTATTATGTTAATTATACAAATAAAATTTAATTAAGATAAAATTATTAAATATAGTTTTTTTTCAATTTAACTGTTTTAATCCTTTTTTGAATATACTAAATATTCATATGTAGTTAATAAAATAACTATTTTAATTTATAAAAGATAGAATCTTAATTAAATAAAAAATAATTTAGGAATAAATATTAATTATGAAAAAAATAGATTTAAATGATGAAATAATTCTTAAAAATACAATATATTATATGATCTCAAAAGGATGATGAAAAAAATTTAGTTTGATTTAAATTAAAATTATGTGGCTAAAAACATAAATTAGAAAATAAAATCAGAAATACATTTAATTATTTCTTTATATTTATTTCAGGTATTTTTTCAAAAATTAAAAATAAATACAAAAATTAATAACTAAATTCTCAAGGTTCTATTCGAATTAATTTTTTGTAATTAAAAAATAGTAAGATATTAATAATTTTGTATGGTTTATTTATTGTATTTTCATGTCAAAATTTCTTTTGAAATTATTAATAAATCTCTACAATGATTAATTCATATACTAGGGGAGGTATAAATTTAGATTATTTCTTCATTTATAAATTAAATTTTATAAATAAAATAACTATTTCTTATTTAAACTTTCTAGTTTTGAATAATTTTTTTTCTTTTGGAATGAAATTTAAGAAAAACTATTTTGTTACTCATCTTGTGGAGAATCAACAATGAAAATTTATAAGATTAATTTATCTTGTTCTATCAAAAAGAAAAATATAGTTTTTCCTTTTTTTAGTTTACATTTGTTAATATTTATATTGATATTTATAAACAAAAACCTTTATAACCTAAATATCTGTTTGATATGAACGTATTTTATCCAGAAAAAAAAGTTAATTATGAGTAAAAGGAACATCCATAAAAATTATAAATCCTCGTATTGATTAATTTATTTATTATATCTGATTTCAAAAAAATTTCATCAAGCTTATTTATTATAATTTTTTAAATTTAGATTTTTAAAGATATTTGTTTTGAATTCAAGTTCTACGTCAAACAATAATCTGTAAAACAAAACTAATACAAAGAAGTATAATTCTTTAGCTCTAAGAACAAGATAAGTGTCAAGCGTTTATACTATGCGCTTCTTATATTTGTTTGTCTACATTTTTACAATTTTTTTAGATATTGCATATGCCACTATAACTCCTTTATCTATTAGAAACCTCGAAACAGTCAATGGAAGATAAAGCTTTTATGAGTTTAAATTTAATTATGGTTAAAGCATAGTAAATGCAATAGGAGGAGTTAGAATAACATTTCCTCCTGAAATACCAGTGTCATTATTTTAAAATGCTTACTAATTTTAATGCTTTTACCAAGTCTCATATCCTCAAAATAAAATAGTCCCTTGCAACTACAATATTGATAGAGAAGTCTACATTTAGATTGGAAATATTAACTCTGGCCCATAAAGTATAACCATTGGCTATATCATAAATCCCTCAACAGTAAAAGGGACAGCTTAATTTAAATTATGTATGGTTTATAATGATTATCCTCAAGATTGTGAAGATAATTTTGGCACAGTCAACTTTAGTTCATCACCAAGTATTTATTATTTTATATATAAGAAAATAATTGTTTTAATAATATTGTTTAAGAATCATATTTAAAAATGAGCTTTAAAATATATTTTTATCAATTTTAGCAATAATGAGAAGTGCAAGTTTAAATCAAATTTCATCAATTATTGTGTCCTAAGGAAGTTCATGGCTGTTTGATATGAATTTAACAGGAACCTACTAGAGCTCACAATTTGATATTAGGGTCACATTCCCTAGCGGTTTTAAAACTCTAAATGCAGGATGTGAAATAATTGGTATTTAATAAGTTCCAAAATCATATATCCTCTATAATTAAAGATAAGTAGAATGCAAAAATGTGCAAAAGCAATTCTAAGGGACATAGTAAATTAGAATTATTAACATGGTGAACCCTGTAAATTAAATACCTTTGATTGGGTTTACAGTTTAAATTCTTTAGTCAACAACTTCGTAAATATTAGAAGAGATAGTCTTTTCTACTCCTTACCAAATACAGACTGGAGTTTTTTAAGCTTCTTATAGCAGCGATAATTAATTCAAATATTCAAATACCACTTACTACTTTTATTTGACTCCCTAGTCACTAGTTAATTAAGATACTTACATTGAAATTAAATTTGGCTTAGGTTGGGTTTTATACTCTTAAAACTGTACTGTTATTAGAGGCTTATATTAAATCTAAAATGAGACAATAAATTGCTCAGCAGATGTTTATTAGAATAGGTATTTGATCAGCAACTACAATAGCACCACTTATCAGAACTAAATACTAGTTGAGATTCCTATTTAATCCCCTCAATAATAAGGTGTTTATTGCCTTGTTAGTTATTTTTTAACTTTTTTTATCTTAAAAATTAGGAACATATGTTGTTAATGTAAATTTATACACACTATAAAATCAAATAATTGATAAAGGTCAAGTAAACATAAACATAAATTCAACATGTAAAAAAAAAAATTGTCTCAATCAACTAAATAATTTATTAATTAATTTTAATAACAAAGTTGGATCTTTAAAAGAATACAGAGTGCATCCATTACAATAACAAATTAAATTAAAAGCAGGCTAAATTGGACCTTTTGAATTTACTTTCTTCCTCAAAACCCTTTTACCAAGGACAAACTATAGATCTAAAGGAAAAATTGTCCTATCAATTACACCACAAATAGCTAATACTATTCCAATACCACCTAGTGAAGGTATTTTGAAATGTCTTTTTTTCTAAAATGTGATATCTGCTAATTGTTAAATTTCAAACATTAATACCGGATCAGCTTAATATACAGAAATTATAATATTTACACCAGAAGATTTTGATTACAAAGAGAGTGAAATTCCTGTCACTATAACTACACAAGGTGCTAAAAATGGAAGACCAGATGGACTTTACATAAGCCCTTTAGTGTAGAGATACCTATTAAACTTCCTTACATACTATTAATATTTACCTAATCCTATGACTCCACTTCCCGTAGAAGGATATTTTCAAGAATGGATCCCAGATCCATTTGAGTTTCAAAATATTAGCTTTGATTTGACAACCACTAATTCAAAAGAAACAACCCATTTAATGTATTCAATATAAATTGAAAAACAATCACTACAAAATTTCATATTTTATTTAAAATAGATTTACTATTGATAAATTTCCTCAGGATTACTTGTAATGGAGTTCTTTAACTGGTAGATAATATATCTGGAAAATAACTTTTGTGAATGACGCTCCAGGATCTGTACTACAATGGACTTTTAGTAATGCTGTATATGGAAATTAAAAAGTAGTTTAAATTCCATGCTTAATTTATAAAACCAAAGTTACTGTTAATTAATATACTTTGACTTGTAACCTTGTTAGATATGCCAACCAAAATCCTTTCATAGAAGTCGTACAAGTTGATACCACACTTCTTAACAACTCGCCTACCACACAAAATTTTGTTATAGAAATACCTAATATCTAGATTGGTGATGTAAATAATAACATTAAATTCTTATTTAAAACCTTTTTATTTTAGTTAATAAAGTTTAAAGATGTTTTTTGTTATTTTTAAATATTATAATTTAATAAAGTATTCATCATGTGATTTGTATAAATATACAATAAACTAGAATTTAATTCAAGAAAAATTTCAATTAATTTAATTAAAATAAAAATTATTTAAAAAGTTGATAAAAATTATTTGAAATAATAATAAATAGATTAACAAATGCAAACCACTATCTTTTAAATATATTCACTTTCAAACTTTTATTAATTATACTTAATACTAAAAATATTTAATTCTAAATAGATTGGTACAGCAACTAACGTTTTTTAATCTTATATAAGATTTTCTTTAGCTGAAAAAACACCTGGAATGATTAGTAATTATGTAGAAGTTTATTACAAATAATTTTCATTTACTATCAAACCTCCTTACTAAAATGGCTATCTGTAATAAAATATTGGTTTGACATCAAATAATTTTTATGTAAATTAAAATACTGATTTGACATTCTAATGGACAACTGCAAGTGGGTATCTTAACTATATTATATATGAGTTTGATCAGTCAGATCAATCTTGTTTTAATGTTGGGGCATCTGGTTTTGTAGCAAATCCTAATTAAAGAAAGTTTGCTTAAAATGCAAATTATTACTTGGTATAATATGATCCTACAATATTTAATAATTATCTTGTTAGAGATGTCATTTAATAGATAAAAAATTGTTACTATTCAAGACCCTATCCAAATTTTTTTCAATTCAAAGTTAGATCATTCTTTAATCACCAAGTTTATGATAAATATATTTTCTTTTATTACGTAAGTCCAGCTGATATAGTTGTAACTCAACCAAGTTTTAATTTTGGATTAAGGCCTAATAATGATCCAAATGTTGCATAAAATATTAATGATGTTATTAGAATTAATGAATAACATCAGTTTTTTGTTGAATTTAAACCAACTACTGATTTAATGATACCTTCAATAATAAAAATAAATATACAAAATTCAAATTATAAATTTGTACAACCTGATCCTAATACTGCTTTTTACTGTAAAGTTTAGGGTTTAACAAATAGCGTTTTTGGTTAATCTGTTTAATGTTCTATGATTGATAGCTAGAATATTTAAATTTCTAATTTCGATTAAGTAATTGCCTCAACCACTGTTATAAAAGTAGACTTTAGATTACTAATTTTATCTGTAGCAACTTAGCCCTAAATTTAAATAGATACTCTATACGTTTATTCTAGCTCACTATAATATCTTGTTGACAAATCTTATTCTTAAAATCCTACAACAGGGTTTTAAGTGGTGTTAAATAACGCATATAACACATTAAACACATTTTAAATAGCTGATAAGCAGTATAGATATGAAAAAAGACCTCCTAATTTCGTTGGGTCTATTTATTTCTAATTTGATTTACTTAATCTTCCGACCCCTATAGCTTTGTCCTCAATAAATGTATTTAATTATCTTTTTTTCATGTTTCAATCTATATTTATATTTGGTAAAATAATAGATTTAGTTCCCAGTTTAGTTTACTTTTTAGAGATCTGGTGCTACCTGTGGCTAACCATTAAAATGCTTATTAAATTAAAAACGCTTTTTTTGCACATGCATCTAAAATGCTAATGGAATTTTAGTCACTATTTAAATGAATTACATAAATTCATTTACAAATTAGCCAATAAATGAGATGATTATTGACACTGAATTTGTTTCTCCAACCGAAGGTTTTAAGCATCCATAAACTCCAGGTTTTTATGGATTCGACATAACAATTACTGATTAAAGTTCTAATGTTATATCAGGAACAAGATATATTAAAATAAAAGGTTAAAAGGCATAATTATTTAATGTTAAACACATAATTAGAGACGCTTAATAAAACAATTTATACTAATTTACATTTTAACTTAATTCAATAACCTAAGTTCCTTAGTTTTCATCAGGAGGAAGAATATAATTTGAGTTGCCGACAATAGACAATAAAGGAAACCCAATGTTTGACTAGTAGCTTGGAAATAATTACAATACTGGAGACTACTTAGGATGTATAATTAAATCTACTCCTTCTATTCCAGCTATAGACTAAAATACTTTATGTAGATTCTAAAAGAGCGAAATGAGCCCTAATTCTGCTATAATCGAATTAGTTTCTTTCCCATAAATACCAGTCAATACATAGTTAGATGTTTATGTGGCTAAAATTTAAAATCCAATTTTCAAAAATGATGTCGCTAATCAAATTATGGATTCAAATATTATTTTAAGTATTTATGATTTAACAAATCCTACAGGTAATTAAAATATTTTATTAATATATTATTTTTAATTTCATGTAATTTTTATTTTTAGGAGGAGATCTGTATTATGATTACTTTAATATCTTATTGGACTTAAGATCTGATAATACTCAAACAACATATAATCATGATTTAACTTCACAAACAAATTTAGGATCAAGGATGCCATGGGGAATAGGATAAAATCCAACTTTGAATTCTTTGACAGGATCCTTATATGTTGATATAATAGGTTAAAACAATTTTTCTAATAATGATTACTATATTGTCTAAATTCCAAATTCAGGAAAAGATACATTTTAGATAAGTGGAGTAACTTGCTCATAACCTACTCTTTACACATGTTTCGCATACCCATAAATAAATTGGGTTATTGTTTAGTTTATTACTTCCTCTTCAGTTTCATATACCACTTTACAACCAATTTAAATAAAAAGTAATATATTATAATTTTATACAAATTAGTAATCAAAAATATTTAAAATTAGTTGCTAAATTACCAGAGAGTGTTTCTAGAGTAGATATTACCTTTAATGCATGGATTTGGAGTGGATACTTATATAAAGTTTTAGTAAATCACTATTTATATGCTAAATAATATAAATAATTAATGGGATAGATGCAAGGTGGTACAATCACTATTTTAGGTTCTCCAAATAAAAATATTAGTAATAGGCCTTTTGTTCCTATAAGAGTAACATTAGGATTATAAAATAGAGTTCCTTCATATGGGGCTATTCAAATTATATTTAATTCTTAAAATGTTAATCTTCATGCCCATTGTAGAAGTTCTTTAACCTTTAACCCTTCTTCTTTATTACTTTCTTCTGAGACTTAAGCTTCAATCAAGAGCGGAAGTTTGGGCTGTTAAGTCTAATCAGGCGTCTATTAAAGACCTAATACTGGCGACCAATACGGAGATTATACAGCTTCACCGAATAGTAATGGATAGTATACTTCCTGGGTTATAACAGGATTTTAAGAAATTCCTGCTGCTGTTTTGCCTATTTATACTTCGATATCTATAGAAGGATTCATAGATTTTTTGGATAAAACATCTACAGATAATTTTTAGGCATATACTTATGGAACATCTATAGATAACCCAATAATTAATACTGGCCGTTTTATTGATTCTTACAACATGTAATTTACGATTACAAACTCTCTATCTTCTTTGTAAGCATATAAAACATTTAATGCAGATAAATATGATTTTTTACATGTAGAAGTCAAGCCTCTAAGAGCTGGTTTAAGAGTATTTTTTTTCTTTTTAATAAATGGTATTATAAAAAAATTTTTATTAAGACTCCCTTCAAGATGGTATTTAGCTTGACAAACACTGCTATTGTCACATCTTACACAGGAAGAATTAGACTAAGATTTTCTACTGCTAACTAACTGCAAGACTAAACTGTTTCAATCGGAACACCGTTTATTAAATTAACTGAATAGTATGCATGCTCAATTTATTTACTTAAAGACATATAAAAGGATCAATATATTGGTTGCACTATCATTTCTTCAAAAGAGATTAATCCTAGTACTATTATTCCAAGAGCTGTTGAATTTGTGATGGAGGTTAATACAGATTTAAATACAGGAAATAATTATTTATTCGAATTTACCACAGCATAGCCTTTATTAGATAGTTTTAATAACCTTGTTTATGGTATTGTCTTTCCCAGCCCTGCCTTTACATACAAAGTAAGTTATCTATTTTAATTTAATATTGCTATATTTTAATTTTTATAAAAGATTGAGTTAAGTATGTGCCAAAATTGTAATTCACTCACTACTGGGTTCTCAATGTGGTAGCAGCATTACTATTAAGTTTATGGTCCTTCTTTTGTGACTGAATTTATTAGTTTTAATACAAGACCAAGTGAATGGAATATATTTACTGTTTCGTTTTAAACCGCATCTAATGTTGATTAAACTTAATATAGGCTTGTAATAGAACTTCCAACTGCTAGCTTAAAAACTGGTAGTTATCTATTTTAAAACGATCTTGGTTAAAGTAATTTGTTTTTATTAAGTTTAATTTTTAAGTTTATTTTATTTAAAATAATCAAGCAACTCTAAATAATCTTGATGCATTCCCATGTGATTTATTGCTACCTAGTACATCTTAAAGTATTAACTGCGTGTTAATAAAAGGAGATTAAGCCTCCCTCTAACCAGCTAAAATACTTGTTTCTTTTAATAATTAAATAACAGCATCCAATATTGTCTAAATAGCTTTTTAAATAGTTAATCCTTCAATAAATACACCTACTATGTTAGCATCTTACTTTATTCCTGTTTAAGTATATCTGGAAAATGTAGCAACTTCAAGCAAAGATTACTGGGATATAATTGAAAGTAGTTTTTATATCAGCAACAGTAAATAAATTATATAAAATAACTTTATTTAAATTTATTAATAAAATATTTATATTAGATAACCCAGCTATTGCAGCTACAAATACTAACGTTCAATATGTTAGCAATACAGCTTATTGTGATTCATTATAAGATATACAAGTATAATTTTAAGATTTAGCTCAACCACTGCAGTATTCAAGTAGAGATGCTTATTTGATTTAAGTATAACCCACTCTAACTCTGTAGGATGACTAAAATTATCACAAATTCCCAGCTATATTTACACCAAGCTTAAACCCGACTTTTATTGCTTTCCTAGTTAATTGTAAAGGTATAATTATCTATCCAGCTTAAAGTGAAGATATTGTATCAACAAAAACTGTGTAAACAACGCCTACTTTAATACACATCCCTCCAACTTCAGACCCAAGCACCGCAAGTTTAATTCTAGTGGGATATGCATGCTATGTAAAAAATAGGTACACTTAGAAATTTACTTTTAATAAGCTTTACCCATAAACTGTACCAGCTGTTTTTCCATACACAATACCTCTACCACCAAAATATTCCTTAAACTTTAACTTAGACTTTGATATATAAGCTAGAGATGTTTATACTTCATAAAAACTTTACGTATCCACAGATAGACAAAACTATATTTTTACAGTAAATATCCTTTATAAAGCAAATAAATATTTATTTATTTAAAAAAAAATTTAGGTTACATTTGATTAATGGTAAAATATAGCAAGAGTTGGTCTATTTATTAGTTTATAAAACTGGAAAACTGATTTTGTAAATGGTCCTACATCTATTTGTTAAGAGGAAAAAGGTTCATAAATTTTTGTAAAATCTTGTATCTTAGCTCCTCTACCATTAACTTATTCAGCTTAATATGCATTGCTGTTTGTAGATATAGTAAAATTTATTAATTTTTAAAAATTATAACAATGCTTGCTTGTTCAAATAAAAATCTTAAAAATATAACTAATTTTTCAGCTTCTTTTCTTTTTCTTAAAAAAAAATATTTTATTTTCATCAAAATAAATCTCACTTTGAATATAAGATTTTGCAAAAATTTCTCTATCTTTGCCAAGTTTAATATTTTTAAATATTTTATTTTCAAGATTAAATTTATTTATATTTATTATTTTCAGTTTACACCTTAGACTAATCCAGGATCTTAATAGCTTATTTTTTCTACCAGTTACGATTCATTTTAACCAATCTAAAGTTCTAGAAATGATATTAGTGGTTTAACTCCAGTAGATAATTCAGATGGTGATTAATTAGATCTTGCACATTTTTAAATGCCCTTGGCCATACAAAAATAATATTTTACAGTGAAACTTTATGGCTTAAATGTTGTAAATCCCCCAATATTTAATTCTATAACAGGATATGGGTAAGATTATGTATGTTACTATTCATAATTTCCACCTCCTGGCGCCCTTACTACTCTTGAAAATTTAGCTCCAAGTTAGATATAATTAATTAGTAAAGGGTAGATGACTGTAGCATATATCACCCCCCCAACTCCACCTCCAATTATTACTACTTACTAATTGTATATAAGTTCTTATTTACATAATTAAAGCATAAGATCGTGGCTTCCATTTCATAGGTAATTAGTTAGTTAGTTATACTTGAATAAACAATATAATTTTATTTAAAATTATCTTAATTAGGTATATTGATGAATTTGTTGGATGTACTAATACTGATCAATCTCCAATCTAGTTTGAAGTTTAATTACCTAATGGAATAAACATACCAACTCCTACAATTAGAAATTTCAACAAAATTATAATAAATTATGGGCCTTAAATTCAAATCCCAACTTCCTCAAAATAAACGGATTTGATTATAAATAAATTGATTTGTTACGTAAATAATGAAAGAGTTAATTGTATTAATAACCAAGCATCAAATACTATCACTTTATATTTCACAAAAGGCTATACTAATCTAAGTTTCTTATTTATTTAAGTAACAACAGGTAATGATATGGATATAACAAGCCAAGGTGTGATGTATACTGGTACCTCAAGTAAAATACTTTTGATTAATTTTTAATTTATTAGATATTTATATTAATTTAATATAGCTTATTTTCGTTGGGAATATACTGTATAAGATTATTTAAACAACTAATTATTTAGCGGTAAGACTAATTATTTTCCTATTAAACTTCTTCCTATCGCACCTAGTTGCCCTTATAAACTAATTCTTAAGTTTTAAGTTTCACTTCATAATATCATAGTTAGACCAAATTACTATAATTGCTTAGTTATTATGAATGTGTTAGTATCCTTAAATCCTAATTTGATAAATTTTGTTAGTGGATTTAGAATTATGATTAGAAATAGGGATTATTCATAAAATAATTATGATGATGATATAGTATTTTTAAATATTTAAAATGGCGGTAACTATCCGTGTTACAGAAAAGCAGGAAAGAGTGTTAACTGTATATTGGAAAAAGATAAAACGAATGAATTTACAATTATACATGTTTTTAACCTTTAACAAGTCTAAAGTTAGGAACTTATACAAATTTTATTAAATTAATTTAAAAGTGTTTCATCTCCAGATAAGCTTCCAGAAATTTATGTACAAGCTATGGGAGGATAAATGTCCTTCTCAGCACCTACAGGAAAAGATTTTTTAGGAGATTTGTCTTATCTTAGGTAGCAACTATTTATTTATCTTTCTATTATATTTTTAAATCTTACAATTTAAATAAAAAGAATGAGTCACAGCACTTGTAATTGCGGTACTTCTTCAGGTTGTAGAAGTGGAGATTTAAGTTCTGCAAATTAAGGAACCTTTCCATAATTAGATGTAGATGGGAGTTAAATATAAAGTGGATGTGGCTAATCCGCACCGATTAAAACATCTCAAGTAGGATATGTTCTAAGAATGAGCTATAGTGACAGATTAGATCATAGCTAGTACTATCTGTTTAATTCTGTATGCTAACAAGGCACATTTGGTAGTGTTATTCTAGAAGTTTTGTTAAGAGGTATCTCATAAAAATTAATTAACAAATTTTCTACTATAAAATAGATTAATATTATGATGAAATTTATTTTAATAATTTCATAAGTTAGCTAATCTGTTAATATCAAAATAAAAAATTAATATCTTCTTTTTAATTTTTAAAAAAGTATTTTCTATATTAAATAAAAGAAAAATCAAATTTTTTTTTAAAAGTACTATATTTTAATTTCAAAATTTTTTTTTAAATTATAATAAAATAATTAGATGCAGGTGAATAATATGACATGTGCACTTTTACGCCATAGTAAACCTTTAGTCAAAGCTGGGGAGATTGTAATGATTTATCTAGTGAATTTAAATGCAATATTTCATAATTCGTAAGAGAAGAAGGAGAAGGAAGTACATATTTTAAAAAATTGTATTTATATATAGAATTTCAATCTCTTCTTACTCCAGATTATACAACTGTTAAATATTTAAGGTAAAATAATAAATTAATGATTTAATTAAATTATATTAATAATATTTTAATTTACAATTTACATATTGAAAGATTACCAGTTGGAAAGTTTTAGTGTAGATAAACAGGATAAACTCCTAATTCAAGGTATAGATTTTAGGCTCATTGGGCTTGCGGTCATCCAGTTTTTGCCACAGCTAATTATAGTTTTAGATAAGATTTAGTGAGTTATTTACCTTGCTATGATTCTACTATTAGTGCTACAGATCCTGGTTGTATAGCTAGTGTTGCAGGAAAAACATTTAATACTCTTTATAATTTTAACACTTATAGTGTTGCATCTGGGTCTTTAGGATACTTAACAAGAGATTCAAGGCTCAGAGAGGAAGGTCTTTTAAATGGGACAATTAACATTAACTTAAAAAATATACTAGATACTAAAAATATCAAAACGTTATTTGGTTATTAAATAGCAATTTCTATTTCAGCTTAGAATAATATTGGCATTTAAGCATTTTGTTAAATTTAAAGTGGAGTAGGTAATTGGGATTTTATCTTTTATAGATAAAATATTCTATGTACCTAAAAAAATTTAGTTTATTTTGTAGATAATTTTTCTGATTTATATGATTATTTAAGATTGTAAATTAAATTTTATAATTAAAATACTGGAGGCTAATCAATCGATATAAAAGTTTACTTATTCCAGTATCATGTTGATCCTAATAATTTTAGCTTAGATGCCTAATTTTCAATACTGAATTAAGAACCTATTTGTTTTATTTACACTTCAATAGGTAGTTAGTCAATTGATATATTTTCATTAACATCATAAAATCCAAATTATTCAAGAAATACTTACACTAATACTTACATGAAAGTAGTAGGTAATACAGTTACTTTTGATTTAAACTTACCTGGATAAAGTGTAAACTTTTATCAATTTACAATATTATTGTTAAAATTATCTTAATTAAATTAGTTTCCATCAGCAGCTCCTAATTTTTAAACAACTTATAACTGTGAACTCGAATTTGAAGGATTCGATTTTCCTACTACAGGTACCTTCTCAGCAACTTTTGTGAATGCTCCTGCTTGCTCATTATCAATCGATTAATCTTTAGGGACTTAAACTTTAAAAATAAATTTTTCTATAGTTCATCCGAATCTTTGTGCATAATAAGGTAGCATTTTAAATTAATTGTTAATTTATTTATTATAAAGCAAAAATATTTATATAAAGTTTCAGGTCTTTATGCATCAGGTTAAACTACTCTTGTTTTATAGATAGGAAACATATAACCAAATAATTTAACAAGAAAAAGATCCTTTAATTCATTTCTTTTTATATACAGAATTGATGCTTGCTAAATTCATTTTAATTGTAATTACGATACGTATTATTATAATATGTACCATTATAATACTTTTTATAGTAATTCCATGATTAGTAATCAGTAGTCATACGGTTTGATAGGTAATGTTTAAATAAAATCTTTGACTTAATCCTAAAATACTGTAAATGAGTTAGAAATAGTTTTAAGTAGCTTAAATTATAATATTGATAGAACCCATAACACAGTTTTAGTATTAGAACCAACAAACCGTTAAAATGGTAGTTCTCCTCCTCCTATATGGCCTCCAGTAGATAGTATACTCTACTATAATTAGGATCCTATAAATTGTAAGTGCTATTACTATGATGCAAGTAGTAATGAGTTTGAATATACCAAATATATGTGTATCCGTATAATAGAGAGTGGATCTTACTATTTTTCTATTCATATTTATATATATGATTAATAAACACCTAATGAATAGAACATCTCATCATTTCACTGCTTTATACCAGAATATTAGAACAGTGCTACATCAGATGCATTTATTATTAAACTTATAGAACCAGGTTAGTATTATCAATTAGCTACTACATCTTATCAAGCCATGGCTTTTCAATTTTAAACCATTACATTTTAGACACTAACACCATAAACTCCATCATTTAAGGTATCTCCTCCTAACTTTTTTAGCGCTTCATCAACTTATGTTACTAACAGTTTAGTAGATTAATATAACATAGATATTATAACTAGCTAAATTTTTAATAACCCTTACATTTACTTAAGGCATAGTTAATTAGGGCCTGCTATAGACTCAACTTTATGCACTTAAACCGGATCTTACTATACAAGTAATTCTATAATTTTTTATAATTTTATTTTTTTTAAAGTTTCAAAATTAAAGGGAGGACATTTAAATGATAAATATTTTAAAATAGTTTTAAAAAAATTATTTCCAATTATAAAAATTATAATGATTTGTTAAAATTATAAAAAATATGTTACCTGAGTTAAATTTACAAATAAATATTGATGAAAATCAGAATAATACCATTAAATTTTATAAGTTATTAATTGTTTGAAAATATATAATATTATTAATTGTTTAAAAGGTAAACCAAGTTCAATTAGAGCATATACAACACATAGTTATGTGATAGTTTGTTAAAGCAGTTTAACAAATTAAAACGAGTTTATCCTATAAAGTTAAACAGAAAAAGTAAGTGCTAGTATTCCGTTTTAGTATTACACGTCTATACCTACTTTAATATATAGCTTTTATATAATTAATTCATAAACATCTAAAACTGATTAAATTTTGAATAATTTAACAAAATCTACATCTGCTATCTAATTATATTAACCTGTTAATATGGTAGTACAAGTTTATAATTTAGTTGATACTGTAGGTTATGGAACATTAAAGCTTCACTCTTTGAAATTTGAATTAAATTAAGGCTTTACTTAATTTGATAGAAGATTTAACTCAAAGATTATAATCACTAATAATTCTACAAATTAATTTGGAACGCGTAAATTATATTATAGTTTCTATTAAATTTTTATAAAATAAATATAAAATTAGATTGCTATGCTTAATCTATGGAAAGCACATACCCTGAGAACAGTGTTTCAGGTAGTAATCCAACAACGCTAACAGTTCATATTTGTAGAGTTAGCCAAGATTTAAAAAATGTGATTGTAGAAGATGAAAACTATCAAAATTTGTATTAATAGCCATTTTAAGGATATTAATTTGCTAATAATAGGAAATTTTATATATATTTCTCTGTCAATATACCTTAAAATCAAGTTCCAATTACTTATACAATGAGATATTTTACCAAGTATAATATTAATGCAGGTAATGATTATTCTTATGAATCAGCACGTGGTTCTAGCACAGTTACTTATACAAACTGTAATCCCGCTTGCATAACTCAAGGCTACCATAGAACATTCTCTTTCAATGTTAAAAGATTTATATAAAACTAATTTGTTTATAGATTTTACCTCTCACAAGATCCTGCAAGTATGTCTAGCTTCATTTTCGATTGGAGTTAAAACTGGGTGTAAATATTAAAAATGAAGAATATATATTTTATCTATTTATAAATATAAAATAAGTCTTTATAATACTTAGTCATTGCCATATAGTTACATTCCAATTATCAGAGTATATGGAGTTAATGGTTGTAGTAGAAACTATAGGTAATATTTTTTAACAGATATTTAATAATATATACTTACGAATAATTTTAAAACTTAGAGAAAGATACTATAATCCATAGTCAGCTGGTAATACATACATCATTTGGTAATCTGATTTTTTTGAATTAGGTAATGACAGCTACGAATATCAAGAATATTATATAAGATTTACTGATCCTACAAATTTTGGTATTTAAAAAACTTCTGCTAATCTCTAAGTCCCTTTCTCTTCTATGATTGTTTAAGGAAGAGTTTTAAAGGGATCTGTTTATAATACGTAACATCGATTAGTTTTAGTATGAAAATTTAATTTTCAAATTACAAAATATAATAGGGTCATTTTCTTTGATTAGAATAAGAATTACTTTGATACTTCTTCTTCTTAACAATCTCAAGAACTAAAATTGGATAAACTTTATTACACAAACACTTTTGCTGGCTAAAGAACTTCTGTTTTCTTTAGATTTTTAACAACTATAAATTAAGTAGGTACTCCTTAACCATCTTATCCAGCAACATATTTTGAGTTTATCTTTCCACAATTATAAGTTACAAACTTTGCTACTGATTAGTATAATATTGTCAATTGTTAAGTGTTTGTCAATGATTTATTAGTAAATAGCATTACTCCAAGAAATTTACCTCCTAGATGCAGAGTATTTTAAGTAGAATGTAAATAACAAAAATATTAATATTTGATAAAATTAATATAACATATTTTTATAGATTAAAAGATGTTAGTTACAGTTTTAAGAGTAGAAGATGTGAATTTTAATTCAATAATGAATTCTGTATCGTTTGCCTTTGACATTACCTTACCCAATCCTTCATACTAATATCTTGGAATTGATGTTATCTTTGATTTATATCTTGCTCTTCAGACATCTCCAGTTTCATCTAATTATGCATCAAACCAGTATAATTATCAAAAGTTTCATTTAAAAATCCAAGAAATGATTTTAATCGATAATATTAACCTTCCATAATCCACAGCACCTGCTCCAAGTATTTATCATTTTAAATATAAAAAATATTAAAAATATATTAAATATAAAGCTGTAATTACTCAAACTATTTCAGACACTACTATAGGATAAATTGGTGTAAGTAATATTTGGGGCCTAACTTGGAATTTTGCAACTACAGGATATGATCAAAACAATAGCCCAGGATAAAAAGTAAATATATAATTTGAGAGTATAATTTAAAATAAAATTATATAATAAGGTTGAAGTTAGATTCTGGAATGGCGGAATAGTTTAAGCTTAAAATAATTATGTTGACTCCCTTCTAGTTTATTTTAATAATGTTCTTTAATCTCCAATGTGGTTCAGTAGACCTGATTATGTTCTATTTTATTCTGCCCCTAATTTGCCAAATGGTCAACCTTTGTAAATAACAATCAAAGGAAATAATTTATGGGCAAACTAAAAATATTATTACTAACCTTCTCTTAATTTACCTGTTCCTACTCCTAGTATTTAATTAATAGCATATACAGGATTACCAGTTACTATGGATGGAAATATGCCTAGATAAAATTACATCTATACCTTAAATGAATAACCTTTTTCATCCTACACTTACAGAAATTTAGAATTTTCTCTCATTCAAATTTAAGTAAAATATTTTTATTTTAAATTTTTATTAAGCTAGTTTAAATATGAAATATAGGGTGATTAATCAGCAGATGCTTAACTTGTCAGTGGACAAAGAGTAACCTTAATAATTTAATTAAAAAATAACTTATAGTTAAACGATATAAAGATTCGTAAAGTTTGGTAAATCTAAATTTAATTTACAGCAGGTGTAAGCTTAATAGAACGATGCTTCTTTAAAACCCCCAACAATAATGTAGCTGACATATATTAAATATGCTAAGTAGTTAATAATGGCGGAATATATTCAGTAAACTACAGAGGTCAGCTATTCTATAATACTAATTTTTTGAATTATATTGTTTATGTATAAGCAATAATAAATGCTGGAACAATATAATATACAATAAATGAGATAACATAAACTCCATTTTCTAGTAAGATTGCTGAAATTAATTATCCAATAGAAGGATAATTACCCAATCAGTCATATATCATGACTGCTTATCAGCCAAGTTCAAATCTAATCTAACTAGATTTTATTCAAGGAAAGCACTTCCCTCTTTATTATGAGATTTACTAAGTTAGATAATTTGCAAACAGATAATCAACCATCAGTAAATTAAGATTCAGAATAAAATTGCAATTAGCAGTTTCATAAGGTGCTTCAAATTTCGTAAAAATCACCATTCCTTCTTCTATTTTACCAACAAACGCTTATAATCCAGTTGATCCTACAAATGAACTCTACTGTGTCTTTTATGAAGAAATGTCACCTTTAGTTTACTATGGTAAAATTTTCTAAAATTCATAATCAAAGATTTAATTTTTTGATGAGGAAATCTTTAAGCATTTTTTATTTTTTTTTTTATTCAGGTTAGAAACCAATTTCGATACCTTTTTTTATTATTTTAAATTTTCTTTAAATTTTTAAAATAATTTTTATTATTCTACTAAATATTTATTTCCTACTTGAGAATTAATTGTTTGAGGTTAAAAATATTTAATATATATTTAGAGCTAATATATTCAATAAATAATTAAATTAATTAAATAGATGTCCATAAATTAAGTATATGCACATACACTAGTGGAATATTAACTTTTTAAATTCCTGATACTACACTAGTTTCAACATATTACATTTTAGAAATAAAAGAAAGATATTCTCCTAAATATTTTATAATGCCTAGTATGTTTACATTTAATGAATTCTAATTGTAATTATCATCGGTTTCTACTAGTTAGTAATTCTATGACACAAGTTATCAATCTTGCCCATAAACATTTGCAACATTCAAAATATTTCATTTTACTACAACATAAAATAATTATGATATGCTCAGACTTAATTTTGTTCCAGAAACTACTTTACAGTAAACTAATCTTCTTGCAGCTACTCCTTATGAGTCATTTTTACTTGTTGAGTTAGAAAGCTAATATTTCTAAATTGATGTTGGTCTACTAAACCCATCTGGAGTGTATTAAAACGATAATCTTCCTCCTTTTTATAATGGTAAAAGCCTTTCTTGCGTACTTTAAGTAACTTTAAGTGGAACGACTTAAAATTATGATTGTACTATCACTGTAATGTTTGGATCTTAAGTGCCAACATCTTTAGAACAATCTAGGATTTAATTTGTTTTGTCTGATTTCAGTAATTTTAATTAATTTACAGCTGGAACAACTTATGATTTATATATACCAATGATTTAAATGCCAAATATTCCTTTTACTAGCATCTAAGTCAGATTATCATTTATGTAAGTATAAAATCAACAATATATTACTCAAGAGACATCTTATTGGATTAATTATGCTTATGTTTAAACTGATACTAGCACAATAACACCATTCAAAGTCAGTTTAACAAATAATTAAGTTTAGCAAGCATCTTCTACTTTTAATTTTAATTTTGACTCAAATATGAGCATAAATTAAAGTAATAATAATATTTTACTGAAATGGAATAATAATTTCTTTGGTATAAGTGGTAACGATATTAAAAATATTGGAACAAGTAACTGTAAATATATCATGTTTAAAAATTTAAATTTGTTATTCGTCACAAGCTATCCTGCCCCAATCCCATAAATTATAATACCACCAACCCCTATGGTTCCTGCTTTTTGCAATATTAACAGCTTTAATACTCTTAATTATGTTTAGCCTTATGGATTTTCTTTTGTATATATCAATAATGTACCAACTGCTTAGACTATCTATACTGCTTCTACCTCAAGTACTTTTAAAAATTTAGATCCTCTTAATGACAACACAGCTACACTAGTTTGGATTTCTGGTTTTGTAAGTTAGTTTAGTGTTTCTAGATTTGTATTAAATTTAAAAACCCCTCAGCAAGTTCCATAAGGTAGTAAAATAGTAATAAATCTACAAACTAACTTTGCTTAATTTGAAGAAAAATGCACTATTTTAAGTGGTTTAACTCCAATCGGCACAATTACTTCAAATATTTAGTTTAACTAAGGGTCTCTTGAATGCTAAAGGTCTTCATAAAAGCAATACACAGTAAGTGGGTTTTCAGCGATTAGCACATAAACAAATGTTTAAATAGAATTATTTATTCAAACAACAAGCTCGGCTTCTGTATAACCACAAATTTCAGCAACCATATTTGCATAATATTTAAACCAGTACTATCCCATTATAAACTACAATTAAATCTAATCATCCAAGACTCATGTTGGATTAGGAATGCAACAACTTGCTCTTCTTGATAAAATAGCTATTTTTTCTTATTCTAATAGTTGGTTGAGGATGTCATACTTATTGAATACAAGAAATATGTAATTACCTAGAAATTAAAATAAGCAAATAACACTGTAATTACCTCCTTTAGCAAGTGCTTATGATCTATGCTAAGATCCCACTGCTATTTTGTATTCCAAATATTTACATTCTTCAACATACGAATATCAATTAAATGCTCAAAATTTCATGGAGGCTTAAAGCTCAGTGCAGCCTGCACCCCCATCAAAGAGCTTTGTTTCATAACTGAATTATATCCCTAACTTACTCCCAGATATTTAAACCTTCTATGATATAAATGCTAACCAAGATACAGTCATGATAATAGATTCAAATACTGTTTCTCCTCTTTAAGCTCACCCAACACTGAACTATTAAATAGAAAGAAAAGCTGTCTTTATTCCATAACCAAACTATTATGTTTTTCATTTAACAACATTTGACAATGTTAATTTATATGAAGAAAAATACTATGAAGTTTATGCAAAACCTAGAGAAGATTTAGATGATACTTTTAGGGTCACTCCTCTAACTGCAGAAGCAGCAACAAGGACTACATTGATTTTATAATTTACCTTAAACGTAGCAGCAGTTAATAATGATGAAATATGGATAGTATTCTTAACTTATGATGGAATATTCAATGTTTTCCCTGTAGATTTAGGTCTTAAATATGATTCAAATAATTAAATTTAATGCAGTTACACAATTACAAATACTTATTAAGATCCTAATTCTTCATAGAACTGTTTAATATAATTAGGTACAGCTAATTAGATTCAATCTCCTGTTGTAATTAGAATTCCACTCCCAAGTGGAGCACTTATCAATTCTTAAATTACAATTATCATACCTTATGTTATGAATCCAAGCACAGTTGGATAGACTGCTGGACTTAAAGTATAGCTAAGGAATAAATGTAGTGACCATGGTCCTTTGCTCTGTATAAAATACCATGCTGAACATAGTTATTTTATTTTATCACCCTCTACAATTACATAAGGAACTTGTACTTTTACATCTATTTCTTAAATAGTAAGCTAAGTCCCAGATTATACACTAACTCCTCCTGCTCCTTTACATAAAATCTCAACACCTACCCCAGTTGCAACATCTTTACCAATTGGAACTTATGTTACTATTATATATCCTAAAAATCATGTTTAAGATAATCCAGTGTGCACATTCTAATAAGGCATTTGCATATATTACACATCTTATAATATGGTATATTTATTTGATTAAAAAATGCAAATTAAATAATTTTTTTTAATTTTAAAAATTTTTTCAATAACAAATATTTCTAAAAGTTTATTTAAATTTGACAACATATTCAAAATAGGTATTGCTCAAGATTTTAAACACTCCTTTCTCATTGTCAAATCCGTTTTAAGTTTTTGGACTTTAGAATGGTATTTTCAGATGGACAACAGCTACCTAGAGTATAATGAACGTAGTTATCTACTAGAATAGCAAAATTAATTTGATTTATTAATGTAATATGAATGAATACGACTATTATTAACCTATTATTCCATCATCTAGTCCAAGTATTTTAAATTAACTTAAATACTAAATTCTATTTTATGTACATACAATATTTTTATAAATTAGGTATTTGCGGAACATTTACTAATACTTAAACCATTAACCCATCATATTTCCTAAGAGAAGGATATACTAATACAGCTAAATTATATGTTTATGGAATGTACTATAATAGGCATGTTAACATTTATAGAATACAAAAACCAATAACTGTCTAAAGCTTTGTACCTGGATATTGTACTGCTAGTTTCTAAATTACAGATATAACAACAATTCCCCCAACAGTTAACAATATTCCATATGACTGTGACGTCTACTCAGAGTTTATAATTGTAACAAAATTGGACTCAATATAATATAACGAAGCAAAATATAATTTTAAAGGGGCATACTTAACTGTTTTCTTAAAATTTATAATAGATTAAAATCTTCCTACAGTTGATATACATTCTTAAATAGTTGTTTACAGTTGTGTTGATAACTGTTTTGATCCTAATAACTAAACGAATTTATTTGATTTCATGCATGTAGGAAAATGTCTAATAGATTGGGTTATATCATATCTACCCTAGCCTAACCTAGCTACAGCTGGATTCTATACATAACCTTATTATCTAAGATAAGCAAAAATTAATCAATAAGTAGAGTTTTAAATGTTAATCAGACCACGTACTTTACCAGCTGATTATGTTATAGATACTTTTATATTTACTATACCAAATGATTTCTTAATTCCGCCCTTGCAAATCTTTGATAATTGTTCAATATAAGGAACTATTAATTTATCAATACAATCTTGTACATTATAAAGAAGAAATGGCAGTAATAGACTCACATTAATTCCCTCAACGGTTTATGATAACTCTGTAAAAATCATTAAGCTTTCTAACTAGAATACCAATATGCTTTTCACTGCTCCTCCATATCCAGGCTAATATTATTTAATGGGTTTAGAAATGTATTCTAATGGCTAACTTGTAGAAACACAATATATGAATATCACATAAGTTATAGGAACAACTTTTTATTAGCCTCAAGTTTTAAATTTCTTTAACATAATAAATCCCCTTAACTAACTATAAAATGAGATTTTCCACTTTGTTTTCACTTTAAATGATTAAGTTCTTCCTATTGGTAATTTAAAATCTTTAAATTTATAAATAAAATACATTTTTACAATTTTTTATAACTTTTCAGTAATTACTAATAAATTTGTTATTTTAATAAGGTTATTTAAGGCAAAATTCGACTTCTACAAATAACATATATTCTAATATTGTAATATACTTTGAGTTTATTGGAGGTGGTTGGAATATTCACTAAGGTTATTTATTTGATCTCGGTACTGGGCTTCCTGATGGTGCAAAGCTAGGGTGTGCTTCTAAAGGTAATATATAATTTTTAATTTCTAAAAAGTATTGAATGAGTTGGGTTATATATGTATAATTATTTTTATTTTTCTATTATTTACTTGAGTATGGCTATTTATTTGTTATTTATTTCATTGGGGGAAAAAAAAATTAAATTTATAATTTTGTAAATAGAATTGAAGGTTTTATCAGGAAATTAATTGACCTGCATTTTAAATCATGGAACTAGCCCAGAAAATATGCCAAATATTGTAATTAGCGGATACGAAGCTTTTTCAAATCTATTAACTCCGATTAATATATACATAACTAACTTATAGTCTTTATCATAAGGATAGCTAATGACAATCAAAGTAGGTATATAAACTCTCTATCCTAATAATGGGTGTTCAGGATTCTTATATATTTTAAATGCTTTTATACCTCCAGCTACTATTAGTACTACTGCTTTAACACCTGAAAATATGAGTATTACAGTAAGCACCAATCCTGTAGTATACAGCACTACTTCATATACATTTACGATTACTATTTCTTCTTCATATCCAGGAAATCCAAAAATCAATACAAACGATTTAATAGGCTTAAAATTCCCAAAAAATTTTATAGGAAAATACTAACCAATATTAAATAATGATGCCAATGTTTTTGTTTTCCCTGAATCTGATAGTATTTATATTAAAGTTTTAGTTCCAAATCCTCTCACAACCTTAACATTTACACTGAATAATATTAATAATCCTGATTTTTAAATGTAAACTCCTGGAGGATACAGTATCGATGGAGTCATTTTAGATTAAAATCATCAGATTAAATACAAGATGAATGGAAAATTACCAAATACTTTTATCATTTAGCCTTTTTCAAATATCCCTTTTATAAAGGTTGATGCAATTAATTCAATTTCTGGAGGAGACACTAATGTTACTTATAAATTCACATTTATAACAGGCCACTATATACCACCAAACGGATCAATTAGCTTTTTCTTCCCTGAAGGAGCCTATGAGAATGTAAAATCAATGTGGACAGGATGTGATTTATCAGGTGGAGATTTTGATAGCATTTCTAATAAATCCTTTTGTACAGTTTAAATCGACAATAGATTAGATATTATTTTAGTAAATACTCTTTTATCCCAAATATAATAATACTCAGTAACGATTTATGGCATAACTAATCCAAATATTTAAAATATAATTCTGTATAACTTTTTGATGCAAACATTTTATACTAATTAACCTTCGTTACAGTAAGTAATTGGAAGTGCTAGCTTTAAAATGCCTTTTCTTTTATATCTCTAACCGTTCACATGCAATTTGGTAATATTATATTTATTTAAAAATTCATTTTTTTAATTATATTTTATCATCGAAAAAAAGTCTGTAAATTCTTAGTACAGGTAGATTTCAGTTTCATCGATCTATAAATTTACTTTTATATGTGATGGTGTAGTGAGATTCAATAGTAATTTATGGATCACTCTCCCTTATGAATATGGCATTGTACAAAATTTAGGAAATCACTAATGTAGTAGCTTAGATTCAAATACTTTATACAAATAATCATGTTCAGTCTAAAATATTAATGGAAAAATTATTTTAAATGTTTAACTAAAGTAAATTTTAATAAAAACTGAATTTTCTATTTTGATTACCTTAACAAATCCTTCAACTGTGAACAGTCTTTATATGTTTACAGCAGCTTTCTACAAAGATTAATTTTAATATGCATACACATTTAACTAAATTACTTTGAAGAACATTTATGTTGATATAATTAGTGATAAGAATGTGATTTGGGCTCAAAAATATTAAACTAATACTTAAATAGCTATACAAAATTATCCTTTCAGTTCTGGAGAGCCTGCTACTTACATATTTATGGTAAATTTATTTTAAATGTCTATGATAAAATTTAAAATTATTTTTGAAATTAGATACCTTAACTCAAGTTTAATAAAAATGTACAATCAACATAGATTTTCTTCCCAAATTCTTTCTCATCAAAAATTGGAAATAATTTAGAGTGTTCCTTACTTTAATCAGGTACTTTAGGTCTTACTTTTGATATGGAATCTTTACTTTACATGAGAACAAACACCACTTCAACACAAACTCCAATTCCTAATTACTATCAAATATAATGTTCAATAAGTTTAAATTACGTATTAGGTAAATTAAATTAAATGAGGAAAAAGTAAATTAATTTAATTATTTTAAAGAAATATAAGGGTTAAATGCATATTTACAAGATCAGACCTTTAGATACAATTACGTACTTATAAGAAATATATTTAATCCAGGAGATAATTCATAAACTAACTTCAAGTAAGATTTTAAATATAATAAAACTTTATTAAAAATTTTTGAAATAATTAAGAATAATTCACAGTACTTAAGGTGATATGATATGGGTATTTAATGACAATCTTTAATACAAAATAAAGAACTCACCCAATATTCTAGATGTCATATTAGTTTCTGCATTAAATAAATCGTATGTTTTTAAAAATAAACGAAAATTTTCTTATAAATTTAAACATAAAATAAAAGCCTAAAAGACCTAAGTGTATATACTTTCTAATTGAATTTAAGAAGTAAAGCAAGATTGTTATAAACCTCACTAGAAAGCGGTGAAGAAGAATACTTAAAGTAAATATTTTTTTAATTATTTCAAATTAATTTTTTATTTGTTAATAGAATTTAATCAAATGAAAAGTATTTATTTTAAAAAATAGTTAAAATTATTTTAAATTTTCAAAATATTAATTCATATTATTTTTATGTAAATAAGTTAATTAATTAAGAATTAATATATTATTTTTAGAAAATAAATGCAATAGATCATAAATAGAAATGAATTATTTATTTTTTTGAAATAATTTATAAATTATTTTCAAGTTAGTATTTCATTATTATTTTACATTAAATAATTTTATATCTTTTTAATAAAAATAATAAATAGTGAATCAAACAATTAATCAAACTAAAGAATCTTAGATACTGGAGTTTCTAATTTTGGAATATAAATATAAATTCCAGATTAATATGATGTATTCCAATAACGAAACTCAATTAGTTGTTATCAAACAAATTAAAGTAGTAAAACTAGTCCTTGCTAAATTTACAAGGAGTATATTTTTATAAAAGACACAAGATTAACAATTAATTCTTTATCAAGCTAATTTTCCATTTAGTATTTAACTAATCCATAAATATCAAATCCATGCAGCTAATCTTCTTAAGTTACCAATAAATACTTCTAGTTCAAGATTATAGATTTGATTCAAAATACTGTCATTCATTCTTCTGTAAAATTACTTTATTTATTCTAGGTTAACAATAATGATAATATCTATTAGAAATAGGAAGATTAAAGTGTTTGCCTTTAGTTTGTAAAAAATAAATTTGACATATCTTTCTCTGGGCCTTCTAACCTTTTAAGAGGCTTGATATATACCTTTAATGTGACCATTGAAATGCCCGCAAACTGTATTTCTTTAGAACCATTCGTAGAAGATAAAAACATAGTTTTCAACCCTACATTAATAACCTTTGAAAACTTTGATCAACAAACAACTAAGCAATTATAAGTAATTTAATTAGTATTTTAAAAATATAATAATATTTGCTTAAATTTGTATAGGTATAAGTTTTATATGGGGCATCTTTAGGAAATCATACAATTTAGTTTAATAAAATAGAATATACTAGAATAAGCTCAACTCAAATATCTAAAAACTCATAGGATTTATACATATCTCCTCCATTAATTTAAATTCTTGTACAAAATCTAAATCCTAGAAAATAAATGGTACCCTCTATCATAATTGATGATTTTATTGAATATGGATTTACTTATTCAGAATTCTTAGTTCTAGCAAAAGTAACTAAACAAACATCTGAATAATTTATGTTTGGAGTCTAATTTGATTAAGCTTTTAAAGTAAATATTTTTCTTACAAATATTATAAAAAATATTTTAAAAAAAAAAATTAAATTAAAACATTTGTAAATTTAATTAGGATGTAATAAGTATATAACCAGACTCTATTTTAATAGACTAAAATGTAAAGAGATTTAATTTTACTATTACTTATCTTGCTAAAGTACTTGCAAAACCTATAGTTTTAAATTTCACACTAAGTTCATATTAATAACAATTTATTTACACTGTAACCCCTCCTTACAAATACTTGGTTTTCACAATCAGTAAAATTCATAAACCGCTTAATGTAATAAGGCTTTTATGTCAGAGTAATTTGCCTGATCCAAATTTATATTCATCTGACTTAGGGAAGACTATTTATAATCCTTATGTAAACGATCCATCACTACTTCCTTTAAATTAAAAGATTCTGTTACCTGAAATTTTAAATGTAATTTAACTTGATATCTCTAACTATGATACCACTCTAAAGATAGTTGCAAGCACTTCTTCATATATCTACTATATTCTAACTCTTTAAAATTCACAAAAACCTTTACCTTAAGTTGTAAGAGATGGAATTTTTTTAAAAAATTAACAGTTAGCATACTCTGTTGTTATGACAAATAGAAATGCAGGTAATAATATAGATTACTTAGCTAATATTACACTCTCAGGACTAAAGCCAGATTTTAGCTATTCTGTTTTCTTAGTTTGTGAAAATGCTTTTGGTTTATCACAGTAAGTTTATTAATATAACTTTTAGACAATGAAGGCATAGCTAGGAGCAGTTATTAGATTTACTCTTTCCTCTCAAGTGCAGCAAAGCATATTAATATAATAACTATCTTAAGCATTAAGAGTCTAATCTAATTAAATATAAATTCTAACAAGCTAAGATATAATAAATGCATAAATTTCTAGAAACAAGTATATAACATATGAAGTAGTAATAGCTCCTAATACTTAAACAATATAAAAAATGTACAACTATATTGCATCATATATAGATAGCTCAGATTTGTTTAATCAAATGATGTCAAGCTTTTTGTCTTAAATAGTTTTATTATAAGATTATCCAATTAAATATTATAGCTATGATGTGTAAGGACCAAAGTTTGCAGGAAATCCCGTAATTGATACAATAGGCTTTTATAACGCTGTAATTTTAGTTTAGATGTTTGATAATTCATATGTTTATGCATAAGTTGTAGAGAAATCTGTAAATAAATATAACGTTCAAATAAATGGAATGAATTCGAATAGTTAAGTTAATTCTACTATAGATTATGTTTTTGAACCTTTGATTTCTTAGTAAATAATTTTAGGAGTAGATTAACAGAATAATTAAATAAATAAAAACTGGTAAGTTAAAGTTTTAACAGATCCAAAAACTAACATTGCCAAGATTTAGCTTGATGATCTTAAAGATGGTGCTAACTATGATGTTTATATTACCGCTACTAATATAATGGCTTACAACGATCAGTCCCTTTTCAAAAAACTACCAGATTCTGAAATTAAAAAGATATCATTCACAACTCTTTTCAATTACAGTAACAAATAATTAAATTTAATTTATTTTTTTTTAAAAACTTATTTTAAAAAATAGACACTGACTATTGCTAAATGCTGAGAGATGTTAATAAAGTCAATCAATCTCTGGCATTGGCTATACTTAGACAAATTCAAAGAAATCCAAATGAACAAGTATGTATCAAAATATTCCTTAATGATACAAATACAATTAATTGAGTTTGTAAATTAAAATCAAGTATAGTTATTATTAAAATTTATTATTTTTTATATAAAATTTGTAAAATATAGAAATAATTTTATTTTAATTATTTTAAGAATTAATTATATTTTTATACACTGTGATTTTTAATTTTTAATAAATTTTGAAAAATTATTTTCTTAAAATTTATAGTGAAAAATATAAAGATTTAATAAAAAAAACCTGTTCAAGAATCATAAATATTCTAAATACTACTGTAATGATTTATTAATCGTTTGGTTTTAATTACTTTATTTAAGTAAAATAAAAATTACAGATAATTACAGATACATTTCAAATAAAACTTTTGTTATTATCAATATTTTCATTTTATTTGTATTAAAAAGTTAAAATAGATTAAAATTTATTTAGAATTATTGATTTAGTTTCATTTTAATCACTATTTGATAAAATTCTAATTATTCTGTTATTGTTTATGAAAATAAAACAATTATTATAAAAAACTCATTTAAAGATATTTAAATACGAATAGAAGAAATTCGTAGCTATTTGAAATTTCAATCTATTACTATTTATTTCTAATCATTTGCTTATGTCATCAAAAAATAACTATGTTTATTTCAGATTTAATGAGATTGACAAGATTGCTAATCTACTATTATATATTGGGGTATAATTAAAATAATTAATGGAATTTTAAAAATTTTATATTCAGATTTATATAAACTATCATTAATTTATTTTGTCAAGTTAGAAATTTGTTAGCTACCTTTATTAGAAAATAATTAATTTTCAATATTTCTGATAATTTGATACTTCAATCATAGAATATTTAAGATAAATAAGTTCATCAAAAAAAAGATGTTTTCTCTTTTATTTAAGTCAGACTAATGCAAATATTGTAATAAAAATATTGCAGTTATAAGTAAGTTAATCCATGAAGCCTAGTGTGAGAAAACTTTTAACAAATACTAGTAATTTCATATATACTATTGATATTACCTAAAAATTTGGAATTATTTAGATATCTTTTAGATACTAAAAATGGCGAAACACTATCTTTTTTTAAACTATAAAAAACTTTTTAAAGACCATTAATTTATTTAATTTAAAAAGAGTAAAAACATAAGGTTAGAATACGATCACATAATCTAATGTTTAGTTAATATAATGCAGTATTTGCAATGAATAATTTAGCTCAGAAGATTAGTTAGATAACCATATTGAAGATTGTTTCCAAATTAATCAATTAGTGACATGTGAAATATGCTAATAATCTTTTCCATAATTTTAAATAGAAGATCATAAATTAGTTTGTTAAGAAGTATATTAAATTTTTTAATCTTCAAACATAAATAAAATTTTGAAAGTGATTTTAGTTAATATTATTTTATTTAATAAAAGGGATCTAAAATCTATAGTTAATAATGTAATATAAACATATAAATTTTTTTGAGGCAAAAGAATTTTATTAAATTATCTCTTAAAATAACAAAAAAAACTTGATAATTTCAATTTAATTCTAATATAATAAATAGTTCAAAACAAAAAAAATTAAAACATGGAGGATGAAAATATTTAAGATTAAGAAAATGAAGAAGAAATGTAAAATTAAAGTGAAAATATTTCTTATAATGATGATTAAGAATAATATGAAGAAGATGATGATTAATAGGAAGAGGATCATAATTTTGAATATGAAGAGGAATCTAAATAAAATTAAATGCAATTCACTGATGATTAGATAAATTAAATTTTAGATAGAGGTGGTTAATTGCCTTAATTTGAAGATCATGATTTATCTAATACTGGTGGTTTAAATAATTAATAAATTGAAGTTTTCCCTACCAGCAAATTTGATCCAAAGAAGAATGAAAATCTAAGTATAGATTTAATATCTTGTTCGATCTGTCTTGATGAATTCGAAAAATTTTAATGGCTTAAAACTTTAGGTTGTTTGCACAGATTTCATAAAAAATGTATAAATCACTGGTTAATTAAAAATAGACTTTGTCCTATTTGCAAAGTTGACTAAAAACAATTTGTTTGAAATTATTAAATATGACTTAAATATTTCTGTTTGTATATAAAATTAAAAAGTTAAAATTTTAGTTTTATTTTAAAATATGATTTAAACATCTTTTGTTTATTTATTTGCTAAAATGAAAACATAAGTTAGAATTAATAACTTTGTTGTTTAATTTATTTAAAAAAAAATATAATCCAACATGTTTTTCTTGAGTTTTTAATTGAATAAATAATATTTTAAAGAATATCTTACACATAAGAAATTCAGAACTTCCCTTTTTCAAATATCATGACTTTTATTAAATATTTATTTTATAAATTTATTTATGTAAAATAATATTGAGCTTTTAATAAAAAATTATCAAAATCTTATTGGGGTTGGGGTTGGGGTTGGGGTTGGGGGTTGGGGTTGGGGTTGGGGTTGGGGTTGGGGTTGGGGTTGGGGTTGGGGTTGGGGTTGGGG